CAGTGATGTTTATTGCCTATGTTGTAGCAGGCAGAGTGCCTGCTGGTAGGACGCTTGCGAGTGGAGGACTTGACTAGAGAGAACAGAAGCAACGACATAGGATTGGGGGAAGAGGGTTGGGGAGGTGGTGGAGGTAGGAGGAAAGGAGTGACGAGTGCAAGTGCGTCATTATATGCTCTCGATCTTCGGTATTCGATTACATAATCACTTTGATATATAGTTTAAAAGTAAAACCAGATTATATTAGAAGACTAACAGAGTGATTGTTAACAATATTACTATATATAATTGCATATTATCTTACTAAAACTACTATAATCAACTTACAAGCATAATGTATCACTTTCATAAGTATTATAATCAATCACCTGCTATTGTATATTACTTTATATACAATTTTAACATATTACAATAAAAGCTAAGTACTTGTGTCTCACATATAATATTGTAGTAATAATGGTATTAACATTACTTGCTTTAAAAAACACTTGTAGTATAATACAATTCTTGTATAATCATTACATTTATATACAATTGTTACAATTTAATTATGTGCCAAGTATAATTGTTATTTTAGATTGTAATAGATATATAACTACATTATTAAATTACATTTGCTATTATTAATTACATTTGTTGCGACTTTTTCGTGATGCAGCTCTTTGTCTATAAAGGGTCAGGTCCAGAACAATTCTCTGATTGTTAGACTACCCACCCATATATATTCAACCTAATTCACAACTGTCTTAGATAGAATGACCAAGTGTAGGTATTCAACAGACCTCTTCATCTAAATGTAGGACTGCAGACATAAGGGAAGCGAGACTTTGGAGGGAAGCAACAACTCACTATTATAATACAAGTGAAATGTTGTACAAGCAGCTAATCACAAGTAAAGTTGGTCAATTTATTACTACAATGCACGACGGATCAAGCATAGATGCTAACCCGTTACCGCCTTGAAGAGAGTTATTGAATGGATCTGGCATAGATAATCCTTAGTGGCGTAGGAGGTCATTTAAGAAAGATCTTCGTAGAGACGATTCACTAGCATGAACTAATTGCACTTATATGAGCTTGTCGGCATTCACAATTAGGCCGAGTTTGATTTATGAGCACTGTTGATATCAAAGAATCCATATGCTCGGCAGTGTTAGTTTTGCTGCCTTGGGATGGCAAACAACAAGTGACTCGTGAAGTGAGCATTAGGATCTTGATTATGATTTTGTGGAGTCTTCACCTCAATCTATCAACAAGTATAGAGTGGTTGCTTCAATCTAGAGATGAAGATTTGGATCACCACAGAGAATTGAGACCGGAGTGCGGTTGGCTTGCTACTTTGATCTATATATGCGATGACCAACAAGATGTCAAGTACTATTGATAACATCACTAAATTTGGATCTTGTAGTCGTCACCATGTAGGCTGGGTTGTGAGTTGACCTATCTGAGTTAAGTTATTAAATTGCCAGAGATAGCATCCAAAACGTGTTGTGAGACCGCTCAAAGACCACAAAATACGCAACATCCGCCACAAGAGTACTCAGACGAGAGAGATACCAGAGATTTAAACCTGTGTCTGACAGGTAAAGCAAACGTATCCTCCGATTGCTGGAGTCATTGAACCCAACATCGTGCTAGCTGAAAGCGAACTGTCAAGTGAAAGTATATCCAACTATTATTATGGTATGCTATATGCCAGAAAGACATCTCCCGTCAGGTCTCCCTTATTCACCCACGTTGAAACAGCAGCTGCGACGAACGTCTTTGCAGCCCATCTTTGGCGTATGCAAAGAAAAGGGCAGTTAGGCACGCATAGAACTAAACAAACACAAGATGAAGCATACCCGGTCAGAATGATTATTGTCGTAAATACCGGTTGGATGTCCAGCACGACTGAAAAAAGTAATCGATGATGTCAACTCCGCCCTGCGTAAAATCGAGGAAAACTCTATTCTTATGTACCTCGCAAGCCAAATCCAGCCGCCATACCACCGAGGACGTTCCGCACGACCCACTCTCGATCGAGCTTGTCGTCATCAAGCATTTCTAGCGCCCTTCGCGTGACATCATGTGCCATCAGATCGCGAAAGAAACTCGCTTCCGTTGTATTCCTTGGCAAGGAAGGTTGACTGGAAGGAACCGAAGATGGCTTCCAGAGGGCCAGAAGGAGCAGTAGAAATAGCTTTGTCAGGGAAGAGTACAACAGTGTCAATGGAACTTGTGATAGTCTATGGAAGATCACATTCATAAATATGAGGGAATACCTTGAATAATCAGTATATTTACCTGAGCTCATCTCTGACACCGCTTTGCTCGGCTTGACCTGATGATTTGAACATTGACTTCCATAGTCTAATACTCTTTAAGACAGCCGCAGACATTAGGGCAATGCCTAAGTGAAATGCAATTGTTTCTGTCTTTCGGAATCAGACTTAGGAGTCTTACATGTAAGGCACAACTCGCCAATGATGCATCCGGCAAAGATACGTAGAAGAGGTTCGACATCATCCTTCGTCCATAATGCCGAATTCGCGGTCTCGCGACTGTCTAAGGGGTCTGCAAGATGTGTCTAAAGTGACATAATGTTGTCTATTGTCGAAGCTCACTGAGATGTGACCATCTGATAACTAAGGAAAATGCATTTCAGAAATCAGAATTAGGCCGTGCGAGTCATAGAAAAGCCATTTCCTCTTACAAGCATCCACGAAAATGAGGACAATCCCGAGTTGGAAGATCAGTTCCCAACGATCCTGATCACATTTCTTCAGCATTTACACCTGATAGTGACGTTTAGACACACCTTTTCTCTCTGTAATTCAATGATCCGTGTTCGATCCTTCTTGTCGGCTTCTGACGGACTTGAGGCCTTCGAAGCACGTCTCGGCTGGTATCCTCTATTGAACAAAAGGTGCCGAAAGACGTCTCGTTTGAGTAAAATCAGATCAAGAAGCAATGTGAGTGAGTCGTGCTCGACGTATGGATCGGCAAAGTTTAGACATTTTGGCTATAGTTAAGATTGAATATGTTGCTGTGTTCTCAGTGATGCACACACTCGGAAATGAAAGGATCGACAGACGTACACATTGTTCGAGACGAAGGTTGTTTGCTGACTCATACACTGTGTAAAGATGGGATATTTTGTATGTGCATGTTGTGCAGATTGGCATACTTGGTAGAGAGGAGATGAGAGTGGGAGGAAAGGAATATTGTGAGTCTAAATTGGATGCTAGTCTAATGATAGAAACGAGTTAAGATCGGCGTTCGAATGCAGCTTGATCGTTGCTCCCATCTCTTCCCGTCCCGTCATCTCTACTCGGCCTGCCCCACTGAGCCGACATCTCTCCCTCCTCTCATTTTCCTCGATTTATTATTCATGCTTGCTGCTCTGTTTCTCAGATAATGATCATCACTCGCTCGTGTAGTAGCAGATCAAGCCACCTTTCGCTCTCAGACAGCAACATCGACTTCGATCTGCGTCGTCCGAGCCATATTCAACGCCTCCCACCAGAAATTCTAGGCATCATCTTCTGCCATGCTCTTCCCTCCAAGTCTGATTTTTTCGAACCTTCAATCAGGACTGCACCTCTTCTACTTGGTAGAGTCTGCAAGTACTGGCGCGATCTTGCTGAACGTACGCCGGAATTATGGTCATCGATCAGTCTTTTCCTCCTGCGTCCCTATGCACTTGCAACACGTGCCTTTGAGCGTTGGATAGCACGCTCAGGAAATTGTCCTCTCCGATTCAAGCTCGTCGTGCTTACGTCTTACCACCCAGACGTACGGATACACCACAAACTGCGTAACGAACAGGGACAAACCGTAGAGCGACAACATCCGTTGATGGAATTCATACATAACATTGCAAGGCAGAGTTATCGATGGCAGGTTGCGGATATTGCTGTCCCGGGTTGTTTTATGCGGAGTCTATTGGCACATGATGCACCGATGTTGAGGAAGCTGACACTCTCAGACCCACTCGCAGAGGCAGGTAGCGATGCATTCGATTCTTGGGAACATACGTTCGCGCTTTCCGCTGCGCCGTCACTTTCTCAACTTGTGTTGAAACAACGATTAAAGATACTACCGAGCGAATGTCACCCGCTTACCTCTGTCCAATTTGACGCATTTTCGTCTTCGCAAATCGTTGAGCTATTCAATGGTTGTCCGTCACTCGAGGAATTGGGGATTACGTTCAAGCGCGAGATCATGGTCTCTGGTGGTCCGGATGTATGGATTTTCCCGCGTCTACATACACTCCGTGTTAGTCTACACCACAGCAATGCCCGCGAAGCCAGTGCATTCCTTGATCAGCTCCGTCTACCGGTCCTTCGAAGTCTCACTCTTGATGGACTGCGTCACGCGCATGGCCTTCACCTCACAACACTCCTCGACCGCACAGACGGGAACCTGACTTCTTTGTCCTTAATTAACATAAGCATTTCGCACGCCGACATGTTCGAATACCTGCACCGCGTCCCGCACCTCCTTTCTCTCCGGCTAGTCGACACACACGGGTTCGACTATCGATGTTTGAGGCGACTGACGTGGTTACCTGGATGGCAGACATGTGTATGTCCGAAGTTGAGAGAATTATGGCTATTGAGGAGCGAGTGTTCGATGCTTGCGACCGAGGTCGTAGAGAACATGGTCAGTTCGCGGAGTCCTGGTGGAACGGCGAGTAAGTTGACGGAGAAAGCGAAGATGAAGGGAGTTGTAGATCGTCATCACCATTCGAGTGTGGTTGGGGATCCAGAACCGTTGAGGGAGTTTAGGTTCGATGGAAGCAAGCTCCAGCATGAGGAGTTGTTGGGTAGGCCGAGGATTAAGGCAGCCATTGAGAATGGGCTTGTCTGGAAGAGGTAGAACAGGCTGTCCTGTTCTGTGTTGTTTCTGTGTGCGTGGCTTTTTTGTATGTTTAATGTGCTTTCTTGTGTTCATGTTTGATAACTGGTCTTATCGTCCTTCGTATTACTCATGTTTTCCTCTGTCTTATTCCATTTTGCTCGCAATGGTTTTCATGACTCGACATTCCTCTCTCGCTTCTTTTCTCATACTCACTGATATCATCGTTATCCGTTCCTTACGCCTCACTCTAAGCACGTTTCAATGTTTTTCCGCCGTTCGCTTTTCTGTTTGTATTTGGTGCATGCATGCTATATTAGTAGTCTTGTTAATCAAACGTAGTTGCTTGTTGGTCCATCTTAATTGTTGTGTGGCATTTCGAGCGCCTTTGCTAGGATAGAAGGCTGACTCTGTGTGATAGAGAAAAGCCTGGGGGAGTATAAATGCGGATAGTGCTTGTGCCAAGCCGAGGTGCAATTTGTTAATCGTGGTGTTCAATGAACCGGACTATAGAATCTACGAAATGCTTTGGTCTGTGTAGGAGGTACATCATCGATTAGCAAACCGCCTCTTCTTTGAGAGTGAAGTGAAGAGATAAAATAAAAATAAAATACTTACTGCTCATAGTGGACTACAAGAAGAGAAAGTTGTTAATTCAAGTAAAAATAAAATAAAATAAAATGAATAAAATGCCTTGAGGGCGAACAGGCTAACGACGTACCCCAATGTCCAGCATCGAGCGTCTCTAACTCCATGTTGGGGAAGAACTGCTTCAGCTTGTCTATATTCTTTTCTTTTATGTAGCTTTTCATTTTTCATTTATTTATTTTTGTGAGAAAGGCGACGTCAGCACGCTCAGCATCCAATCAAGCAAATAAAAACGAAGAATTAAGAAAAGATACGCACTTGCTTTTCGAACCTTTCAAAAACAGAGTTGGACCATCCCAGCTTGCTTCCCCAGGTTTGTAGGGGAAGTCACCGAGGTCGTCTAGGCTAGCTTTGATCGTTTCTAGTGGGATACGGAATTTGACGGGATGTCCATGGTATGTTGCGTCCAGGTTTGTGAGGAGAAAATGTCGGATTAATGCGTCCTATTCAGCACCATCATATATCAGATGCATGCGTCAGTAGTAAAATTCGAAGTAAGGATGGATGATTTTATTTACCGGCTCGACCTCGTGAAGAGCTTCAAAAGCTTCTTTTTTGGTTTTTATGTTTCCGTTTTTCTCGAGGTTGATCATGCCGTCGAGGTATCTACGGAACTCGACTGAGAGCTTGCCTTTAAGAGGAGAAATGTCTGCTACGATGAGGTGAGAGATTAGACACTTTGGGAGGTCTGGACGGAGTGCAAGGGTCATTGCTGCTTTGCCTCCCCTGCAATGAGAAAATAAATTATATCAGATAAGACAAGCTGGAGTCCTTAAAATTTTAAATGTAGAGAAGGGTGACGAACATAGAGTGACCCAGGATGGACACGTTCTTTAGAGAATGCTTGTCACAGAAATGTAAGATGTCGGAAGCTTGGGTGTTGTAATCCATAACATCTCTTTGAGGAGATTCACCAAAGTTTCTTAAGTCCTGTCAAGGCGCATTGATTCCTTCGTCAGTCAACTGATTGTGTATGCGACGTAAAGAAGAATAAGTAAGTAGATCGTCGCACCAGAGGGATCACAGGCCGCTGTAGTCGTTTCGCGAACGTCTTTCCTAAAGTTGTCCAGTTGCGCTTGGACCCACTAACAGTTGTAATCATCAATATCCAAGTAGATACAGAATGTAAACATGTTTTTCGCACAATAGTCCATGTGCGATTAGAAGCGGCCCTTTGGAAGAATGTGAATTGAATGAGTAGATTTCATGTGCAAGGTCGACTGGAGGTACTGAGGATAAACCTAGAAAATCATTTAATTAGGAAAATTAATATGGTTTTCCCAAGACGAAGGAGTTGTCAGACGTACATCGCTTGATCTTATATGTAGCGTGCCTTGATCGCAAAGGTGGAAATGAACGTGATAATGAGAGTAACGACATGAGAGGGTTCAGGAGGGAAGCATTCCGTTAGGCTCGAGTCAGTAGCACTGATGCGATCAAAGGATCGGCATGACGCGACAACTTGGTTGTGGTCCTTACCGTCGTTCATCTCCTCTTCTCGTCAAACGACAAGCGTAAATTTATAGCAATGGTGTCAGTGACGATCTCCTCGTCAGGTTCACCTCCTGCTGTCGCGCTCAAGCTGCCCATTACTGTCGTTCTCGGTGAAAAAACTCTAGAGAACGCGACGGTTGCGGACGTCAAGAAAGCTATAGCTGCGCAGTTTCCCAAAGTTCGTATTTCACCTTCATAAAGTCACTCAAAATTAATAAATATTATCGTGCAGTTTTATCCTGAACGACAGAAGTTATCTCTAAAAGGCGACAAGAAAGCACTCTCAGATGATGATACGCTGGCGAAGATTGGTTTTGAGACAGGAGGAGAGTTGAACGTTAAAGACTTGGGTCCGCAAGTCGGTTGGAGGACTGTGTTTTTGGTGGAATACGTATGTTGCCCACTTTTATCTGTCTACTTTTGAAACGCGTTTTTGACTATTTTTAGGTTGGACCAATTATTATCCATCCGCTGTTCTATTACTTCCCCAAACTATTTTACGATGGCGACTTTCAGCATAGTCTTCTGCAGAAGTAGGTGATTTCTCAATGTACGCCATGCTTTTCTAATAACTTGATAGGTATTGCTTTGCGTTGGTTATGTTCCATTTCCTCAAGCGCGAATACGAGACAATCTTGTGCGTTAAGGTCAATTATTTAATCCTCATGATAAAATTGAGCCTATCAACAACAGTGTCCATCGCTTCTCTAAATCGACTATGCCGCTCCGGAATATATTCAAAAAGTACATCCTAGCCTAACCAGCTACTATGCATCTACTCAAGTCTAACGGGCTTTGTAGTTCATTCCATTATCACGTCTTTGGCGGTGTTCTGCTTGCATTTGCACTGTACCGACCAAAATACTCTGCATTCTCTCCAACTATCCTAGGCTCGAATCGTAATGATCTGTCTTTCCTTTGGCTTTGGACGGGAGTGTTCCTTGTACGTATTTCATTTACCTTTGGCCGTTGTGAGTTTATATCCTCTACGTGCTGTTTAGTTCGCGGAGTTTTCCAACCTGAAGACTCACTCGACGCTACGTTCTTTACGACCTGAAGGCACTCGAAAGCGTGCTATCCCGTACGGTTATGGGTTCGACCTCGTATCGTGCCCGAATTATTTCTTTGAGAGCCTTGCCTGGTTTGCGCTTTCCATGATGACTGGAAGTTATGCTGGTATGCATTCTCTTTTCTTTACTTTGAAAGTCTTAAGCTGACCAATTCTTGCATTAGCTTGGTTCTTTTTTGCGACTGGTACTGCACAGATGACAGCCTGGGCTGTGAAGAAACACGAAGCGTATAAAAAGGAGTTTGGTAACGAGTATCCCAAAGGGAGGAAAGTTATGTTCCCGTTCATCTTCTAGGTCAGGCTCTGCAAAAGAATACTCTTAAGTCGTATATCTTATTGAATTACTAAGTACTAAGTAGTATATAAATGAATGGATGGCGTAAGAGTTCTAGTCTAGACAAAGAAGAGTGAGGAGCCAGCCCCCGAGCCAATCCAATTGGAGGTATCGTCTATTAACTCTATACGTGAGACATCATACGGGAGGGTACGAGTGACGTCAGCGCCATTGCCGTTTATAGACCATTGCGCTCCTCGTCGATCATCCATTTCAACTTCGAATCGCCCCCGCCTTCGTCTTACTCCTCTGTCTCTTGCGCCACTCCCACTGACAACAGTAACAGTTGTACGCCTACGTCTTGAAAGATGCAGAACGACGGCGCAACCATTTCGCGTGCGACGTCGATCTCACGCGCCAGCGCCAAAGGCTCGAATATAAGTCGTAACCAGTCCCTAATCAAGAAGAATATTGCACCGAATGACTTGCGTCCGTCTGATGTACTCATTGAACGCTTTGTTGGTTGGAAGGCTATCGTGAAGCAGCTCATTGCGTACTTCGAGGTATTTTCACCCATCTCCGGGTTAGTAACGTGGGTTTGACGTTGTTACGGATGTCTAGGGCATAGCGGATATTGAGAACAACATTGCACGCGAGCTTACCAAGCTTGGTGCTGTTATTCAAGTACCGTTCAGAACTGGAAACCAGTTCTTGGGTGAAGGTGGAATACAGGTAGATATTTTGACGTGCAGTAGGACGGTTCTATACTGAACTCGTACTCTAGGACATTTACTATGGCATCCGCGACAAGACGCGTGCTATTGCGGACCAACATGCGAACTTAGGCAAAACCATTGATAGTTCCATCGTTCAACATTTGCAGAAACTCAGAACTGAAATTAAGGCTCATATCAAGGTGATTTTTTTCTTTTTCTTTAAATATATCCACTTTTTCTGACTTTCCAGAAGAATGTTCAAAATGACACAGGCAAGCTCGCGGCGAATGTCGCGAAAGAGAGGGAATTGTCGACACGCCTGGTTGCTGAGCTTGCAAAGAACATAGCTGTTTTCAAGAACACACCCATGCAAATTACAGCCAGGGATGATCCGTACGTTCTATTTCACGCTTCTTAATGATCGTCTTATGACGGATTTTCAGATTCGTTGCAAATGTAAATGTTGCGCGCCAGCTCCAGAAACAAGTGCACGAAGAGAACGCACTTCAGAAGTCTATCATCATCATGCAGCAAAATTCTGCTCATTTTGAAGAAGGAATCGTACGCGCTATTCAATCTGCGTGGCAGACTTTTGATGAGTGGCAGTCTCGCATGCAAAGTTCTGTGCAAGACGTCTGGCATGGGCTAGGGACCCAGATGGCCTCTCTCGCGCCTGACAAAGAATGGATCTCGTTCTCCGCTCGTTCTGATCACCTCATCGATCCAGATACACCACTCCGTAATCCTGAGACAATTCTATATCCAAGTAAAGAGGACCCATCAGTCATTCCGGTTCATATGGGCTTCTTGGAACGCAAGAAACGCTTCACACGTACATATCGTGAAGCGTATTACGTGCTATCTCCTGCGGGGTACTTGCACGAATACGCGTCATCCGATCCGAAATCGCGGCCGACGCCCGTGTTCTCGCTCTTCTTGCCTGCGTGCACGCTAGGTCCGCCGTCCGCCGCCCGCGGTTCGGATAAATCGCACAAATTCCATATTGAGGGACGGAAAGACGGTACCGGAACTCTTGCAGGTGGACTGCGCCTTCCTGGGCGTTCACCTCATGCTTATACATTCCGTGCGAGTAGTCATGAGGCGATGATGGAGTGGTGGAACGATATCCGCATGCTTTGTGCGCGGTACCTTGTGGCGAGTGAGTCCATGGAGCGCCGCGGTCCTGTTGAGGCGGCCGTGCGTGCTGCTGGGTACGTCAGCGAGGAGGAAGACGAAGTTGAAGAAGGCTCGAGTGTTGAAGAGGAGGAAGATGAGGATGGAGATCTGTATTTGCCTGCACAAGACAACATTGAGAACGAAGACGAGGCTGTACCCCCGTCGTATTCGCAACCACCGAAAGGCTCTTCTCTCGAGTTCGGTCAGAACGGGTATCTGGTAAGCCTTGTTCCTATTCTATTCATTCATCCACCCGAGACTCCTTTCAAACATCATGTAACTGACTTCAATCTGTCAAATAGACTGAAAAGAAGACAGACCCGAATGCGAGCGGGAAGTCGAACGGAGAAGGCGCGGATGGTGTTTCGCGCCGACCGAGTAAGCGCCAACAGGAAAAGGCGCCCGAAGGACAGGCACCGCGTGCCGTAAATAATAATAATACGGCTGACAACAATGCGAATGCGAACGGTGGACCTTCCAGCGCTAGTGAAGGTGCTGGACCTGCACCAGTTGAGAGTAGGTTTACTGAAGCTGTCGAGTGAAGATCTTTTTTTTTCTCTTCCTTTTTTTTCGGACTCATACAGTGGTAGACGAAAGTGTACAATAATGCCTTGTCCGCCACTGTAGTTATCAAACCAGCGAACAGTTTCAGATGAAGAACATATGCGCCCAGCTTATCTCTTCCACCACTTCTGTCGTATCCGAAACCTTTTCCGCGATTTGTCATGTCCGCTGCATAGCACGCGCCCTCTATGTTTAAGCGGACGCTATTCACTTACTCCGTAAATCTTAGTTCTTTCTGTACTTTACTATGTTCGTGTATTCGCGTATTTTTTTGTACGATTTAATCTGCATGCGGTTTGTGTCGCTCCACTCTCCGTTCTCCGTTCTACCATTCCGCCTTTCGAACTGCGTTAGTACTCCCGCCCGAATGCGCGTATGTAGGCGGCGTGTTTCACACTTGTTTGGTCTACTAACACCAGGTGAATGATGTTTACCAGTTAGACTATCACCGCCGCTGTGTATGTACAGCACGCAGTGATACTATTATGGTGCTGTTAGTATTGCCTTGTGCTGTCAGGCGAACATGCAAATCAAATTATCGACAGTATCGACTGTATAGACAGGGTAAGATATGACCGAACCAGGCGGCGAAAAGTCACCACCTGTGTCAAACTACTTGGTTCCATTTCTGCACCATTGTATGCCATCTCCGCAGTTCTGTTCAGCTGGGCGCAGCACTAGACACACACATGTATCACGCATGTTTAGTGCTGTACTGTTAATATTAATCGGCCTGACGGTTGGTCATAGCTTCAAAGTCACAGCCCTCCGGAAGATGCCTTGTTCTGTTTGTTTTGAAGGTTCGGAGTCGATCAAACTCGGGCGCAAGCGACTAGCCTGAACCCAAGCCTACTGTGATCTGGGCCTGGACTTGTTTATCTGTTTGTCTTTATGGCGCATGCACACCGGAAACTTCAGTGGGGTATTTCGGCGCAATTAACGCCCGACGTGCACTGCTACCGTTGTATGGCGGGAATTAAACCTGGCGGTGCGAAAGATCGTCTTATGGCGCATCGATAGTTCCATTTGACAGATGCGCGCGATTAACATAACAGGGAGGGAAATGATAGTGTATGTTTTGAGCACATTCTTTGTTGATAGCCGAGAAGTGACGGGGATGCGTATGTCGGCGCAGAAGCAGTGAAAATCTGAGACAATCTTTCTGCAAGGGGTGGAACCAGGATCATCAGTTTTTTTGTGGCTATTGCACATTTTAACACATTAGAAAGTAGGGAAGAAGAAATTTGGCATACTTACTATTTTTGTCGAGAAAAAAAGCACTTCCTAATTGACGAGTGTTAAAAGTGAAAATGGGAGGAAGCCTGTGCAAAGGGAGCGTCAGCCAAATAGAAAGTTTGGCCGCAGCAAACTTATGCATTTGTCAAGCATGGAAACACGACTCTGCATTCCTGACAGCTTGTATGACTCGCCCCCTTGCTCCAAAGTTATTAATAATGTGAGTTTAAGGAAAGGGAGCGATCGGTAGGCGAAATGATCAGAAAGTAGCTCTTCTCCTACCTGAAGCCGTGGTGATAAATCGGGAGGCACTCCGAAACTTGTGTTGCAATTGTCATACGTATCATAAGAAATCCAAGGGGATCTGTCTAGCCAGTTTGTCATCGATCTGGGCAAGGACAAGAGGACAGTTAATTTAGGGTTGCAGATTTTTTAAGAAAAGATGCACGATACAAAACTATGGGTGAATGGTTTAGCCAAAGGACAAATATTGATTGTTCATCAAGATAGTGGCGAAATGCACATACAGTCCAAGACTCCAAGTTATCAGCATAAGAAATCGTCTTTCAGTTTTGAAAAACAGCTGATTGGTGGCCACCGACGGGGCATGGTATCGTATTCGTAAGTCCGCCTATATGCGCGCTTCCATTTCGCCTTCGTCATTTTGAGAAATCCTCCGTAGTATGCTCTCGGGAAAATCTTTATCTCGTCCAGTTGCAATTTCAAAGCTGGTGTCGACTGGGGCGGTGTTGACCGGCATCAATGAGAACGATCTAGTATGTTTTTAGCATATACGAATATGTTTGACTTTCAGAGATCTGTAGGATCCGGACAGAAAAACAGACACCTCCGACTGCGTGATTTGTGATAAGAGCTCGGACCGGAGGCGCTTTACACCCTATGTATGAGGAACAAGAAGATCTAGCCGCCTTCGGAGATCCCGAATCGCGTGCATCAGAATGACGGTCAAACACGGTGAAGGAAAGAAGTGCCACTTGAAAGAAATGAAATTCGTCGGTGGTTGCTCAGAGTTGAAATGTATTGAAACGCCGAGAGAACAGCTCAAGATACCGAAGAACCACTTGTTTTAGAGAGATAAGGCTCTTGTCCAACGTTGCGCGGGACCGAGAGAGAGAAGGTTTATCTTGGCGCTTGAAACACCGTGTTGTACCGTCACCAATTTCTCGATCGTTGACCCGCCTCCCAGAAAGGAAATGATCAACAAGCTGTACCGCTTCAATCAAAGTAACCCAGATCGCGGAAGAGATTCGTCAACAATTTTACGGATTCAATTGACGGCGGAGGGGGATGTAAGTATATTGAGGCCTGAAATCCAGGAGGTTCGATCGTCAGGAAAGCCCGCAACAGCCCATACAGTCGAGCCTGTGGCACAAGCCCGTATCCATCGTAATTAAGGACAGTTTAGCCGTCAGCAAGGAACGCAAAAAGAGTTACCTCAAGGTCATGGTGATGAATACATATTCAATGGCTATGTATGCATCATTTTGATGTTCCCGATAGGAAGAATGTATATACGATGACTGGAAGCCGCATGGAATATTGGCAGCGAGATCCCGATATACCTTGCAGATGAATAGGGAGTCTAGATAGATTCTATGCGTCTATCTGGTGCCCCAGAACTTGTGTATGTATGCCGATAGCTTGAATAGTTCTGGTTTCACTGATGGGCGGAAATTGGGCGATGGGCGCAGAATGAGTGGCAAGAAACGCTAAAGAGAAGGATTCAAAGAAAGGAGGCAGTAAGTAAGATACCTCCTACTACATCAAATTCCAGCGGTGATTTCTCGAAAGGAGCTCAAGGTCGGCTTGATTCAACCACCCAGGGTCCGACAAGTGGATAGGCCCGTGAGACCGAATAAACCTGGAGATGAAAAAGAGACGAGTACTAAGTAACAAGACAAGAAGAAGTGAACACGTGCGAACGACTTACTGATCACAGATGATTAGTCACAAGATATTGTGCGTCAAGTGTCAGGCAGCCGGACCACACAACTTGGACTCCTCCACGATGTCGACGACGCTGTTGATAGACACATTTCATCCTTTCCCCTCACTGGCCCTGACTTTACCGTCGGAGACCCTCCTCGCCGACGTACCATCGCATCTGCTGGACTTCATACCGTCTTTTTCGGAGTTAGACCTCGCACTTACCCTTCCATCGGGTTCCCTGCCACTCGATTCAAGGCCGCTCAGCGCCCTCTGGGCGCGTGACGCTGCGTATTTTGGAAATGGAAACGACGAAGATGTCGCATATGGCGCGAAGTCATGCAGACTCATTAGTTTGCGACTCGTGCCACGTCTCCGCGGCGGAAAGGGCGGCTTCGGTTCGCAACTCCGTGCGGCGGGTGGGCGGATGAGTAGCCAGAAAACGAGCAACAATGATTCATGTCGTGACTTGAATGGACGCCGCCTCAGCACGCTCAAAGAGGCGAAAACGTACGTGCATTGTTTATCTACGATCTACAAGGGGCATTGATGCATTCTCACTTCCCGCTTTTTCCGTATTCGGTGCTTCATACTGACACTATTCGTTTTCTATTCGTATACTAGCCTAGCAGCATATCTGGAATTCGAGCCGGAACGTAAAAAGGCTCAACAAGAAGCTCAACGGGCTAAACTTGAAAAACTTGAGAAGCGTTTGGGCATTAACGGAAAAGGTAAAGAGAAAGCAGACGGTGACGATGCTCCCGTTGGCGCAAAGCGACGATTTGATGATACGGAGTACTTGGAGCAAAGCCGGGATATTGTGGATAATGTTAAGAGCGCCGTCGTTGCGGGTAAGTCATGGAATCCTTGTTTTGATGGGAAAATCTCTTATTTGTTGACTCATTTACTTTGTTCACCACAGGGATGCTGAAGAAGAAAAAGAAAGCAAAGACGTCACCAAGTCCAGATTCTCAGGAGGCGGCGTCGTCTTCTTTGTCTTCTAAGTCGTCTGGAGCTTCTGGAGCACCTTCAAATACTGAGAACAGCTCAAGCACGGATGGGTTGGCCGAGAAGGCTTCCGACGTTACTGAGAAAGCTTTTGAATCACCAATGACTACACCTATTATTTCCACGGCTTCGGCATCTCTTACTGCTATCGGAGCATGAGGCTTGGACTTTGTGCGCATCATGATATGCAGTCATGGGGACGTATCATTTTATCTTTTTTGTTTTTATCAAGAAGCAAGCTCGACGTAATACATAGTATCTACGAAGACAGTATTTCATGGAACGGAAAAGGCAATGAGGTGCACTGTTCAAGACATGGTCTAAGAAGCTCTACGTATTTTTACTTGTCCTTATTCTCGATCACTTCTTTCGTGATGGCGTCGCCATATACAAGGCGATCACAATACTCCTTTTTCCCTAGCAGCTGCAATAGCAGACCCCAAATAGGAGTGAGGAAAGGTACGAACATCGCCACCCTGCTCTTGTACGCGCGATAAGCTTTGGGGTACTTGCCCTCAGAAATCGACTCTGTAAAAATAGTCGAACTGAAGAAGAGCATGCACAATGCCAAGGGAGGGATCAACGATACGAGTGGCGTGATCTCTCCACGCGACAGCTTCTCGAGGCGTGGAGTCGCAAGAATAGGGAAGAGAGCCTGGAGGATCCAAAACGTTTGTTCGCATGCGAAGTTTGGATGTCTGCTCCAAGCCCAAAGTCCGCGAGTGATGAAACCGCGCTGCACGTCGGCCTGAGTCCACCGAATTCGCGCGCCTGGCCATTCGTGCTCATTGTAAACACCGCTTCGCTTGTGAGCTTGGTAGCTGTATTGTTGATTATCGGCAACAAATTCGATGACAAGAGTTATGATGCTCAGGAGAGTAAGTACGAAATCCGGAAGTTTAAGGCCGCGATCGGCCGGCGCAAGTATTGCGGCATTATGTGTTGGGACAGCAAGAAGAAATAGCAATATGTTCTGAGTTATCGCAATGAAGAAGAGATTGAAGATTTGGAAGAGCCACTTCGGTATTTTTGTGCGGAGAATTTCCCAGCGATAATCTTCTTCATGGCTATAAAATTGCATTTGAGACGGAGCGGATAAACGAATGAACCTACTTACAGACTGAATAAGCCACGACGCCATGTATTGTAGCTTAGTCGACACATCCACAGAATCTACGTTAACGTTTCAACACCTAAGCAAGAAGCATCCGTGACAATGTAAAAGCTATGACCTCACCTGCAAAGCGGCCATCACGAATGTTCGCGGGTTCGCTTGGTTTACGAGAGTCCGATCCAAGCCCTCTGGGGCGTACGGAAATAGAGGGAGCGGAGACCTTACTGGCCAGAATGGCAGAAGGGCATAGTAGATGGTATAGACCACAGGCAGAAACGTCCATACACGATCAACTTGTGACACATTTCCGGTTATGATTGAAAGCACGTATGTAGTCAATGTACTATAAAAGCAGAATTTGACTGGCCAGAGAAACGTCAGAGGTATTCCCGACGTTGCAGATGCGGCAAAAGAAAGGGGCGACATTGTTCGTTGCGCTTGCAGGCGTTGAACTCGTCGTGGTGGAAAGACGCCTGAAACCAGTCAGCCTGGCCTGGAACAACGTGTGAGAGATCGGCACATCCGTCCCGTGATGCGTGAAAATTGCCTAATATGGAATTATCCCTTTTTTAAAAATGTCGCTCCTCGCGATTCGGGAGACGTATTGCTGTTGCTTCAGTGCAAGCCAACGAGCATCTTTGACAGTTCATCGCTGACTTCGTTTGAGGTATTCAGGGACATCTTAGCGCACGGATGCATCTGTCTTCGCTTCGACTCCGAGGAGCTCCTCGAGCCCCGCCCGCCCTGTCTTCGTTCGGTAATCAATCTCCTCCCTTGCTTGCTCATCCATGCATAGACATCGTGCTATGACTCTCCACTTCGAGCTCTCAGATCTATGAGCCACTCAAGCACCGTCATATATGCAGGAACACACCCATTTGACTCATCAGGCTTCCATTCGCCAAGCTTATGGAAGTCCGATTGGTACGAGAACGCGCAACACAAACTCAAGCTTGAGACAAGTCCCCGCGCTGCAATCCGCCTCAGCCCGCTACATTTGTCCACTATTGCTGATAGTGGGTTTAAAACTGGTGCGGTCAGCTATTTTTTCCGTGTGCGTCAGCCCCGACACATTAGTGGTGTTATACAGATTCTGAGATGTGTTGCTACACAACTATTATTGGCAACTCTAAGAGCGGCCATAGCCGATGAGTAGTCGGGACGGTAATTACATCCAGACTGGCAATAGGATCGATCACGTTTGATCTTGCTTCAGACCCTGAGTAGCGCATGAGCATCTTCCTTCTGTAGTGGCTTGCCGCTTCGATGTCCGCTTGGGGAAGCTACACTGGACTTTTTGTTTAGCTTTGAGGCTATTCGGCGCATCGCGCGGTCGGTGATCGGTAGACCGCTTTCTGTCTATTGGTTCGGCTCGGCCTCCAAGCGAGTATTCGAGACGTCTCTTATACACTGTCGCGCTCAGCGTTACTTTTGCTTGTCTGTCAATCGATCACATAGGAAGGGTCTACTCATGCTCATCAGAATGGACGCTAAGTCATCCTGAGGGCGATGAATATTTTACCAATTTTATAACCATGATACTACGCAACGTGTGACGCTTTTTAGAGATGCTGTTGGATCTGGGACATCACATTCATTAGGAAACGAACTGACTACATGGGTCTGTTTCGGACTGGCGCGGAATTTGGAACGAAGTCTCCGGCGGTGCAGCTTCTCCAATCCTTTATTGGAAGGATGGTAAGGGTCTGTTTCGGACTGGTGCGGTTTGGAACGAAGCTTCTGGCGGTGCAGATTCTCCAATCCTTTATTGGAAGGATAGTAAGCAACCAATTCGTGATCTTACGTCCGTTTTAGCCGACTCAGGATGCCTTGGGTTCCCAGGCGCTGCTTTTCGAGCCGCTTAGATACACGCCTGATACCTCACTGGTCCTCAGATACATAAGTAGTTCGGAGACCGACCTCCGTTCCACCACTCCCCAGTTTCTCTATATTCAAGTCTCTACTATGAGCATCGTAATTCCTTCAGGTCATTTGGCTCGCACTGTCATCACTGTCCGCTGCAACTCTCCTCAATCCGCTCCACACATCGAATGTGCTCTCGATGAGCAAACACCCTTTGGCAGCACTCAAGAGCTTCTCGGATCGCCCCGCATGTTTACAACAGACGGACGGACGACTGCTTCCAGCAGTACAGCTTCTATGTCCCCTTCTGGACCTGTCAACATCCCTCAGGCAGATCTGAGTGTCGAACGTGGTATTGACCATCGTGGTCACTATGTCCGACTCTCTTTCCTCCCTGGTCATCGAAGTTCGCATAACTTCAGTCAGCGACCGTTCGAAGCGGCCGACGCTCCCTATTTTCCTCTAGGCAATCATCCGTCAGTTCCGAGTTCGAGCATTGGATCGCGAGAAGCTTCAGTGTTTCGGCCGCCCGCTTTCAATCCGCCGCATACAACGGGCGGAAGCCCTCTCGCGTACTCTTCTGTGCCGATCATGAACGTGAGCTTTTCATTTCTCCGTGTGCCTATTCAGTACGTTGATAAATTGAGGACGGTTTAGGGAGCGCATGCCGAGGCTGTTACCGGAGGCTTAGACAATATGAATTTCATGTCTTCTGCGGATGCGGACTTGATTACGGGTCAGTGATTAAGTCCTTGCTCTTGTATTCTTATCGAGTATTAAATTTACACGTTGTCATGTCGTTAGCTCTTGATTCGTTCATGGGTATATTCAACCCCCCGAACACGGATTATCCGATGCTTGATGTGGGAGGCCAAGGCAACATTGCATCTTCCCAACAATCCAGTCAGATCTCGGAACCGGCTTCTCCAGACATGTCGTCTTCATCTTCGTTGTCATCGTGTTCAAATTCACCTACGACGCCTTACAACTTCTTTTTACCCGCTACAATGCCGACTACTGATGGCGGGCGGAGAAACGACACTGAAGTCATCGATAATGGAACAATTATCCAAACCGTTTCCGAACAATCGTTCCAGTCGTCTCCCGTACTTCCGCAGCTCTCTACTGAGCCAAATCCGAAGACCGGCTCGACCTCTAAATCTGCTGAGTCAAGACTGCTGCCCTGTCCACAGCCAGGATGTAAGCGACAGTTCAAGAGCACCAGCACTTTGGGAGGTCACATGAAGACTCACGCAGGAAAGGGTGTTCGCTTCCCCTGCTCCTTCCCTCCCTGTACGGAAAAGTTTTCGCGCCGACACGATCAATTACGACACGAGGTGTACAAACACGGAAAACGCTGCGAATGGGTGTGTTCGAAATGTAACAGTTTCTTTTCATACGAGCGCTCGTTAGAGAAACACACATGCACGATGGACAAGAGTCGGAGGGGAAGTATCCCCTATCCTGTGAATGGGGCGTCTGGCATCGGGGGCGCATCGGCAGCAGGGCGGTGATTAGGATCGCACATTGCGTATGGAAATCATTATTGGGTTATTGAAGATTCGGAACAATTGTATAATACGTAGATTGTAAATTATGAACTCCTTCCTCTTTGCTATCTCTTTTGGACTTTGTAGTATAGCTATGCCTAGAACCTGTAGAAGCTCTTACTGTATGATTGTTTAAATGCGACACACGGACCGACTAGTCGTACTTGGTCTTCTGGATGCTCCTTAGAGTAATCTTACGTACCTTTCTATTGCTACCTGACCTTCACACTCTCCGTCAAATTGATTTGCTTTGAACCCTAAGTCATTTTCTCGCGCTACCTAACAAGCGGGCATCTTTTTTTCCTTCCGTACTGTGGCTTTCTTCTCTTACTTTGTGGCTTATCAACGATTCATAGACTCACGTCGGGCACTAGGTTCCTTATGGACAGGCCCAATCTAATCATCATTAAATTTCCCTCTGCTACTTCAACAGTCCCGACTACGTCCGCGAAATCCGGAGCAATCATAAGATTTGCCCAGATCTCAACCAAGCATGCATAGTTGCACTCCAGCCAAGATAGACGGAGTCGGCGCTGGCATTGGCGCTAGGTCCCGGTACATGGCGTCATTAAAGCAAAGGCTACATACGCCGCTCATCGCTCTGCTACACGAAACATATTCCTCAAGTTCATCCATTTCAATGTTCTGATATCTGTGTTGAGATATCATTATGCACATATGCGATGCAAGTGATCGAGTCTTTGTACATAACGTATCGGCAACGACCGTGATGATGTGCAAATATAGACGGGATCGAATCTCATTGAATCACTTTTTTGTACCACGACGGCGCAGTAGTAGGGCGAGTGTATACTGATGTCGTGTCCTGCCACATCAGCACTAGAAGTCTCGAAATCTCCGAGTGGACCGACGACGCGTGAGTACACTAGGTGTGCCTCGACTGCGATCTCTGCGTACGTCCTTTCAATGGTCAATTGACATCCCTTGCTGCGCCCATTCACCCTTAATCAAAGGATAAGACAGCTTTCATTTTGCAGAGACCCTATGATTGACCTTGGCTATCCCCTCTTGGAAAAATAGCGCTTACGCGGGAGGATTCAAAACGCTGCAAATACGCGCTACCGCCGGGTTATCTCGATAAAATGGATTGGCCAAGATTTTCAGGTTCTGCATTTTCCACAACGGCGACAATTGACCAGACGTCTAGACTCTTATGTTTAAAGTTCGTCAGCCTTGCTGCCCGTTGGGAAATTAGACAAATCCGCGAAACCTCCGCCTTGAGCCTGTTATCTTCATAGGTTCTTCTGAGAACGACCGGAAGGGTGCTCTCGTCTTCGCACTGCTTGTGCCTGCGGGAACTCTATAATGTCTAAAATGGTTCAATTCGATGATGCACCCGGGCCACCATTCGTTTGTACGGAAGCAGAACTCCAAGTTTTCTCTCCTGTTTTACATGTTTTTGAAAGTTATGTGGCACAACTTCGCAACGGATTACAGGATCTATGAGCTCCCGGGAGTTATCTAAAACAGCTCAGCATACCGCTACCTCCTAGGGTGCGCAGAATTCGCGCCCATCTTTAGAAGAGGTCGGACCGCAATCATTTTGCAATCGCGCTGACGTACTTGGAATTCAGTTTTGGCCCTGGCTAGTCCAATTGCCTGACATATTTGTTATGGAAGCCGTTTGTCATTGAAGCAAAGCTAAAATTAGCTTCGAGGAGCCATCCTTATGTGCCTGATTGTTGTGCATCCCGATTCTTCAGATGGTTAGGAAGGGACGTCACCATTTTTCTCGTTCTGTTTCTTAACTCGTCTTGCTAACTGCTATCGCAAAATTCCCACTAAGGTTGTCTTCCAAGATAAAGAGAAAGCGGCCAGGGTTGCCGTTATGAGGGTTGCGCCACTTGGTGTATGTACGATTCCGCGAGGTCTTGTTATCTGTCTTTGAGGTGGGCTTCGTCGGTCTGCAGCCCATAGAGGTGGGGACTATAGACTGAATACCTCTGAAATGGCTGTTGGCGGGGTTGCCTATTTCCAACGCTGTGCAGGACTCCTAACGCCCACAAAAGACGCCTCCACCGAGTAGATCGGAGAGTATTTAAATGTCGTGAATGAATCCAGAGCAAATGGGATTATGACAAGAAGTGATACTTGACATTTTTGGATTATCGGAACCGGTGCGTCAATTTTTGTTCAACAATCGGCTGGGCGTATATTTGCTGACGCGTAGTAATATAGCTATGTAGTGAATCGGCCGAGGAAAATCTGTTCAACTTGTATTAAGTCTTTGAAACATCATTTTACTCAGCATCACTCATCCTGCTTATTGCCTTAGAAATTCTCTCATGCCTCCGTTGTCTCGCTGCAAACGATACAGTCATTATATTTGTACATGTATCTGAAGATGAGTGCGGTGCCGACTAAATGCGATAGGAGCGTGCTATGTGGTCCGTTATCATATTTAGGTTCCTGAGCGTCCTCACCACGTTCATATCAGCAAGATTATATCTGGGCGACATTTATCTGTTACCACTTGCAGTGGAGCGGGAAGATGGGCTATACTGATACTGAAGAACCCTAAGTGCGGGCTATTTTTTCCAACATACTATTTGATTCTGCATACTGACTGTACCCTGCATGTTCAATTGGCATCAGGTCGTTGATTGCTTGTAGTGCGATGCGTCTCGCTGTTGCGTTTGAATGAGATGTCAAGGCTCAGCACGCATGCAAAAGGTGGACGGGCTACGTCAATCCATTACGTTAGGTTCGATGCTGTGTCGCAACGATTTAATCATCGGATTCCGTATCTGCGCTCACTGTTTCGAGTGCGGATTTCTCCGCCCTTGCATGAAAGGGTTCTGCGTCGGCGCGACGAGAAGTCAGAAAGTACATCAATGGCGCGTACATATCGCCATTATATCGCCGGATCCAGGAAGAATGGTCCGCCGATATGTTGTGGCGTATTGTCCTTGTGGTCGCTCTTCCATAAGTTGATGTTGACTCGATGAATGCAAATTATTACCGGCTTAAATTGATTCGCGTCGGTTGGGTCGGAACAAAGTGCGCCTTTGAAATTCGCTTACCGACGACCGATCCTTATGACAGTCAATGTAGAAAATAGTGCGCCATTAAGGAGAGAGGGGCGGGCCGGACGCTTGTAAGGCGGTAATTAACTCGCTTGGCACGCACACGGGATGACGCGTACCAGTTAGATGCCGACGATTACTTTGTCATGATTTCTCGCGCGTGATCTTTATTTGCAGCATCAAAATGCATCTTTGGAAAAGAGTCAGAAAGGTCTATGGAGGTACAATACTGTCGTTTTCAAATTTGCTTAAAACATAAACTAAGGTGAACATTTAAACAGCCGCTTTTTTAAAAAAGCAACCGACACAGTGACTCTTGTTCCGACTACCGAAGCTGCGTCACCTGAACCGTTGGAAAATGTCATTTCATAAAGCAACGTGCAAGTGGCTTGAACCCACCACATGCTACATATCAACGTGTTCGTTAATAGAAGTGCGGGACGTTGATCGCTTTTATGCAGAGTGCTCCAGTAAAAGAAACAGAGTTCCGCTCATAACACGAATGTTTCATGTTCAAATCGATTCTCGGGATACATATCAAGTTATAGTTCGAATCCACTTGCATAACCGACATGCCCGAGACAAACGGGAACGATTCGAATGCGAACAGGAACTTGATGTCATGTATGGATAGAGGCGCCACTAGAAGTCAGGTACTGAATGGAATGAAACCGAGTATGACAGTCTGGAGCGTAATGGCACGACGGGAATAGCGTATAACTCTGGTGCGATGGCGCACAGTACGAACAACAATACCGCTCTGGATGTCCCGAAGAACCGAACCATTCAAACGCGTTTATCCGAACTCTAGGACGACCCGGAAAGGAATAAAGAACCTGATTCAAATTGAAGAAGGCTAGCAAAGGGCGGCATAGTCGCAATTCACAGGAACATGATGATGAAGACGGTCGAAAAGGGGGCCGACACCTCCGTTTTTTATTGAACAAGATTATAGAGTCAGTCTGAGCTGACAGCCAAGCCATAGCGAAGCATTGTAATCGCGGTCGAACTCCTCGGAGTTGAGAAGCCATTCGCCAAGAGCAAGAAGAGATTGCTGTAGGTCCCAAGGAGAAAGGGACACGCTTGGTACCAACTTAGTTCGATCGTTGAAGGAGAGCAACGCAAAAAGTGCGGAGCCGGGTCAGATTCGAGCATATCGGATTGCTTCCGTGACGATGCCTTATTTCATAGGCTGCTGATCTAGAAGTTTGAGAGTTCTTCGTTCAATCGAGGTACAAGAAGAGAAGGGAGAAGGAACGGAGAACTTTGTCCGGTATCGAAGGCTGGCGCGACCTCGGAAGCAATCACATTGAAAGCATAGCATGCATTGAACGGAAGAGAGCCCGTGCTAATGGGAATAAAAATGACGAGAAATTGCGAGCCGGAGGTATCCATTAAGAACCCTATCGCACCATTGTGCAGGATAATAGAAGCAGATGGGCTTGAAGTGATGAACTTTGAGGACATTCGATTTATGTTACACCAAGGGCATACGGATCGAGTTGCCTGCTTACGTCCTGATCCCTCCAAAACGATTGTCCGAGGATACGCAGAAGGGATAGTAGCGCTGTAATCACCTGGAATACCGATGCGCTTCGTCGGCCCTGAACACTCCTGTGAAGAAGACCTGGCTTAACCTGCCGGAGTTCCGCACGAAGATAAATTACAGGAGATGCTTTCTTCCTTTGGTCGGGGATCACTCACATACCGTGTTGGGCCAACGTGCAAGGTACCCTTTTCTGTACGTTGAGTTCGTTTATGCATAGGGAAGAACTTCGCATAACTTTACAGGCATAGATCTATGAAACCAACGTGCCGAGATTACTACGTCTGCGATAACAGACCACGCTGGAAACGCGTGTAGACGTGCTTGCCTTGGCCTGTTGAGAGAAGACACGTCGAGTTATTAATGTCCAAGCACAGGAGAGTACGTCCCTAGACGTCGGTCGGGACCAAGCCCCGCCTGGTGGAACTTCGCGTGATAGCCCAGCGGAATCTGTTTGATAATGATACTTGCCTAGCCTTGAGTAAACATGTTTTAAATGCAACAATGTAACATTACTGGTGAATGCATTGCTCACCAATGTACCCTTACCAATATAGATGTCAAACGGTCAAAAGACATCAGTAATTGCTACTCCGCCACAAATATTGAAACAACGACATTAACAGATGTCGAAAAATCATAGCGACTAGCATTGACTCTAGGAGATAGACCGGAAGTGCCTGATCTGTAAAGCTCTCGTCCTTGGACTGCCCACACAGGACTAATTCAAGCCATCAGAAGATGAGATAGTACTGTCGGAGAGTGACCATTTTGGCATATGACGAAGAATGGGGTTCCCTTGGTACGTCGAATCTAGATGGAGTTTCCTGCCAGTGAAGCCGTCTGATATCAAGCCTTGATAATCAAAGCAGGGTCTTTTGATATACAGCCTTTTGCGTGAGCACTCGTCCGTGTCCTCCTGCTGATGATGACATACAAGTTCTGTTTAGAGCCATCTTGAGATATAGTGACGGTCTAGTGACGGGCGAACCAATCAAAAAAAGGCGATGCCGTGTCTCGTATTCCAGTGAAAAAAGAAGTCAAGCCAGAGAGACGATAATGAAGGAAAATAGAAATGGCATCTCCATGCACAGGAAACAAGGAAGTGAAATGGACGAATTAGCATTAATTGTACTAGGAAGAAGGTTGAGTACACAGGTTGAGGTATGGTTGTGTGGACACGCGATCAATGCATTACGTCAGAAATTGATCCCGTTTACGGATTAGAACTGAAAACGATGGATCCCTTTCGTCTCGTTCCCTGTCGTTCGTATCAGCATCTTTACCTCACCCCTCCTTCTACTCGTCGGCCTCGTCGTGATTTCTACTTCTTGTCGCGGTATACTCTTTGAATAAACACAAAACAGGCAAAAGAAATGCAAGCCAGGGTCGGTACTCCACGGACTTTTGTTTTATCTCCACGTTTCGATCCTAACAACCATCTCAGGCCCAGTTTCTCAGAGAGTACAAGCTTGTGGTCGTTGGTGGAGGAGGTCAGTGACAAGCAGAAATATCTCATAGTATTCTCGCTAACGTCGTTTCAGGTGTCGGCAAGTCCGCTCTCACCATTCAGTTCATTCAGAGCCATTTCGTGGACGAATACGACCCGACCATCGAAGGTACGTTAGCAGCTCTGTTCGGAATGTGCTACGACATAAAGCTAATGCGAATTTCGTCTAGACTCGTATAGGAAGCAATGTGTGATTGACGACGAAGTTGCATTACTCGACGTGCTGGACACGGCTGGCCAAGAAGAATATGGGTGTGTACTCAAAGGTTTTCGTTCTCAGGCCGAATGCTAATCTGTGTGATAGTGCTATGCGTGAGCAGTACATGCGTACAGGCGAAGGCTTCCTTCTCGTCTACTCTATTACTTCGCGCAGCTCTTTTGAAGAAATCAGCACGTTCCATCAGCAAATTCTCCGTGTTAAGGACAAAGACTACTTCCCTGTCATTGTCGTTGCGAACAAGTGTGATCTGGAATACGAGCGCCAAGTTGGAATGAACGGTCCGCATCTTGTCCTTTGATACCCTATCGTATGACGTTGCTGATGTGCTCCGCATCATTAAAATCAGAGGGCCGTGACCTTGCGAAACACTTCAATTGCAAGTTCATTGAAACATCCGCTAAACAGCGGATCAACGTCGACGAAGCGTTTTCAAACCTTGTCCGCGAAATCAGGCGATACAACAAAGTAAGCGCCTGTCTTGCCTTTCGGCGTTAAGCAAGTAGTTGAGAAACTATAATTATCATCTATAGGAGCAACAGACTGGTCGTCCCTCGGCTCCATCTCAGCCGGGTGTTTACAATGCCCAGAATCCTCAAGATGACAACGCTACGTCTTGCGGATGCTGTGTTGTTGTCTGAAGCTCCACTGCTTTTTCGTATACCAGTTTGGAAGAGATGCGAACAGAATTTTTTCGTAAAAAATTTCACCTCGCTCTTCTGCCGTCATAAGCCTTTTCGGCTACATGCTTCTAGGCTATTTTGTCTTGTCCTCCTCTTCCATTACCTGTACTTATCGGTCTTCCCTTCCCGCTAACCTACGCTCCATGTCCACCTCTCCTTTCACTACATTGTCTTCCTTTATGATGCCTATGAACACAACAAAGTATGCGAGGTGCCGTCTTTCTTTTCAGCCGTGATAAAGTTCTCTTGTGCTATTACCTTTCCGGAGGTCTGTATGATTACATTGTGCTATGTTTATAGCTTTGAATTGAAAATTGAAGGAACTCTTTTTTTGAGTGAAATATTATTTTGGAAGTCAAATTCCTAAATAAGAATAGAAGTGCTATTCCATCCGGGACCGTTGCCAAGACACCTCTTCAGGTTCCTCCTCCTCGGGAGTAACTTCATCACGACGTTGGTCAGCTGTCCATGGAGAAAACTCAACATGATTGTATTGAATAATGCTACAAAATCTTGCTCACCGATAGGTGCGGTGTGGACATCTTCCTGATTGACGGCTTTGATAGAGTCGAGTCCCAGTTCGAATGGTCCTTCGACACCAGCATTCCCACCTAGGATGGATATCCCAAGCCATCGGATTCTTTCCTCTTCCAGCGTTACTGACGATGCACGCCCAGTAGCTAGCTCACCATAGCTGGTGAGTGCGAATGCAGAGAAGGGAATCTGGGAAGGAATATAATTTTAAGTGAATCTGTGTAAAGGTGATCGATATAAATGGCCTACAAAGATGTCCTCCCACGACCCGTCATCTTTACGGAAATATAGGCGGTGTTGCCAGAGCTCACCCGAGACCGGCGAGTCTGTCTGGAGGTTGACAAAGTATGCGTTACGTGTGCGTGGATGACCACCGGCACGAACACGCAGAGCGAGGAACTCATGATTCGAGATGTCATCTGTTAACTCGCCAAATAGAGTTGGACGAGACTGCATGTGTGTGCATGCACAAGTAATATGTTAACGGGTTGATCGGATGCATGATGTGCAAGATGTTAACTTTACTGCGAAAGCCGGCATAGCCGCCCCTAATTTTCCCTCGCATGTCGCTGCGCACGCCTAGACGCATTTCTCCCCAAAATCGTGTAGTTCCCTTCCCGTTTGGTTCATTCGAGCTCGGCACAAAGTCGAGGTGAGCTGAAGATGTCCCACCGATGTCGGAGTCGACCCCGAGAGAATAATTTTGGAGGTCTTCCTTGTTATTGAAGGAAAGCAGTTGCATGGGAGCCCGACTCGGCTGGTTCAGACCATCCATGCGCAAAGCTAAAGTCCGTCATAAAATTAAGATACCAGAATACTGGATTGATCTATTCAGCATACCGCGGGATGTGTTGTCACGTAAAATCTGTGTTGACCTGCATCATTGTTAGATGGTCTATAATAGGGTAGTGTGTGATACTCACCTATTTACTCTGGTCATTAACGACGCCCATTTTGAAGCCATCGTAGTGATGGTCAACGACAACTAGTGTGTCGGAAGTAAGTAATTGAAATGACCACAATGTCGTCACTCTCGCGAGATGTTACATAACATAATAAAGGTCGCGTTACAGGTAACAAAACACGGGATCATAGTAACATCGCGTTTTGTCGCACCCAAGCTGGTCAACTTGCTCATCGTATTTATCGTCTCGTCGTGCAGGCGATGAGCGCAACACCGAGTTCACCGACGAAGAAAGGAAAATTAAAGCAGTTCAACAGTGACTACGATGATCTTGACCCAGTCATCACATACCGGCATCTTCAGTCTTCAGTCATTGGTCCAAGTCATCCATTACGGATAGTCGCCTTGTGCGACTGCAACGCGTTCTATGCCAACTGTGAGCAAGTACGACTAGGTCTTGATCCGGAAATACCTTTGGTTGTGCTACAATGGGGTATGCTGATCGCTGTGAACTACCCTGCTCGTAAATTTGGTATCTCGCGAATGGACAAGTTGGACGAGGCACGGAAGAGGTGTCCTGATCTCGTCGTGGTCCACGTGGCTACATACGCACAGGGAGAGGATGAGCCAAAGTATTGGGACAAGCCAGATGTCAATACGCACAAGGTTTGGTCTAAATGTTACTTTGCGCTTCTGCTACCTATACTGACATGTACCCCGATACTTAAATGACTCTATAAGATTTCCTTAGATCTGTATCGCCGGGAAAGTGTCAAAATCCATAGCATGTTTAAAGATCAATTACCCACTGGTGAAGTTGGTATGGAGCATTACTTTATGGAAGGATACGCCATTAATGCAGTCTTACTCATCACGTCCATAGAGAAGGCATCAATTGACGAAGCATTTATAGATTTCTCGATTCCCGTTCGCGATGAGCTCCTGAAACGATACCCTTATCTGTCCGAACCTCCAGTTGATTCGCCAAGCGGCCCAGATACTCCATTACCTCCGCCCCCTCGGATATCGTATATTGGATTGGGGAACCTGATTCCTATAGACCCCCCAAAGCTTGACCCAGAGAAAGAAGCCACTACTGAGTTAATAGAAGAGATTGAGAAAGATGCTCCAGCCACTTGGCAAGATGTAGGGCTCGCAATAGCAGCGGAGCTAATGGCCTCTATGCGGAAGGAAGTGCACGAAAAGCTCGGCTATCTGACGTCTGCGGTAAGAGACTTTGCCTTTGAATGTTCCTTAACTTACTCCGGCATGCAGGGGATAGCACGGAACAAATTTTTGGCTAAACTAGCGGCTTCTTATCGCAAGTTCAACACGCAGAATATCCTGCGAAACTTGGCCATACCAGGGTTTCTTAAGCCTATGCCATTCCAGAAGGTATGTAGCCTAGTCGTCGTTTTAGTGGCGTTTGCTTGGAATAGCATTCACCCTCATCTTATCTTAGATACGTTTCCTCGGCGGAAAATTGGGCAAGGCTCTTGCAACAGAGTATGATGTGTCAACTGTGGGAGATTTGCTGTGAGTAGTGCTTTCTTTGTATTATCATTGCGGCACCGCTGATGAAATGTTTACAGTCACATCGGTATTGGTGAGAACTCTGTGGCATGAAATGGACGTCATCTAAATCTCACTACAGAGGAGATGCAGTCCAAGTTCGGCGAGTGTTCTGTCTGGGTATACGAAATACTTCGGTACGTTCTGTTCCCGACGTGCCACCCAAACCCCGGTTCTAATCCTCTCATGCAGTGGGATAGATCGTGCCGAAGGTAACTTCAGGGCTATAACATCTGTATGAATTGCAGCTTATGCTTTCCCAGTGAAGGAGAAAGCTGTGATTAACAAATCCATGAACGCCTCAAAGAACCTACCTAAGCCCCTCACGGACCCTTCCGAAGGACCGCATTGGATCCGCATGCTTGCGGCAGAACTCGCAATTCGACTTAATGAAGCTCGCGAGAACACTCCAGGTCTATGGCCACGGACGCTTAGCTTGCACACTTGTCAGGGTTGGCACGTTCGGCGTTCGAAGCAGCAAGCATTTCCACCCCCACGTTCCACCAATGTAACTGCGGATTTTATGACCGGGGAGGCCGAGAAACTGTGGAAAGAGATAGTGAAGAGTGGCATATTGTGGGATGGCAAGGACGGAATGAAAGTGACCCACCTTGGTTTGGGTTTGACAGGAATAGGCTGGACAGAAGAAGGCCAGCAGAATATCCAAGGTTTCTTCCGTGCGAAGGCACCGACGGGCACTGAGCGGGCGGTTTCGGAAGGTGTAGCCGGTCCGAGTACATATGCGACCGGCAGAGAAGCATTGCGTCAACGAAGTCAAAGTGTCAAACCTGGTGTGGATGAAGACGAAATTGTTGTGCTGGACATTGGAGACGGTCAGTGCCGATATTTAATGTTTGCGGGAAGTTTGTCTGATGCCATCTGTTAATTCAGAAAGCGGGACCGGGTGTTATTCCTTTACATGCGCTCGATGCCGCAAGATTATTTCTCTACCTCCGCATTTACTCAAGCAAGGCGAGGTTTCTGGTCCAATTGGTGACAATACCAGCGATGTCGAGGAATTACGGCAGGATGCGCTCGCAGTTCTTCGTATGGAACACGACGATTACCATTTCGCACAGGATCTTGCTCGTCAGGATAAACAGTCAACCAGCAGTGCGTCGGTCCCTGAGAAACGCAAGCCCAGCTCTTCGTCAACTCGACAAGTGAAGAAGAGGAAGAAAGAACATCAACCAGAGGGCATCGCCAGATTCTTTATCAAGGAGAGGAAGCCATGACAGTTTCATTCAGACGGGTTTTTCGGGTGGGGACTTATTCAATTTGGACTAGTTCATCATGATTTGTAGCGGTATTCCATGTACACCGTCTCTATCGTTGTATCCGTAGAGCAACTATCATCATACCCTTTCGCATATGTATTCCATCAACGATTTTATTGATTTTGTTTTGATTTACGCGAAAGGTAACTCGGGCTCACGGCGTTCCTCAAGTGCAAGTCGCGTCAAAATAGTCAAGACTTCCCGAATCCTCTTTGTTCTCGAAATCCGACGTCTGACAATGACGCGCACTGACTCTTGCCTGACGTGTCGACCTGCCAAAGCCTTGGTCGTTATCCAGGGACTCTTCTCTAAGATGTGAACAGCAGGCGTTCTCCAAGATGCGCGTTTGCCGCACTTAGACACTGCCTCAAGGCTGTTTGTGGGTGCTCGGTTGCGACTCCATCACTACCTGTCAAGATATGTTCCCACCGCAAGCCAAAAAGCACTTCAGGTGGCCAATAGCCTCCATCATTAGCCAAGTGGTATCAATGATTGCATCGCGTACCGTGTGTCGCATGTCCAAGTATTTCTCAAGCAGTACGTTACCGAGTGCCCTCCGACCGGGATTGTCGTAACTAGGCGCGGCGTATCATTTCTCGAGACAATTCAAAATTAGACGGAGGCGTCGTTCTATATCATATATACCGTCGAAGCCAAGAATGGACAGGTCCCGCTCTCTGGTCGAGGCCATTTCGCACCATTTTACAGGTCTCGTCTCTGGCAGTCCTGTGTCTGTTTCTTTTCCTTGGCCTGGGGTCGACCTGGTTCCTGTTTTCTTTCTTCTTGTGTTCTCCTATTTCACGACTCGACGATCGTTCAGATTAGCGCCGGGCGCCCTTTAAAAGGACTTGAGTCCCGCTGACGCAGAGTAGCCAGCCAGCCAACCAATTCTTGGTCCCTGTCCGGCACAGATCCACATTCGTTATTTTATTTTTCGTTATTTTATTGCATAGAGATCATGGCCGCACAATTCTTCAAATTCAGCTCTGGGGAGAGGACTATAGCAATCGTGAGTCATTCCTCTTACTTTTGATTCTTCATCACATTGCTTACATTGATGTAGATCATCGGGATTGCAGCATGTCTTTCAGTTCTTAGTATTGTCGTCCTTTCAGCGAGGGTCGTATTTGCCGTTATTCGACCACTAGTGCAAGGACTTAAGGGGAGGAAGGATTCAAGAGAGGCTCTTTTCTTCCGAACGCCACTCGGCGCCTACGTTGGTTGCCTTCTGCTCGCAAACTTTCTGGCTGGGATAGCCGGAATTTTCGAGTTTACATGGGCAAGTCAAGGAGGTATAACCGTAGGTAAGAATTGAATGTTTTGACTTGCACTAGAAACCTTTCCTTACTTATCGGTTTCTGTTTAGGTCCTAATTGCACAGCGCAAGGTAGACGCTCTTCGAAAACAAGTTGTAATCGTTGCTAATATCATTGGGAAGGTTCTCTTATCCAGATCGGAGACTTTGCGGGAGCCTATTTCACAGCTGTCATTGCCATGCACACTTTCTCATCCTTAGTCCTACACAAACGTTATTCTGCCTGGTGGGTTGTCTTCGGGGTAGCTCTCGGCTGGGGGAGCGCAGTTGCTTTGGGTGTGTCCAATCATTCCATTTCAAGCGCCAATCTGTTGATGTTCCAACCGTCGTTTAGGCACCGCTTTGTCGACAATCAGCACTTCCAAGCATGGTCCTTTCTTCAATCAGGTTGGCATGTGGTGCGCGATCTCTAGCGGATACACTGTAGAACAGTTTGTTGCTTATTATCTTCCGGTAAGCTCTGTGTTTTTCAAATACATTCAAGTTCAGTCAAGCTAAGATTTGCGTATGTCTAGATTGTAATTTCGGCGTTCGTTACTTCTGCTTTATATGCAATTATCTATCTTTGTCTTCGTGGAACGCTCGTTATCGGTGATGGCATCAAGTTAAATCTATCTCCCGAGAATGTACAGGGATGGGTCGCTCGTCTGAATGGGCGAGAGGAGTACAGGCATTTCCTCGGTGCGATCATCAGGAGTCTCCTGTGGTTCCCATTTGGTGAGTCATGACGGTGTTACCAGGATTGTTTTGCGTATGCTTAACTTTTCATAGCTTTTGTCGTTCTTTTCCTTCCTATTACTATTGCAGGTCTCATGCGGATATCTGGTATCGGTAATTCTGATGGGCTCCTGGCACTTGCTGGAGTCGCTGCGTCTCTTAACGGTTCGTAATCTCACGTTTCTAAGCAGAAATAGAATTTACTGAATGTATCATACAGGACTCGCGAACGTTCTGATTTTAGTAAATACGATTAGGGTGCTTCGCCCAGCGATTAACTCGATGACTGCGAGCTCGGCATCTGAGAGTTTCTTCGTTCCCGAGGAACGCAAACCCTCTCCTATAGAGGCACCCAAACCGATGGTGTTCGACGAGAAATCGACTACATCTTCAAGTCCGAGGTCCGTAATGCATGGTAGGGCGTTCCCACCACCCGTTTCTAGAGTGGCGTCCCCTCTGTCAAGCAGAGGGTCTGCATCACCTTACGGTTTACCCGCCACCCCAAGGAGTGGAAGGCAACCATTGCCATCCCGCATTTCTGAGGATGGGAGGAACGAGCACACGCCAACACCGGAGATGAGGGAGATGTGGTTGCGACACCAACGGTCGAGCTCGAGTATGGATAGCACAACGACACTTCTGCGAGCAGCATCTCCCGCTCGGTATGGTCACTCACGAAATGCGAGCTCTTCAACGAGCTCGGAGAACATACATGCGCTCTTTGGCAAGCCGATTCTTCCAAATGGTGAGATCAATAGGAGAGTCGATTTAGATATGGGCGTCCCGAATCGCTCACAGACGATCAGTCCGCCTCCTGTCATAACGATTACTCGTCCCACGTCGCCCGACGATTCGGCAGGTTTACCTCCGCCTCCACGGTCATCGCGAGGATCGACGCAATCTGTCCCACCAGTTCCTCCGCTCCCGTCGAATCGAAGTTCAATGCACTCGCAGCATGACTCGCAGTCAGGCTCTGAGCATGAGGAACACGAGTACGTTGAAGAGCGGTACCGTAGGCCCAAGACGCCTATGACAGCGCGTAGCATGCATTCTCACTCGAGACGCACGTCATTTTCTACAGAGTATGGAGATTTCGAAATCCATCGAGTTGACTCTCGGGATCGCTTAAAGCCCGCAATTAGCGCGGTTGCGCGTGCGCCGATTCCTGCAAAGGAAAATGAGCCCGAAAGTCTTCCCTTCCCGCGCAAGAATGAGATGGGTATGTCCAGCGTGGTGAGCTTACCGGAGTCTGTAACGGGTGTGAGCATGCACACGGGCGAGTCGGAGGATACTATGCATGCGGAGATTCGAAGCCGGTCGGATACGCTTGAGAACACTGAAGGCGCGTTATCGTCGATAGCATGGGCGTCGCTCGTCGCACATGCAGCCTCACAAGATCGACTCGCTGGCGATGCAGAGCTCCGATCTCCGTTGCAGTCAGATACGTGGGATGACGACCGCGAAATTATGGATGACGAAGAATTGACGCCACCATCGAGACCGAGGCGGACGAGCGACGTTCCTATGGTTCTCCGACCTGGGACGCCTGACTCTGTCGGTGCTGATATGTACTTCAGATTCGACGCACTTAGTTCGTCGAGACTGCCGCAATACGCGGAAAACACGGCCGAGAAGAACGGGTCCTCGGACGTGAATCGTTCTCTGCGCTCGGTTCCTGGCTCTGCGCTTCGCCCGAATCGGTCCTTGAATGGTGTTGGCACGTCGGTGTTCTCTCGCGATAACGATAACCGCCTGGGACGCAGTAATAGTCGGCTTAATACCAATATACGGGAAGGAGCACCCAGAGCTGGGTATATTTAATCAGACACTACTCCCTGTAATTTCTCTTGAAGACTATTTATCTTGATGACCTTTCACGAAAACGGACCTATGTACGGTCTTTGTACTGTATTATTTTTTGTTTCTTGGGTGTTGCACTGGCTGCACCGACTAGCATTGCAATGTTGTAGATACATAGCAATAAATAGGATTAAATTTACAAGACAAACAAGCAAACAAGTAAATTGAAATACAGAATTTCTTAGCAGGCTCACATTTAATCTCTATAAAGCAGTGTCGATTGCACGGGAAAGCACCTGACTGCATCGATTTCTACACTCTACATAGACTTTGGACTAGTGAGATTATATTTATAAAGGTGCTCCGAGTCAGTAAGCCTGGGGGGAGTAAAAGGCGCGTTGCGATTGGCTGAGCGACCCTTACGCGGATTATGACGCGCGACGATCGGTTAGAAGTAGCAAGCCCAGGATGGGAATCCGCGTTATAAGCATCACCGCAGCAGTGAGAATGGCTCCCGAATGCTCTGCAAACGCTTACTTAGGAACTTATACGCGACTCACTACTACTCCTATAAACCCTCGCTTCTCAGCAACCACCCCTATCGATATCAAGCTACTCGGAAGATGGCCACGCAGACTATCGCCGTGCTGAACGATAGCGAGCTCAAGGACGGAGAGTTGTGCGTGCTTGATTTATTGCTGCAACACAACGCGCATGGAGATGCTGATGGTTCTTGTGTAGGAAAGAAGTGCCCTTTGGAGAGGAAGGAAAGGTTCTGTTGTCGAGGATTGGCAATGACGTCCACGCGACGAGTGCGTTCTGTACTCAGTAAGCGCTCGTTGAAGCCTTCAGATCAATTGCATCCGCCATTGAATTGCTGTGGTGAATTGCAGTTATGGCGCGCCTCTGGCAAAGGGTATCCTTACAGGCGATGGACGCGTAGTTTGGTGAGCATCTATCGTATTTGTTTGTAGTTTGCGTACTGATAGTCTTGTAGCCCTTGGCACGGAGGTAAATTCCACATATCTTTGTAACCTTAATCTATACATTGATCGGCATGCATATAGCCTGCTTCAATGTATGCACTGGTGACATTGGTGCGTTCAACACAATAAAATATACATTTAGCTTTCTGATTGCTCCATCTCCAGAGGACGCTCCTGCCCTTGACGGCATACACTCCTTCAAAGCCGTCGTTAGGGACGGGAAGATACATGTCACAGCTGATCCGAAACGGACTCTAAAAGCAAACATGACCCGTCCCCAAGTTACATCCGTGGAGGGTAGCGTTGCTCCTGGGAATGGGGTCGTCATCGTTGGAGGTGGTGCCGGTGCCATCCATACTGTTGAGAGTCTGAGAGAGGTTCGTAATTAATAAGTTATCGTATAATGATGTCATACAACATAGACGTAACACTCTTCCTTTACTCACATATTATTGTTATTTTCAGAACTGCTACAAGGGAAACATAACTATCATTAGCGCTGAGCGCTATGCACCCATTGATAGGTAAGATGTTCCCTTAGACACGCAATTCCACCTGCATTGTATGCTAATATGAAATTATAACAGGACGAAGATGAGCAAATCACTCATGAACGATCCTGCGAAGCTCGAGTGGAGAAGCGCGGCAGACCTCAAGATTAAATACAACACAAACCTGCGAGTCGGCACAGTGCGTATCGAGTTTCGCTTCTTTTATGCATATAGACAGCTGACAGATTTTGCGATATCCAGACGGTGACTCATGTAGACACAAAATCAAAGGTCATTACAACAGACAGCAAAGAGACTCTTTCGTATGATGCGCTTGTGCTTGCTCCCGGAGGCACACCTCGCAAACTTCCAGTTGAAGGAGCTAACCTCGGGAATGTCTTCGTCCTTCGTACTGCGGAAAATACTAAAGATATTGATAATGGTAGGTGTTCTCACCAAAGAAATTACACTCCACTTTACTAAATAAGTATGAAATACGGTTTAGCTGCACAAAAGGGCAAACGTCTAGTGGTCATTGGAAGTTCATTCATCAGTATGGAATTAGTGGTCGCAGTGGCGAAGCGTGAGCTTGCATCTATCGACGTAATCGGCATGGAAGAGTTCCCGTTCGAGTTGGTTCTCGGTAAGGAAGTTGGAAAAGGCTTCATGCAGGTCTGTCTTCAGCAACTTTCAAGAGGTATTGACTCTCATTTAAATTGCTTCTAATATTTTTACCTCTCCGGCAGTATCATGAGTCGAAAGGCATCAAATTCCACATGAGATCCAAAGTTTCGAAATTACTTCCTTCGGAAGCAGACCCGTCTGTTGTCGGTGCTGTCGTACTCGGCGACGGAGGTCCCACGCTCCCAGCAGACCTCGTTATTATGGGAGTCGGTGTTGCACCTGCAACTGGGTTCCTCAAGGACAGTGCCTTTTCTTTGGAGAGAGACGGTGGAGTACGCGTAGATGAGTTTTTGAGGGTTGTGGGTCAGGGTGATGGCGTGTATGCGATCGGTACGATTCCTTTTGTACCATTGCACCTCTCGCTCGAGAGGGCTAATTGCGTTGGAAACAGGTGACATCGCCCACTTCCCACAGACCGAGACTTCAGAACCAAGGAGGATCGAGCATTGGAATGTCAGTATCCTCTCATCCTTCTTCGTCGTTTCCGAGCCATTCTGACACCAGAGCTGTAAAATATAGGTTGCAAGTAACCACGGCCGAGCAGTTGGCCGAGCTATTGCAGGTAAACCTGAGCCATTTGCGAAGATCCCGATTTTCTGGAGTGCACGTAAGTCCTTTCTTCTTTTCTTTACTCGTGTTCTTCTCTTTGCTAAGAAATACGATATTGAATTATTGAATAGAGGGGCAACAACTTCGATACTGTGGTCTTGGCCATTCGTACGACGATGCCTTCGTTCAGGGTAACCCTGCCGAGTTGAATGTTCGTTCCAAGTCTCTCCTTTCGCATATTCACTTTGTTGACAGTCCATTTTATCTTTCTCTTTTTTTCCTGCCGATTGTACAGTTCGTGGCGTATTATTTCAAAGCTGGGAAGGTAGTTGCTGTTGCTAGGTACGCCGTTCATCGGATCTTATCGTCGTACTGCTTCACATAAATTCATTGTCCTAACAATCCGTGTTTTCTTTGTTAGCATGCAACACGATCCGATAGTCTCGAAGGCATCAGAGCTCATGCGTCTTGGGGTGATGCCTTCTGCTGACGAGATCAAGTCCGGGGCGGTGAGTTTTTGAGTAATTTGTTCATTGTAGATTTCGAAATGACTTACGAATGTTCAATTATAACGTTAGAATATTCTGGGCGTCGACATCTCTTCTGCACAGTCAAAAGCCAAGTTCGCATAAGCCAGTATAAATAAACACATGTACTTCTGAAAGAGCAAACAGCATATTTTGAAGAATGTATAACAATGGAGTTTCTACTGTACCAATGTCTTGAATGATTGTCACTGCTTGACTGTTTGCTAGGCCAAAGATGAAACTTACTGTACTAACATTCCAGAGGATCTTGCATTGCTCAATTTCCATATAGTGCTACAGTACATGCAATGAGTCAGTTGTCCTAGGTGACTCGGAGGTCCACACTCTCTTAGATTCCTGCTATTTCCAGGGTGAGGATGCAGCTGATTCAATCATTATATATGATACGCTTTTAGCTTCAACATTTGGGAGTTCACTTGTTACCTTAGGCATGTTGGCTTACAGTGGTTTGGGATACATCCATCTTTACAATATAGATCACAAAGTGTTGTATTTTAGGTGGTATGTTGTCTTATTACAAACATTAGATATCACAGAAAGGAGGTCCGGACTTTGATTCTACTGCATAGCAAGAACTGTGGAAGACCCTACAGAAGAAGATTACATATATTTGTCTCCATCACTTGCACTCCTTTTGAATATTGCTTTCAAAAAGATAGTAGGATGTGTTTCTGAAGAGTCAGACTGAAGGTGAAGTGAGTGCATCCCCTCGCTCGTTAGAGAGTGATATGCCCCACGATAGCGGGGCAGGAGACGTGAACAGAGAATACTGTGGAGGATACCTTGCAATCTCAGGCTGATGCAGATGAAGATCAGTATTTGTGAGCATCGGATATTTGTTGGAGATAGGGCAAATGCTGACATTAGGAGGAAACCCCGGAGTTGGGACGAATTCAGGGAGAATATTAGTCAAGAACCCTCGGGACATATAACTCTAGCTTACAGGACCGAGGAACAGCACAAGCAAATTCCTAATGCTCAGCGCTGTGAATAACATACAGTCAATGGAAAATTCGCGAAAGATTTCTAAAATACTAGCTGAAGACATATAAACAGTAGAGAATGCCTATTTAATGGATCATTACTCTACGAAATACAAGAAACGACTATAAAACCTACCGTCTTTAACCAGCATGTCTAATGTTTGAGATGAAACTTGAGGACCTGAATAGGCGATCGTCAGAATTCTCAGCAGTCTTTTGTCAGTTTGAGGGCACATACTCAGACTGAAAGTTTTGATGGGGATCACAGTCAGTATGGCTGGAAGGAACAGTGGATATGAGTAACGCAAGGAAACAAGACACGTATGCAAAGATAAGAACAGTAAAAATATAAATATGGCATAGAAGAACCGGGTAGCAAATCCAAAACCCATTCGAGGTAAACGATATCAGACAAACGTTTTTGAAAGGTTCTGGCATACAGCCCTCCGACTGCACCTGCCTGGAAAACAGTTACATCAAACGCAACAGATGGCGATAATGTTAAACATACTAAATAAAATGAAAGGAGAAAGAAAGCAATGGGACGCTTGCCTCCCCACCGTGACATTGCGTAAACGCGCATGAATACATTGAATAGGATGACTTGGCGTCAAAGTACTTGCATTTTAAGTGCGATTGCTTGCTTAGTCAAAACTAACCAGCCACTCACTTTCTCCAATAATAAAGATGCAGGTATTTATCGCTGTAATGTGAAATGTGAATAATTGGATCTGAGCGGTCGGTAGCCGAGCATACATGCTTGAGGATGTCATGAGGACAGTGAAGCACTTCTAATCGTCAAAATACGTATGTAAGTCCTGAATGTCCCATTAGATAGTCTAGACACAAACCTCTCCGTTCGAATTCAAGAGAAAAACTAAAGCACTACTGAAGGATTGGATTTGCAGACAAGTGATCAAATCATGGAATACCAACGGTATACACTCACCACCGCGGATATAAAAGCACAAACGCGGTTGACGAAAAATACAGATTTTACAATAGATAATCGAGACTTCCGTACAAGGCGGACCTAACGCCACAACTGAGAATTGACGATGAATAGGCCAATATCACCTAAGGATACCTCGTCATCCAATGTACAGAAGTAATCATATACCTTCATAAATGTCAAACCAGTCATCATAAAAGACCAGCAAGACAGTTCATGCACAAATACTGATGGAGTTGCAACTATCCAATAAACAAAATCAGTAAAGCCCGTGTGGTGAAAGTACTGATGAAGGTCAGACCCGAAGTACACTGTAAAAGTACTATTGTAAGACAATCATGTCAACATGCAATTATGCACTGCTTACTCTGACTATGAAAATGTCATCCGCAATGGTCACTATCTGTTGCACTCTGTTCATGGTGACTCTAAGAGTGCTCGTTGGAAAGGAAATGAAGCCCAATGAATGCTCTGCACTCAGTCCATCGATGAACTTATATAACTTCTCTTTGCATGAGTCCCACACGTATTTAGCCACCGGTCAATGAACAATGCCACAATGCCGGTTGACAGGTTAGAGAATATCTTTAAGGGGCGACGTACAACACCGGATTTGGTTTCACAGAGCTCTTGGCACCTTCAGACGTTAGAGAGCTGTACCTATTCAGGACTACCAGTCATATCAGTTTGTGGCCCGAACTTCCTGCATCCTGCTCTTGACTTGCAATACTGAAATGTCTTGAACTCTTGGTGCAGTTCCCACAGGAGCAAAATTAGCATTGCAGAATCTCTCGAGGATATACTTGAGCGTTCCTTGACAGATCATCAGTGTGATTATCTCCTGCTCACGTATGCTTGATATATGGTTAACTAGGAATTGCCCGGTGTAAATACAACGTTTTCGTCAGACAAGAATCAGGCCAAATAAGACAGTTTCACTCACGAAAGGCGTCCCACGTACGTTGGTCCTGCCACAGAGTTTTTACAATCGACGTTCTAAAAGAATTACAGGTAATCAACACTGAACTAGAAGGAAATCCATTAAATGCACACAGAGAATATGATCGAGGAAGGATCCTGTGCTGGTTCTTTGCTACCGTATTGAGTATCCGAATCGGTTGATAACCTAAGCAGAGACCGCCGATCCCCTCAGTCCTTCGCCCTGTCTTTTGTGTGCACAAGTTGTATCGTAGACCTCCATGAATCTAACTTTGCTAGGAACATTAGTCTATGCTGTGCCCTTAAGAGCCTCTAATGGATGTAGATACATAAATTGAATTCCTATTTCCGATAGATCTATTAAGGATTTCATTTGTCTCTGTTATTAACTTACATGGTAACACAGTACATTGATATTCGATAGTCATATGGTCCTTGTAATAGTCATTTGAGCATTGGATATGACAATGCGGACGTAGAATCAGAGGGTGAGTTGTTGCTTTGCAGAAGAAAATGTTATCCCAGATTGCACAGTAGTCAGGTACAATGCCAGAGGACTGGCACGTGTTTAGAAACTAAGGACGTCCCACAGAAGATTGAAACATTTGTCTATCTAGAATTGTGGGGAGTTGAAACATGGATAGCTTTCAGCTACCGATAAGTGCGTGTTGTGATTGTAGACTGTTGATGCTATTCCCGCACTGCTTAGTGAACATATCGTACACAAATAAAATAAGTAATTAAGAGTGTTACCAATAAACGAGACGAGACGATTTCACTGCATGACTAACTGACCTCCAAACGCAAATTCTAAAGACATGAAATGCTGTTATCAACAAGAGCATGCAATGCCCTGCACTGTTCACCGAATTCATTTGAGCAGTTTCTCCTAAACGGAAGATGACCCTACAGAAGAAAATTGCAAATGCTCATCTCCATCACTTGCGCTCCTCTTGAATAGCAAGACAGTGGGATGCGTATCCGAGGATTCAGACTGAAGGCGAATGGAGCGCATCCCTTCGCTCGTGAGAGAGTGATAAGCGCCACGAAGACGGAGCAAGAGGCGTGCACAGAGAATACTGTGAAGGATGCCTTGCAATCTGATGCAGATAACGATGAGTACAACCATCTTCGCAGATAATATGAATATAGGGGATATACTGACATTATGAGGAAACCCCGGAGCTGGGACTAATATGAAGAGAATATTAGCCGACTATTCATGGGATATTAAAGACCAGCTTACAGGACCAAGGAACAGTACGAGCAAATTCCCAATTGTCAGTGCTATCAATCACACTTGTTTCAATGGAAATCTCGGGAAAGGCTTCCAAAATACTCACCGAAGACGCATAAGTAGTAGACGATGCCTATTCAAGACATTATAAGATTACAGATTACAAGATCTCACTCTACGACTTACCGTCCTTAATTAGCATGTCTACAGTAGTAGATGTGATTTGACGGCCTAAATAGATAATCGTCAGAATTCTGGATACACGTTCATGGGCTCGAAGGCATTCACTCAGAGTGAAAGTCTTGAAGAGAATCATAATCAGCATGACTAAAAGGAGTAATGGATGTAAGCGACACAAAAAACGCATGCAGGGAAGAGAACTAGCCGGATTCATGGCACAGAAGAACAAGGTAGCAAATCCAGAAGCCGCTCGATGTGAATGATATCAGACAACCGTTTTTGAAAAGTTCTGGCATGAATGCTTTGAGAAAAAAAAAGTCAGCCTCCGTGTACAAAGCAGATGGCCAGCGGTATTTTGGTGTTAACGTACCTGTTGTAACTGTTTTCGTCGTTCGTACTGATGCATAGAATCCTCCGACTGCACCAACCTGATGAACAGTTACCATTTAGTGGCAAACAAGAAAGATTTCATACTCACCAAATAGAATGAAAAGAGGAAGAAAGCAATGGGGCGCCTGCATCCCCATATCGCGTAAACGCGCATGAATAAGATGACTTAAAAATGTAAACGTTTGTGCTTTGAGTATGATTGTCCACTCAGATGCAACTAGCTACTCACTTTCGCCAGTAATAAATATTGAAGTATTTATTACTGTCATGAAGATGTGAATGGACAGCGCATGGTAGATAAGGGAGTATACGCACAGGAGGACGCAGTGAGGACGTTGACGCATTTCTGTTTATTGAAGGACATACGTGAGAACTGATGATATATTTTGATACATCAAACACGAACCTCTCCATTTGAATTCAGAAGGAACACTGAAATTCGTTGAGACATTAGATTTGCAGCAGTAGCATTAAATAAAAGAACATTAACGATAGACGCCTATGATGGCCGACGTAAAGGCACAAATACGGTTGACGAAGAATACACATTTTACAACAGATAATCGGGACTTCCATACGAGCCGAATCTGCAGCCGCGGGTCAGAACCAAATCGGCGTACATAAGCAAAAATGACTTGAAGAATACCTCATCATCCAGTGTACAGAAATAGTCATAGATCTTCATGGGTTTTAAGCCAGCCATTCTTAGAGACCAGCAAGACAAGGAACATACAAATAATGATAGAGTCGCAACTACCCGAAAGGCAGGTCAGCGATACTGCATAGTGCACAAGTGAATGAAAAACAAACCTGAGGTACACTGAAGAAGCATTGTTGTAAGCTGCTGGTGTTTACAGAAGTGCGATCGATACTTACTCTGACAATGAAAAGGTCATCCGCGATAGACGCGATCTGTTGTACTGCGTTCATTGTAGCTGGAGAGAAGGGAATGAAGATAAAGCCCAGTGAGTGTCCCGTGTTCGGACCATCGATTTGAAGTGTATAAATGCGTTTTGCCCCGGCTCTCACGTATTCAGCACAGAACCGTGCACCACCATTTGATGAAAATGCTGGCCCGACGGATCAAAGCACCCTGATGGATCAACATACACTCTCCGATGTAATTCCACAGTGTTGGCATCATCAGGCGCCTTAAAGCTGCGTCTATCCAGGGTAATCATAGATAGAGATGTCAATTGCGGCTGAAACTTTTTGTAACCAGCTAATACTTAGCTGATATGGCAAAGCCCTGCACAAAGGTGCCGTTCTTCCAAGCACATATCCATCATGTAGATGTCTCCCAAAAGAGTTGATAGAGCGTTCCTTGAAAGTTGATCAGTTCGGCCATCTATCAGGGATGCACGCTTGATAGTCGGATAAATATGACTGGCTGAGTATTTATGCACAATTTCATCAGGAGACTAGAGCTGGTCCAAAAAATGCGGGGTGTCGTTCAGTGCAGGCACCCCACAGAAGTTGATACTGATGCCGAGTTCATGATTGAGGTACCAGAACCAGTTTCGCGGATGATCAACATTAAGCCAGAAGCAGGTTCATTAAAACGCACAGAAGAGAAGATGGTCAAGAAGCTGAATACTCCATTCTTGGTCTGTTTGCATCTGTGTAAAATTTCCGCAATGGGGCAGATAACCTAAGCGGAGACCGACGATCCCCGGTTTTCGTCCCCCGATCCCGACAAAGCGAAATTCGTCACGATTTCGTGTCGCAAACCGCCACCGCAGGCCTCTCTAAGTAGTATGGACCTACTACCTTGCTGAGAATCCTAACCTAGTCCGTTCCTAAAGAGTTCCTAATAGAGTAAGATATATATGAATTGAAGATAGACATTTTGTGAGTTCTTTTGGTTCCGTTACCTAGGTTTTATTGGTTGACTGACACAACACTACTGGACGCCAGGGATACTCCTAACTTATCTGCATATTATCCATTTTCTCTTCGATTCTCCTGTCTGCATCGGAACGACCGCGTCAAATGCTTCGCACTCGACTTCAGCGCCTTTGCTCGTCGAGTCAAAATGCAACATGGAATGGACTACACATGTCTGTGGCCGGAACACTAAGGCAATATGCATCAACTGGTTTCGGCCTTCTCCCTCCGGCGATAGACTCACTCGAAAGTCCAAGCGATATGAGCCGTGCCCGTCAGTGGATTGAAGCGTTCCGGAAGGCCGGTATCCCTCGGGAAGCGGTGATTCTGACCTTTGCACGAAGCTCTGGACCTGGTGGACAGGTGGATTCCAATCTCGCTTCTTGAAATATGACCCCTTGCTTATTTCGTGGCACTACTATAGAATGTTAATAAGGTCAACACAAAGTGCACCGCAAGATGCTCGGTACATGCACCCTTCATCCCCAGGTGGGCGAAGGAAGTTTTACGCCGAACTGTGAGCGGAGTGTGTCTTCAGCGCGGTCCTCATGACTCTTACCCTTTTTTGTCAGCCAGCCTACGTTGCATCGACAGATACGTTGCTAGTCACTTCTACTAAGTCCAGGTCTCAAGCTCAGAATGTCCAATCCTGTCTCCAAAAAGTAAGAAGGTCGTTTACTTTGTTTACTGTCTACTTACGCAACGGGATTTGCCAGTTGCAGTCACTAATTCTTTCGGCGTCTCTATTCGATGTCAAAAACGAAACATCTGAGGAACAGAAGACAAAGGTGGCAGCTTTCCAGAAAGCTGAGAAAGCCAGGCGCCGGCAAGATAAGGAACATCGCTCACAGAAAAAACAACTACGAAAAGTAAACTGGGAGTGATACACCCTAATTTACTCGCCGGCCTCCCCTGTGGAGATGGTCAAAAGTTTAAATCTTATTCTTGGAGACTGTCGACGTGGAAGCAGTCGAGGAAGGATCTATGGAGCTATGCTTCCCGAAGAGCGCCACAGTCCTCGTTGGACGGTTTATTTCTATGGAATTCCGGGGATAACATACTGGCGTGATGCTTCACTGGAACCACCTTGGAACTCTGGGCCTGAATGGAATTCAGGGACCGCCTCCATGCAAGGTTCCGAATACTGTTATTGTCACCTTTAAATATATGGTGCCGTGCGGCTTCACTGCATGGCCTACAGTGGATTCTTGATCGTAATACAAATAGATAGTAACCGACCTTACAAAGGAAGTGACGGGGAGTTGAATTCTATCGAGACCCGGAAAGACCGGCCCTTAAGTCTCTAAGCCGCTTAAAGTCACGTGTAGTACGGGTCTCAACTCACAACGACTCTTTCTTATTGAACACGATGAACATGACCTCTGCTCAGCCTCTCAAAACTCCTTCCAAGCCCTTGAATGGCACGCCGACACCTACTGATGAAGTACCTCCAGTTCCAGGAGCGGCGATGTCCGGTACAAGCGTCAATCCCACTGATATCACAAGCCCGCATGAGTTGACCGGCTTTGTGCGTATGCTGTTTCTCCTCTTCCCGCATCCACATGCAACTTAACTACGCCACTCGACATGCAATGCAGGTGGAGAACCTTTTAGAGCGGCTGGAGTCCAAATTTGACGAGATGTCGGGCCAGATTCTGGAGCGTAGTAAGTACCACTGCGCTTTATTGGTGCTTGATTGATTGGGATGGCACATATGCTAAAAGCGCGACTACCATGCAGTGAACCAAATGTCGACCCGTGTGGATGCACTTGAAACTTCGATACAAGATATCATCAACGGAGATCTCGCCGTTGGTCCTAGCGTCCCTCAATCTCCTAGTCCTGGTTCTAGCAATATTCGACGCAGTGGAAGCACATAGTATACGGATTCTATTGCTCTCTTACATTAGTATGCCTATATTCTCGCTGTCTTAAACTCTTTCTAAAGTAGCTTCTTTCGTATATATTAATTCAAATGCGCAATACGTCGATGCATCTCTCGATACGGTCCGTCTAATATGCAAGTGTAGACCAGGTATGCTAATCTTACAACACCAATATTCCCCACCTCGACAAATACTCAATCCAACAATCACTGTGGAGGTGGACCACATCTATCTTGAACATATTCCCTTGCACGACGCTGCTCTGGATCCCCTACACCTGCAAGTTGCTCAGGCATCTCGCCATCAACATTCGTCTACAAATCCACGATTATCAGCAGTCAACTATACAAATATTTACGACATACTCTTTCTCTGTCAGCACCAGCTTCAATGAGCATAACAGCCACTTCAGCGTAGGCGGATTCCATTGCAAGATGTAATGGCGTGTTTCCTGTAGTGCGGTGATCAGACTTATTCACATGATATTATATCTCAACGTCGACATACCAACTCTATCACCCGTATTGAGTCTTGGTTTAGGGGAGCCTTCGGGAGGGTTTAGGAGCAGATGGACAAAGCCTATTGAGCCGGGACTTGCTGCTCGGTGTCTAGGGGGTAGCACATTCAAGTTTGAATAGAGACATTATTTGAATTTGACACTTACAGTGGGAGCTGGTTCGCATTATTCCTTGAATTGTACTACAAGATCGGTTAAACGAGACTGCTCCCTAAAGGAAGGGAGAAATGGCCTTACATCAGCACCATGTTCGATGAGCAATCTTCCGACCTTTAAACGACACAATTACATATGAGAGGAACGAGCAACATGTGTCAAGTCACGTACATCAATATGGTTCTTCGACGCTGCATAATGTCTGTGGCGGAATATTAAAGCATGAACGGTTCCCGATAGCATATAGCGTACAATGGAGTCATTCCCTGGCTTGTCTTTTCGTTCACATTCGCACCAGCACCGAGGAGTTCTCTGACTATAGCCTCTTGGCCGGCGCTAACTAATCAAGATAAGTAAGTATTATAGACTGACTATTTTGAATATATTCAACCTGCACAGTGAAGAGGAGTCCATCCGCTGGGGTCTTTACTATCGACTTCGGCCTTGTTTGAAAGGAGATATATGACAATCTCGAGAGTATCTGCAGTGGATGCAGCCGCGCAATGCAAGGGAGTCCGGCCATCCTGTATACCTGTTAGTGCGTAATATTTTAAAATCGTACCAAAAAGACTCGCCTCGTCCTTAGCATTCACTATTTCCTCGTTCTCTTCGACGAGAGCTCTTAATAAAGAATATTGATCTAGGAGTCTTTAGTAAGCTCGAAACGTTTGCAGTGACCCAATTAAGCTGTACCGTACTAATTCTAGCAGCATTGTGGACGGAAAGAGCCATGACTCTCGAGTAAGTAAAGCTAATTGCAGGTGAAAAGACAAGTGGGAGTAAGTGCATTGCTATTGACGCGTCCTCAAAGTATTACGCGTCTCCCGCACGTGATCTAAGGTTAACACTTTAGCAAACTCAACAACATTTTCTAGACTTGACCATCCCTGTTCTCATTCTGTATGACTGACGAAACTGCCCCACCTGAGTCACCCCACAAACTACTCCCTTTTCTTGAACAGCAATCGCAAGGCGCTTTGACAAGATTGTATGGCCGACCTTCGGCATGTCTTTCAGTCTTTCGGTTTGTTATTCTATATCTGTCTTGTAAGACGAACTCCTAAGTGATCTGCAAAAGTCTCCTCGCCCCCATGGAGCGACAGCTTGTGATGAACTTACTTTGGCTTGAATCCTCAATACCAACCGCTACCATGTCTTCCTGGATAAATAGAAAGGGGATAAAGTAATAAACAATGAATTACTCATGAAATTTTTGATTTGACTTGGTTCCGTGCCAGACTATATGATAGCGCGCTATCGACACTATCTCGACTACATATCATTGGAAATCCGTCACAGAAGCTGAACTTCAATCCAACCTTTAAGGCTAGCTTGCGTCAAGCCATTACAGGAGGGTTCGTAGTCCCTTCGAGCTGATCTCCGACTGATTAATAAACCGACATGAAGAGGTACACACCGCAGCTTCGGTGTTCCCGCGGTGGACGGCGAAGAGAAACGTTCAAGCGTGACGCTTGAAATGCTCGATGCTTACGCAGTTGAGCGATGGGAGGTATGTCAAACATACACCAGATGGTACACTAAATTGAGCCTAATGCTTCGCTCTTCAGACAATTTTACACTACATGGTCTCATCTGGAACAGGACAGATGCCGGCTAGGCCATCTCAGGGCGTCCTCTTCCTTCTAGAGCGAAGCGGACTGATGTCCGGGAACGGGTTAGTGCTCCTATACTGTTTTGTCATTGAAGCAGATAATTAAATCCTCGACTGCGGCAGGGGAAACATGAAGATCACGTCATTCGGCTTCCAGTTCCTTCTGCACTCGCCGCATGCCCAGTTATGGGAGCTTCTCTTGCAGTATTTGCATATGGCGGAGGTATGGACGCATGTCAATGTGCCGAGCTCTCGATCTCACACTCTGCCAGGAGCGTCAAATGGACCTCATTGAAGTACTGGGCTTCCTCTTCATGCTATCCACAATGGAGCTGGGCCGTGTTCGTGTTCAATTCCCCGCTTTCTTGAGTTCCCGTCTTCATTGTTCCGCAGGGGTATTCTACCGAGAACCTGGGCGAAACACAAAAAGCCATGTTAGAAGATCTCAGGGACTATGGTCTTATCTGGCAGAAAAAGGTGCGAATAATTAGGTGACTACGTTGCTCCAGCCTGACAGCTTGGCCTTTCCATAGGCGTCTTCGCGTCGCTTCTATCCGACTAGGCTTGCAACTACCCTTACGTCTTCATTGCCTCCGCTTCCCACCTCTGGCAGCGGAGGTGCCAACGCACAGGCCCAAGGATTCATAATCCTAGAAACAAATTACAGAATTTATGCTTACACCGGTACGTTATTGGATGATATTACCGGACCTTCTCTGACAGACGTCCTTGGGACTTTTTTTCTGAGTCCAACAGACAATCCACTTCAGACAGCTGTCTTGAACCTCTTCGTCACATTGAAATACCGGTTCCCAAACCTCGTTGTCGGCTCGCTGACGCGTGATAGTGTCAGAAAAGCTCTGGCCAATGGAATCACCGCTGATCAGGTTAGCCGCCATACACACGTTGGCGAGAGAAGCTCGCTCATTCGCCTTCGTGGCGCAGATAATCAAGTATCTAACGACGCACGCACATCCGCAAATGCGAAAAAATGCAAGCCCCCTGCTCAAATCAGCGTAAACTGTGACTGATGCTTAACATACTGCGTTGGCTTAGGACCCACTTATTCCAGTTACTGTCCAGGACCAGATTCGTTTATGGGAGCTGGAGAGGAATCGACTAAAGTCACAAGAAGGTCTGTCTATCTGTCAATGTTTGGTGATCCTATTGCCTTCTTACCGGGCGCACTGCAGGCTACCTGTACACTGCGTTCGCGTCTCAAGCGGATTACGAGTTCGTCTTGAAGTATGCCAAACAGTTGGGTGTCGTTCTTTGGGAAAACGCGGCCAAAAGATGCTTCTTTGGCAGCCTCGAAGGCCACGCGAACATTCGCGGGTTCATAGAGCGTAGAACAGCCGGAGGCGGAGTCTGATCGATCAGTGTTAATGTCTGTCATTTGTTTCAACGGATATGTGATCTGTATTTCTCTACACGCATTTCTAGCATAACTGTTTAAATAATGTACATAATCAATCGCAATGATCAAAAACTAGAAGCTGCATATAGTCTTTTGGTGGACATTCAAGGAGGAGAAAATACGTGATATCAAAAAGATAGGAGGTGCATTTCACCAGCGAGGATGGTTCCGAAGTAAATCATCAATCAACGATGTTGTGTCTGCCTGAGAATATGCCACCTGTACATTTGCAGGCTTCGAGTTTAGGGGCGCCGGTGCTGCTAAGGGCAGACCGTTTGGACCAATATCAAACGCCGATGGCAGCGAAGTAAAACGATAAGTCTGTCTAGGTTGCGCTGGGCTGGACGGTAACGATGAACAGAACGTTGGTGACCGCTGAGGAATGTGAGACTCTGTCCAGGTTGGTAGTAGGTAATCGGACTGGATACTGTGTGAATTCGTCGAAGAAGCCGAACTAAGTGAGGAAGTTTCAAATGAAAGGGCCGCCTCCGGACCGGTCCCGCAATTTGTACTCCATGCCGATATCATAGCAGAAGAAGTACCTGGGGTTTGAGCTGCAATGTCCCGTTCAAGGCAGTGAAACGATGACCTCATTCCGAGCGCCTCGGAGCATTGATCGGTCCTGGCGACTTGGTGCGGCTGGTCAGCTTCATGTAGATATGAGCATCTCGGAGCCATGGGGACCGTGGCCCATTCAATGCTACCATGTAAGGAGTTTAGCTTCGCCAAAGGAATTGACGGCGTTTGGTTAAGATTGGCTATACTGGATCGCACTGCGGGCGCTCTCGGCGTATATTCCTGATAAGTTATACTATTCTGGGGCAGTGGTAGATAGTGTGTGATGTTTGCTTGCGGGATCGACGCCCGCGGGTGTGATGGGAATGGTATACTGACAGGACGGGGAAGTTCTCCCTCCTCCGCATCACACCTGCGTAAATATTAGTTTATCCGTCGGAAATACAGTCTGGAATGTACGCACATGTATCTAGGCCTTCCATCAGGCCCCTCACTCATAATTGGTGGAATGCGAAATTTCGTCGATTCTAACAGTTCCGGGGGTATGCCGAGCGCCAAGATATCTACGCGGGACGTCAAAGGAAGTAACTTTCCTAATCTGACGTCCTCCTGGCTGTAATAGGCGATGAGATGGTGATCAGAGCCCTCGACACACACAGTGATAGTCTAAGTCACTCAAGTCAGGAATATTTCGCAGAGAAAAACATCTAGTTACCTTTTTAACGAGTCCGTTTGGCTTGAAACGTCCATTTCCGTCACTGAGGCATCCGACCAGCGATTTTGCCAACTTTTGTTCAACTAGTTCTGCTGGAGAGAGCTCATTCGAGTTACCTCGCCGTTTTGATCCTTTGCGTGTTTCGTGTTGAACCCTCGGATTAGATCTATCGCTCACTTCGCGGTACACCTTGGAGAAGTACCAATCAGGAAGAAGCATCATTGCAATACGTGCGTACATACTAGGAAGTTTCCGACAATGCGAGACGCAGACCAGGAAAGGCCCTCAGTCCAGCGTTTTATTCCGCTTTCTTCATCACTGAATATGAAGATAGCCCCGCTTCTGATCATAGCACGTCTCTCTAGATCATTAAGACGGCGAGTAATGCGCGGAATGATGCCCTGTCGAGCAGCTTGAATCAGACGTAAAGCATCGCCGGTAGTTTCAACAAAGCCATAGAAAGGCTCGACTTTCGCCGACGGTAGTCTCGTAGTCAAAGCCATCAAGGTGTACTAAGCGAAAGAGCGAGACTGAGGTGTGTGGCACAAATTCGCGGGAGAGCTTAAGGACTTTTGGCGATCGAGCTAAGCTCAGTTATAAGTAGAGCGTAGTAGACATCGCGCTCTTTCCGTCACGTATGCACATCGCGAGTCGCATCCGCAGAGTAATATGATCGAGAAAGACTTCAATCAAGAACGACGAACAAGAGCGAGAAGACATTCGAAAAGGCCGGATCGTGTAAACCTAGGACGTGATGTCGATGTAAGAAAGCAAATGAACCAAAGAGAAGATCGCCTTGCATAAAAAGAGTTTAGCGCCCACTTCATTTTTCTTTTCAAAGTAGCAAACGAATTGTCGATGAAAGTTGAATAAGCTTTCTCCAGCAATCCGAACTTGAGCATTGAGCAGAGCAGATCCCTCCCGCGTATTTCCGTTTCTCACGGTCAAGTAGACTTTCGGATTCCGAGTCAGAGTGACGGAGTCATTTAGCAACTTTTACGTCTCAGCTCTCGAGTATCCACAAGAATACAACTATCACGATCTCATACGTCTTTTTTCTCTCGAGTCTCCCTTGCTGTTAAACTACGGATCGTCGGCCACAGCAAATTGCGAGGGCAGAACCTTCTAATCATCTGAGCACGTTTCGTAAAGTTCGCTGAAATAGAGAGAAAGGATAGGCTGTCGAGAAGTCTTTACCCCAGTCTCTAACGGATTCTTGTGCTCTACACCCGGGTTCCTCAGTAGAAACAGGTTGTGGAAACATGTACTCTTTCATTGTTTGTACTGAGTTTTCGTCTTCATTTTTTGCAGGGTCATCACCTTGTCCGTTCGCTATCCTGACATTCTTCATGATCTCCGAAAATCCACAGACGGAAGTGTCCGCCCATTACGCCAACCGCGTGAATGTACCGCAGAAATGAAAGAACTCGATATACTCCCAATAATCGATGTTTTCCGGTAATCGGAGTGCACTATTTCCATGGATTCCGAGTTCTAGCTGTCGTTTCACTGTAGGACGTCGATTTTCTGATGTTGTCGGCACTCGCTCTTGTACGGTGCGCTGGCTGGCAGTAACACGCGTTTGTTTCCCCGGAATGTCGGGGCTAACACGTTTAATCGTCGTCGCGCATCGATCCCTGGTCTTTGCTCAAAGATTATTGAACTTGGAACGATGTTGACGTGATACAGCTCTCAACGGATATACTTCTCCGTTGTGGCACGGGCTTCCCTGCTAGATGTTCGCTGCACGGGCCTCATGGTCACACTTCGCACCCCGCAATTGTTTTCAACACCCAAATGGTTCAACCTTATACAACAAATCAAAGATCCGTCACGTTGAGTGGAGAGTACAGAGAGTTTCTCGGATCACCTCGGTCTAGGACATACTTTATCCTCTGTGGTCGTCGGTCGGATAAAGCTACGATGACTCAATTCAAAAGTCTGCTGCTACTACTCCCGTTAACGAGCTATGTCAATAATTTGAGGTACCATTTCATGTTTGCATTCCATGCTTCAGAAAACGACATATTGCTTCTTGATGACATAGAAGAAAGCCCATGCTAACGCCGCAGATTCATTACTGCCGGACCTTGACTAAGACCTATGCAGGTCCTGTATCGATGATATGTGGAGCTGGCAGATTGGTTATGTCATAAAGAGACAATGGCTCTCGCAAAGCCTGGAAAATTAAGAAATCATCGTACACAGGTATTGTACGACGCTGGTCGTCTGAATCCCAAGTATTGCCCGTATAGCATTACAGGATCAAGAGATCCCGCAGGTCCACTCAGCGCCACTCAAGGCACTGCGGTACTGCCCCGGTCGAACCTTGAGTAGTGGGTGATCTATTGCCGCGACTCTGTGGCGTGACACAACCCGACACTAGGAGTGTACGAGGACTGTTCCCATCAATGCTGACCTCCGAATGAGAGTATCGCTAATTTTGCAGAACCTGCTTACAAAGTAGACACCAACAGAGTTGCGCACGCTGAATGGAAGGTGTCGTGTACATGCGACTTGTGCGTCGGTCACTACCAATCAAGGGGCATACATTGTAACGCGTCATTTTAAGTCGCGGACGTTTGTGTCGGTTTCGGGTGTTTACTGGTACAGCGCACGGGAACTTCCCACTCTTTATGACTCCCCCATCGTTCCTACCGGTTAATTCGGGACAATTATTACGAGATAAAAGGAGGTCTCGGAGTTCGTCGAACGTCGTTGTTCGTTGGATGTGCCACTTCTCTCCGCAAGAACTTCTTGAGTGCCCAGAAAGGTTACTAGTGTTCATTTATTTTTGGCGTGAATACCATGTGCCACGGATCGTTCCCATATCAACGGACAAATTAGTTTTTAACAGTGCGGGCTATTTCTTCTATAATTGCGATCACGAAACTTAAGGAACATCCTCGGTCATTCAGTAGTAGCGTCATTTGGTTCGATTGCACGTCAAGTTCTCGTGACAGGGTTATTCCCTATTTCTCGTATGTTCGGAGCGGACCCAATAAACATTTGGCGGAATGCCAAGACATCTCCGATGTATCTTTCCGAAGCGAATGGGGCAGAATTGTGTACAGCGAAACATTTCACCGAAGTCTTATGTCTGTTTTCCCCGACCATTTGCCAAATGTTCTTTGGCCATGCATATAAAGCAGTGACTTTCATGATAGGTACCATTCAGCTCCTGGCTTGCGTACCAACATGAAGTTCACGTCATCACTGCTTTTGGCGGCTAGTGCTGCTCATGGCGCTTCAGCTCATTGTAAGCACTTGTCGGACACTTCTTCACGGCAAGGCCGTATGTTGACAAAATCTCCATGTAGATATCTGGACCACGTTGATCGCTGGTGATACGACATCCACTGCGGCAGTCCGCACGCCGGTGAATAATTCACCAGTGACGGATGTTACTTCACCCGACATCACCTGCAATGTAAACCCGACACCGGCGACTGAAACTGTCGATGTCCCAGCCGGATCAACAATCGGCTTCGAGCTCGACAACACGGTATACCATCAGATAAGTTCACCGTCACTCTGTAGCGTTTTACTTCGCAACTAACATTAGTTTTCTATTACGGTCCAGCAGCAATTTACCTCGGTCAAGCACCGGGTGCCGCTGCCGACTGGGATGGATCCGGAGAGAGCTGGTTCAAGGCGAGTATTTGTTCTTCTCTACGCCTGTGACACGATTAATAAATTGACGCTTTCTCTTAGATTGCAGAATGGGGAGCTACCTTTAATCCCTTCACATTCACCGACTACGGCGCCAGTCAGCTGACTGCGACCATCCCAAGCGATGTAGCTCCTGGCCAATACCTGGTCCGCATTGAGCAGATCGGTTTACATGTTGTAGATGCACCTCAATGGTACATCTCCTGTGCCCAGATTAACGTGAGCGTGTCTCCTGAGCTCCTAATTGTGTTTGGCCAACTGTTTCTTGTTCAGATCACTGGAGGAGGTTCTGCAAATCCGAGCAAAGTTTCCATCCCGGGATACGTGTCTCCTGATGATCCAGGTCTTACGGTCGATATCTATGACCCTGTCCCAACCGCCTACACTGTGAGTTCTCTATCATACTATGCGATAGAACTATTTCTTACTTTGACTACAGGTCCCTGGACCCCCCGTCTTCTCTGGATGAGCGAGACTCTTCTTCTGTACAAACTCATCGCGCTCCTGTAATGAGCTGAAAAATGACATGTTTTGTACATAGATATTTATATTACGACTTATGCCGAGAAAGGAAACATTGTCAGTGCAAAATTGTAAAACTGACTTTTAGAATCAAATACAAGCCGAAGACTATACGGCTCCGTTGTGAAAACACGTCAACGGGGTGTGCTGAAAACATGTCCAGCATCTAAAGCTGTTATTATGAGGATAAGAGTCTAACAGCAATAGTCCGATTCTTTTTCTTCTGTTCAGTCAGAAGAATTCTGTGTTGACATTGACGTTTTTCGAGGTCCATGCATTGTCCTTGTAAGACTTGCACTATGCAGGAATATCTGTCTGCTTTCATCCACAACAGAGTGAAGATACCATTAATATAGAGGTATTATGATATATAATATATGTAGATGCTAGTGCACCACGCTTTGGGGTCAATACTCGGAGGCATATTAACATTATTAGAATTGACGTTTCAGTACTGCTGTAATTAGTTTCTGTATTTATACTCTTAGTATTGTTGAATATGATGTTTTAAATAAAGACGACTTGTCTCCGGTTTTCTGTAGGTTCTTTTTTTGACGTTCGGTTAATAACTAGTTGCTTACCTACCTAAACAAGCGATGCGGATCGGCCAAGGTTGAAGGCACAGCGGCACACTCTCCACAGCATCTTCTCCTTCCTTCGTAATGTCTCATCTTACCCCGCGACTGCTGTGATAGATGAGACGCTACTGCAACAGAGATATTTATTCCACCTATACCACAGCACACAACGAACACTGTCTTGATACCTGTTGCACAACTCACAGTATCTACCATAAGATGTCACTAAGGGACAAGATGGGAACTCTTTCTACTGTGAGTCAGTGGCGTGGTTGAGTTGTCTGCTTGATGATCACACAGAAAGCGATATCCTGCTTAACTACAACCACTTGACACAGTATTGTTTATATACAGGCACTCCTCGACCCGATTACTCTTGCTTAAGTCCTGCTAGTACTGATACTTCTTTGTATTCTTTCTTCTAGAAACTCTGTATAACTCAAGAAATGTCGGCTCCCGAGCTGCCCGATGCGAACTTTCTTCAGGTTTACGCACGTCATGTGGTGGTGTTCCGTGTACGTATTGGATTATTCAGTACCACGCAAGCCTTAACACATAATACGAGTAGTATGCAATAGGTTTGTCGGGAAATAAATTAGCTGCTGATCAGGCACTGAACAAATGCTGATGAATTTTCTAAATTCAAAAGTGGCTTCACTGACTCTTTCGGTATTATCTTTGGGAGCCTGTCATTATACATCTTGATCCTGATCTCTTTGATAGATTTACGAGTAGTTGATAAATGTCAAAGGAGATGTGTGTATCTGGACGAAACATAGATTACTTTTGACGACTGAGCGTTCTAATTACAGACAGAACTTATATGGCCATCTCGGTTTTCGCTGACCAAGATCCTCTATCTTATAAATCGTTATCTGCCGTTAGTTGCGGCAGTCCTCCAGGCATACAGTGAGTACTTCTACGCAAATTATGTCTCACTACATGTCCTCCCCAATTCTTAAATATACTATAGCAGAAGTTTTTAATACTAACTATGATGTGAGTGACTAATGGCTTTCAGAAACTTCGGCATGCAGACTTCATCTCGGTCTGTTTAGGGCTGTAAAGTCTTCGCGTTCGTCACTAGCAGTAGGGTTTCGCAATTCTCCACGCGACGATTATTGACTGACAGGACGTATGATACCCAGTGTCTATATGCTCATGTTATATCTGCGCAGAGAGTAAGGCACTCAACGACTTCAATGAAATGGGTGGTAACAAGTAAATAGCCACACTGTCTCTCAGGGCATATGCAGTATGGGAACAAAGCCGGACTGTATTCATCCTTCTGTTTATCGTGGGATCTGTTAGTTCGTTTTACTTCAGGCACCTTCATTGAATAACTTCGGGATTTCTGCTCAAGGGCACTATAATCAGCGGGTATTACTTATAGGCGTCTTACATCTTATCTAGTGAACGTGAGCATTCCACCTTCTTTTATTGACATTGATGCGATGACCAACTCATTAGAGCTCCCTATCCATGCATTCCACTCTGGCTGCATCATCGTATTTTCTGATACGCAGTTGTGGATAGCCTACCTTGGTCTCGCCTGCGGTGAAACAAGTGAGTCCTGAATGCTTTCAGCCGACCTTAAGGGTATTTGAACATCGTTCACGCTTGTTATTCCCGTCTTTAGTCGCTTTTGGCCTCGTACTGGCTAGAGCATACGTGAATTGTAAATGAACAAAAAAAATATTGTCTCTCAGACTAAGCCTTTGCAGATCGCTATTTGGGGTCCTTCAATACTCTTCTGAAGACATTAGTGGCCAGTGGTTTGTCTTCCCTTATTTTATCTTTCTCTCAACAATCCTAACTAGATATATATAGGGTCACTGTACTATTTGTGCCTAATCTGTAAGCATTTTATTCATGAGTTTGTTCGTGTAAACTCACATATCGTGTATATAACTGTAGTCATAGCATTGGCGAATATGATACTGTTACAGTTCCAAGATGTACGATATTCTGATGTTATATTGTGATTCGTCCTGATATTCCTATATAGCGGCATCCTCAGGGCCTAAATCTCATAAAGTATGTTCTTGCGCTTATTGCTTTATAACTTCAGTGCTGAAAATGATGACCAGCCTGCAAGGAATCCCGTGCTGCATTTTATGCAACCGCCTTCTCTTGCACTTGCGTGGAAGCAATGCAAAGCATTGTATATCTGTTGACACTTTGTCGTAATCTGATTTCTAACTAAGCAAAGCGTCTATTGCTCTTGATTCAAGAACTTCATACATTCAGTCATTATCTAACTGGGCCTATAAAAATATTATAAATAGAGTCAAAGTGCTTTCCTTATTTGTTTACAGTAATACACAAAGCAATGTTTGTTCTTGTTGTGACGAAACTTGAAAATATGTGAATTTAGTGCATACTGGCTCTAGACATAAATTTATCCTTAAACCACTCATTTTCAACTGCCTTGGACCAGATAACTGATGAACATCCTTCAAAATATTGCCTTCAAGCTTTGTGACTTGAACATTGTCAGATTTTCAAGGTAAAAAGGCACTACAATTTGCACATACTAAAACCTGCTTGACTTCTGGCCTAAAAAAGTCACCACGATTTCTCCTTTAGACTAGCACACTAGTAATTCCTAAAGACATCCTGAAAGCTGCTATCAACAACGTTTTTGCAATATACTTTTCTCATTAAACACAGAAGGTAGGTTATGCAACGCTCTGTATTCATGACAGATAGATTGTTCTAACATGTGGCGGTGTCTTAAAGGACAAGAATATAGGTGAGAAAAATGAGAACTCAGAATACTATTAATAATTCATAATAAAGTAAACAACGACTCTTATATGTGAGCTGCCTATTGAAATATAGTAAGTACTAAGTACCGAAAAAGAAATGATCATGACAAAATGGAAGAACAGCTTATTTTACTTGCTTCAGTCAAGGCAGAAGAAACTCCATCACCAAAACGTGCAGAGTCTGACAAGGCAATATATTTACATGTAGACTTTATAAGCGAATATAAGGATCCACAATATGTAAAAAATATATGTCTTAGCAGTAAATTCTAATACATTTTCGTGTTCGATTTGGTGATGTCGAGGTCATACAAGCAGTGCTAGTAGCGACATGTATATGCTGCTACTCTATTAGGAAACGGTTTCGACAAAAGACTAGACTCACGCCATAGACCCTAACGAGCAACTTCCATTCATGCATCTACTATTATTCCTGACAGACATGATGAGACGCCACTGCAGTTGAGATAGCCTTGCCACCTGTGTTACAGTACATGATGGACGTTGATTTGCCAACTAAACTGAGGACACGTCGCTGATTGTGTCTACGCAACAAGATGTAACTCCTACGATTCTGGGTATGGGATTGAACATCTACCTCATTAATGAGCACATCAGTTGATTTCACACTTTACTATGATTAATCGATGTATTCTGTCTTATACATAAGTCTTTTTTCATTGGTTTCTTTCGTCCGTCTACTTACACTCCCTAGTATCTCCGCCTCAGTCAACTCAAACTAGCTCAAGAAATGTCCGCTCGCCAGCTACCAGTTGTGAAGATTTTAGAGGACTATGTATACCAAGACATTGTATTCCGTGTATGTATACGGATCATTCAGTTTTTCGGAGCTGCTAACGCGTGCTACGGGCAGTATGTGACAGGTTTGTTGGCTAATGAGGTACTTGTCAGCTAGTTGCTAATTCACCCTGCCGAACCCCCTAAATGCAACAGTGGCGTCGCTGACACTTGCAGTAAGTCTCTGGATATTTGACATCATATATCCAGTTATTAGCTGCGTAACAGATATATGAGGGCCTGATAAGTATCAAGAGAGATGTGAGTAACTGTACGAAACATATAGTATCTTGGATGACTTAAATTATTTATTACAGACAGAGCTTATATGGCCATCCAGGCTTTCACTGCTCAAGGTACTCTTTCTTGTCGACCGCTATCTACCTATGGTTACGGCAGTCCTCGGGACATACAGTGAGTACTTCCGAAAGTCGTGCATCAATATTTCCTGAATATTGACCCACTCTAGCCATTGTTTCTGACACAAACTATGATGTAGGTGATCGAAACCACTAAATCCCGAAGCAATTTTGATCATACTAGTACTGATCACACTTCCTTAGGACTGTAAAGTCTTCGCCATCGTCACCACCAGTGAGTTTTTTTTTACTGAGACTCGTTCCACATGAAGGCTTAGATGATGATACACCACATGTAGTGTTTATATGCACGTGTTACGTCTGTGCAGAACGTAAGCTCTCGTAAACCTGTATGAGCAAGAGATAACAAGCAAATAGTAACACTGGTGTTGAGAGCGTACGCCTTATGGAAACAAAGTAGAATTGCATGCATCGTTTTATTGATCGTAGGTTCCGTAAGTCCGATTTACTTTTCACGTTTTCATTGCATTAACTTCGTGACTTATGCTAAAGGGCAGTGCAGTCGGTGGATATTACCTGTCAGTGACCCAGGGTTTGTCCGGTAAAAGTAGGTAGTCCTTCTCCTTCACTGACACAGTGCGATTACTAGTTTTCCAGGCTCTCCCATCAAACTATTCCACTCTGGATGCATTATCGCATTTTCTGGAACTCATTTGTGGATCGGTTACCTAACTCTTGTCTGCTGTGAAACAAGTGAGTCCTGAATGCTTTCAGCCGACCCTGAGAGATGGCTGATCCTTATTCGTACCTGTCTTTCTCTTACTTAGTCTCTTTCGGACTCGTGCTGGCCAGAGCCGTCATGAACTGTAGGCAAAAGAATAACCTGTAATCGCTCAGACTAAATCCCTGCAGATCGCGATTCGGGATCATTTAATAAACTTATGAAGACAATGGTGACTAGCGGTTCGTCTTTCCCCTTTCCGCCTCCGACCGTTTCTGACAGTAAACACGCAGGGATATTGTATTACTTGTGCCTTATCTGTGAGAATGATATATCAATGAGCTTCTTGCGTCAGTTCACATGTTTACACGCACGTAGTCATAGCATTAGGGAATATGATACTGTTACGGTTCCAAAGCGTACGATGTTTAAACATTACCATTGAATTTTGTACTGATACTCCTATAGCGATATCCTCGGGGCCTCTACCTCATAAAGTATGGTGTTACATTTGTTGCCTTTTAACTTCATTACTGACGAGCAACGTCTAGCCTGCAAGGAATCCTGTGTTGCATTTTATGCAACCGACTTCTCCTGCACTTACGCCGAAACAATACTAAACTTCGTACATCCGTGGCCACACGGTCGACTTGAGCTCGCTTGACGCACCTTCGTTCTTCTAAACGTGCACCGCTTCACGCTGACTAGGGAGCGAAAGTGACAACCATATCCGCGACATTCGTCGGTTGTTTAGGAACCAGGGACACAACTATTGAACCGCTCGTTTTAGCTTTAGTTAAAAGCTGCCTTCGTCGCCGTTTAATTTTCACCATTGTAATGTTTGATTATGTATGAGTGGATTCGAGTGCATTACTAGCCATGGTCGGCACATTTCGTCCTTTAACTGTTTTGGATCAACAGACTTGGCTCAAAAGCATTGTCGAACAACCTTCATATATTTGCCTTCAAGCTTCATGACTTGGAATTAGCGAGTATTGAGAGTGGGAGAAGGCATCACAGCTCGTATATAACTGTAGCTAATCGGTTGCATAACATAATTTAGTCGCTGACAGTTGCTGTATCGACACGATCTAGAACCTCTTTATTAAGCGAAAGATTTAAGACCGTGCCAGGATATGACAAATAAAGTACTTACGGGATGCCCAGAACAGTTTTTCACTGCTTCGTCATAAAGAAAGGGCCTTCAAGCTCAGAGGCGCCATTCATGCTAGTTGCATCTCGCCAACGGCCAACGAGCATGCCAGATCCAACGATCTAGAGCTGTCATGTCAAATTGCTCATGGCAGAAAATTGAAGGTGGATATCATACATATCCTCGGAACAACCAAGTTCCCAATTCTGATTCATCAGAAAACGCCTAACATCTCGATTTAGCATACGGACATCAACTGGAAAATGGAAGAGTGTCTAACGCACCGGACTGCGGAGAAGAGCTACAAGTCCGTCCCAGGGTCGAACTCTTCCTAGCACCTTGAAGTGGCCCCATGCATCGCCATGTTGCGGATCTGTCTGAAATAAGGATATGGGAGTCAGGCGTCGGATAGGCATCAACTAAATATAGGCGGGCGCACCTCGCCAGTTACTATAATATCTTTGACATGTTCCGGTGTTCCAAAGCCTTCAGCATGCACGTTTCTGTAGCCCATAGAATGGTGCTATCCAGATCATGGTAAATGGAATGGTTATATATGAAAAAGTCGCTGGAAGGTTGCTCGCCTTCGAATCAGAACCATTCAAACGGTGGTCTGAATAGCCAGGTGTATCCCGAAAGCCGGATACGGGGACGAGTGTATGGTATTTGACTCTTCTGCGGGACAGTTTGTCATACACTACTAACTGAGCCGAATCCTAAAAGGAAGCCAACAAAATTGAGCCGGGTTTCTGTCAGCAACAATAAGCATATTCGAATCCCATACTTACTTCATCCTCGCGATAGGAACAACTCCTCGGCAGCCACGCATTAAGAAAATCTTCTCCGCGGTCGCTGTTATAGGAAATACTGGCTTCAGCCGAAAGGCAGTGGTGCTCCCGCAGACGCATGTACAGAGGTCGTTGATACATGGGTATCCGCGAAGAAGGAAAATCGGCAGAGTCAGCAAGAAGAGCGCGGTAAGCCTGTAATTCCGGTACCTAAATAGATAAAGGAATGTAAATAAATAGGTAAAACTCAATCCGGATCAAAGAAAGAAGATGATCCAATTAGCAGACGTCCCGCTGAGAAACAGAAGGACAGCCTGAGCTTGTCCAATCGTGAACAGGCGGAGAATGGAAAGAGGAAGAGTGCATTGCTATGATGCTATTGCCGTGAAAATACGTATTCCCGCTTATCAATTACGCGCTGGCATTCAGTCATAAAACACGAGAGAGATAGAGATCCGATGAACGGGAAGGACGAATAATTTGTAAAGGGGTGTAACGTTGCAGCGCTCACAGGTTCAAAGAGCGCCGGAAGAAGGGGGAGCGGCTTACCATGAACTTCCCAGCCCAGGGGCCCGCCAAGTTCCCAGGCACGTACGCTTGTCCTCTGAACGCCTCCCCATGACGGGCAGTCTGACTGGAATGTTCGAATAACATCATACGCGACCAGTCAATGTCTAGGAATTTGCTCGGCGAATCATCGAGATTGTGTTCTCGAGTACTCCCTGTGGTCGAAGCACGGCGTCGAATCGCGACTCGCGCAATTTTGCCTAGTTCCTCCATGTCTTCAATGGTGGGTCCGGTAATACCAAGGGCGATTGCAACTTCTCTGCTTCGTGGGAGCGAGAGGGAGCATCCACCCACGACTTTCCCGCATTGCTGGTCGAAATCAAGCCTTGCAGTGCTCGCCAGAAAGGCAGCGAGAGGTGCCGACGGTATACGAAGAAACAATGATTGATTGTAGTGGATAATTGGCATGCATTTGGTTGCTTTGCGGAGCAGTACATGACTAGGTCAACTTCAGAGTACTAAGATCATGACGCCAAGTACCTACTTAAGAGATGAAGTTTCCGACATTCAAAAGAGGCCTCAGGTGCGCAGAAGGCCTCATGCTGAACTTCCGTGAGTTTTGATGTGACAGTAAATTAAGCTTTGAGCGCTCGGGTTTCTTTTAAATAATATAACGTCAACTCACGCGATTCCCTGCAATCACAAGTGGTTGGAGAGCGGACATTAAAAGATCTCTGTCGAATGGAACCTCTGCGCGAAGCGAAGCTTATAGGACCGAAGACAGAAATCAATTGAACAGGTTTTGAGAAGAAATCTACGACGTACCTTCATCACTAGTCATCCAAAGAAGCCAGATTGTGAGTGACCAGACGGACGAATTATACGCACTCGTCTGGGCATGCAGCTTCCGCAATATGTCAAGCAGGCGGCTATGAAGACCAACCCAATCGAGCAGGTGCACTTCGTTGAACCCGTCGTTCTCAAACATCATCAGAAGCGCGGTCCACAAGTCATCCACAAGAGTAGTGTCATCGAAACATCCTGCTCTAAGGCGTTTCAGTGCTTGACAGCGTTTCTTGAGCTCGACGGAGAAGTCCACCGTGGTTAGGTAGTTAACTCCGAATCGTCGGCCACAGGAACTAAGGTCAAATTTTAAACCGAACACCTGAGACAAAAGCGGGTAGTTATCGTTGAGGCAAAGTGCACGATAAATAGATCGGCTGATCAGTGACAGAGGAAGAAGTTGTGATGGTGGGCCAGCTTTGAAACGGTCACAAATAGTAAACAGAGCTATTTGAGAGAGAAGCTCGGGTGTGAGGCTCTCCAGCCCGCGAGGGAAGGTATCAGATCCTGTCCCCATATTGAAGGGGAAACAATGGTTTCTCAGCTGGCTGCGCAAAATATGCGCCGCTTTATACGAGAATCCATAGCATGTTGTAATGAACCCTTTCCTTCGAGGAGGCGGCGTCTTGTCCTTTTAGCGAAAACGTGCCGATTATCAAGTGTGATGCACGGACATAAGGTGAAAAGACAGAACCGGCGATGTACTCCTAATATGTTTCACCAGCTCCTTTGAACGGCGATGGTCTCTGACCGTATAGTCCGTCTTCTACAGGCACGCGCTTTCCTCGCTCGGTTCGCGTAATTAAGTTACCAACGTCAAATTTTCGTGTAGTAAAGACCGGAGATGTTTTACTCTTCCATGGGCATGGGATTTGGGTTTACGATACACCATCCGAGTTAGGTAAGCAGCTATACCTTAAATATATCTGATCGGAACAAGGTACCCAAGGATCCACACATCCAAGCACGGTTTTGCTCGAAGCGTTTTACATATGGGGATGAACACTGCCTCGGCGACTAATTTTGGGTCGAGAGCCGATCATTGTCTTGTAGATACTCAAGCGCGTGACGGACCGTCAAGGATGCTTGTGGATAGGCCATTATTGGTTTATCGTATTCCGGAGCGTCCCGGCGTGCCACAAAAGTTGTTACCATCAACAATGCAGAGAACTGGAGTAAAACAGATAATCGTGCCTGAAGGGCGCAAAAGGCATGAAGATACGAGCGCTTACACTTCTGTCGTAAATTTCTCGGAAGCCGTTCGTCATGAGATGTACTCATGCATTTAGACGCGACAATACCTTGCCGAAATCCTTATCTTGTTCAGATTGTCTGAGTGTGTACTCTGATGAAAAGATCATCATCTGAACGAGGAACCGCCTTATGACCAGTGGAGACCATGTTACGATGGTGTGCTGCCAAAGTACAGAGCATCAAAGCGTGCAGGTGTCGGACACCGGATCGATGAATGAATATCCGTTAATTCTGTCGGATCTGCTCAGCTCAAATTTACAGTTACTAGAAGGCCGATCATACTCATGCCTGGCTTCGAACGCCTTTGAAACAAAAATCGGATCAAACATGCGGATGTCCGCCGTGCCTACAACTTGCGAAGCAGTTACGCATCGACCATTCGGTGTACGTCGTGCCTCAACTATGAGGCGAGAACCTCACCCGCGCTGCATATTTGGGACTTCCGCCTGTTCAAATCATCCGATAGATGCGCAACCACCTTTCGGGAAATTCAGAAGTTATGAAGCGGCCAGAAAATTATTTTGCACAAGCAAGCCCCTATTTTGCCTGCTTGACATCAGTCATATAGTTTACTTTGCATCACAGTGCGCCAAAATAACAACTCACGGAGAAGAAGCACGCATTTGGTCCGAGGAAGTGCGTGGACATACACAGGTATGCCGGAACGCAGTAGGCCGTGACGAACTTTCTCGTTGAATAAGACAGCCCTGTGAATTAAACACAAGTCATGAATTATACACGTGTGAAGGTTCTTGCACGGCCCATCGTTTATGTAGACAAGTGAATCCTATTTAGGTTCCATAAGCGTCAACTGATTCAGGACTGTTAAGGGATGCGAACAATAAAGGATACGGGTTGAAGAATGTGGATAAGGATCACACGTGCCCAAAAAGACACACCGATGAATGGCGAGAATCGGGTGCATTCATTTTTTGATGTCTAATTCCTCGAGCGAACGCGGACTTGACAAGATATCATGTTGGCGGTACGATGTAGTGACGGAAGGATGCAATTGATCTCAAACCCCCCGCTCCGGAGAGATCGGATTGAAAGAAGGATCTAACAGACCTAGATTGGCGTCAGTTAACAGTACGAGCAGACGAGTAGCCGGATCTAAGCACCATTGTCGTCAGAGTTAGTATGATGCAATAAGGCTGGCATTGGTATAGCAGCCCAGAAGCAAGCAATTTTACAGACCGGATCGTTTATCCTTGAACAGTTACGGTAGAGTGACCGGCATTGTCGGGAAAGGGTTTCGGAACAACAGTCTCGTCTTCAGAGTGTCGACGTGCTAGAACTTAAATTTCATTGGGGGTGTGGACAAAGTTGAACGGAGGTTAGACGTGCCAGTTTACCATTTTCATAATCGGTACGACGCACGAGAGCAGTGGTACGTGAGTAGGCCCGATGTTGTGGTCATGCTACCAGCTAGAAAGCTGTAATGGGACTGCGTGGTGCAACTTCAGGCTGAGCAAACAAGTCTAAACGAGTAACAAAAGTGACAAAACGGGGCAGTCAGGTCCTGTCAGGATAATTAAACACGTGATGGTTACAAATGCATATTTCTGAATTACATAAGCCAATATTCCAAGTTGAACCTTGCCCAATTGCGGACATGTGCGCTCTCGTTGTCCTGGAGCCTGGCTGACTCTAACTGGCACACTCGTGCTGTATGCCTCATCGTCTCCCCGTACTTCCATACGGCATCTCTGTCGAGAATCGCATTCTGATTGCATTTGCGTGGAGCGGAGTGTCGTCGTTAGAAGGGCATCCTTTGCTTCGTCGCCCACAAAGGCCGCCTTCGTGCCGGACGCGCTAGGCTTTTAAAGGCCTTGTTTAACAACAACACCCTTGCAACATGCTACCAAGAAGTCCCATCGTATGCTTGACTTGTCCCGAGCTCATGCAATTTACTAATTTGACACAACAAGGGGAGCATAACTGCTAATACTAGCGTTGCTAACGGCAATGGCCAAATAATTGACCCTGGCTCTGAGACGTACGTCCGCGTTGCAGCAAAGCTAGCGACCCTTCTAACATTCGAGTAAATAAGCAGAGCGTCAACAGCAGTCCATCGCCACCGCCGAGAGTTGCGATATCTCCGGGATCAGGATGCTTTAACTGCCAGCCTTTTGACTTGTACTACGGAACCCAAGCCTGAGCAACTTCAGATTGTAGCATTGGAACGGGTGAAATTGGAGCTAGAAGCCAAGATGCAAGAATTGCGGCACGATATCCACTCGTCTTGCGACCAGTTGACGTGGCGAAGCGATATGGATGAGCAGACGTGCAATTCCATCCTGTGGCAGAGACTCCTTATGGAACACAGATTGGCAGCGACGTGCAACGATAGAACCGAGGTGATAGCACAACTCGAGCGGCTTCGACGGCTGTCGAGTTCCCCCAACACGAGATTTTCCGTTGACGGTACATGTAGGTCACCGAGGCAGGCACAAATAAATGCCAACTTGACGCTTTTCCTCCACCATTCAACCACAAAGCTTCCTCTACATGCACCTTGTCGAGCACGATCGCCTGGTTCCTTGCAAGGGAACATCGTTCATGGAGCTCATAAAGCCATTCCTGTTGCCTACCGGAGTAGGCATAAGAAACCCGTCTTACAATCTCATCACTTGTTCATGGGATGTCAGGCGGACAAGCCCCGGTATAAGGAGGCTCAGCAACTGGGATCCGCCTCGTCCTCGTGTCCGAACGTGCCTTTTTTCTCGGAGAAGTCCTTTAACCATGACGGGCAAGTTGTACCAGCAGTTGATGAATTTCGCAATTCATTCTCTTCGAGAGTTATTGCCCCTTCTCGGCTTCGGCCAAACCGGACTTTGCCGCTCCGTAGTCTCCGTATCTCCTCCAAGGGGCGACGAAGCGCACTCTTCAGATATGCGGGGAAGGATTCAGTGGATAACAGAGAGTATGGGAACGTCACAATTATTCCACACGTGGTACCTCGCCTCAAGTCTGAGCTTCTGGAGGAGCTGCCAAGTACCCCGTTACCGACATATGCGCAGACGTTACTTAACGACTTCGAACAGTCCGTCCAACAGTCACTTGTACTGAACCTAATGGATGACAGTACCCCAGCAGCTCCAGCTCTTCCGCCAAAGCGAGTCTCCCTTTCCCCTGTAATCGAACTGCCTGCTCCTCTGTCCCCCGTTAAAACTCGATCTTCACCACTTTGGACGAAACGCAAACCGCCGCAGAGATATCGAACGATATTCACTTTACGACTTCCTACAAGGTCAACGCCAGATTCTGCGTCCCAATCCACTTCGGCGGGGTCTTCCTCAACATCAGAGTTAGACTCGGGTGATGAACATGACATGCTTTCACGAAATATCGCGGCAAAAATCCCATCCAAGGAAAGGGGTCTATCTTCGACGCGTAATTATGATTTATGCATGCTGGATAGGGCTCCAGACGATATTCCAGAATGTCCAGACCCTCGACCTCTGTCTCAACCTCTAACTGCGAGTCGAAGCAAATTTTCTCGCCCTTTGAGTATTATTCGCGACGTCAAGGACAGACTGGCCAATTTAGGGCGCCGTTGACGATGCTTCTATGTTTTGTTTTATTTTGTGTTATTTCTTGACGAGCTATTTATCACGTATATTCCACTACTTAGTATACTTGATCTGAATGGACTTGCTAGAACTCATACATTATTTACGGCCTATAGGACAATGTATATTTACTTTTCGTTCTGCGCTATCCCTGTTGATCCCTCTTCACTGTCATAGTCCCACCATGATCTGTATGCCCAGAACTTCTTGTTCGTATGCTCGCAAATTCCAGCAGAATAAAATAAAATTGACGTGCAGCAGCTATCCGACATCTGTCGTAACGTGGATCGCGTCTGAGGGTGTTTTGAGAGTGGACCGGGAATTTGGCGCAGACAACCGTATAGCTTGACGTCTAATCTCGCGTCTTTGCTGATCGCACACTGATAAGCTCGCTTGTAACAGTATCCCAACTGCCATGTCTGATACCTTCTCACTACAGTCAAAATTGACAGTTAAGTCGCCAAGATTCAGACAGTTGCTGGGTTGCCCTTTTACAAAGATAATCTATAATCTCACCTGTGCATACAGCTTCGTGACGGGACCACAATTCCCGTACTCGGATTCGGTCTGGGGAAAATGTTGATACAGCTGTGACCATTACTGAAAATACTGATTATAGGCACATACGAAATCGAGGGCATTGAAGCGTACAATGCTGTGACTTGGGCTTTAGAGGTGATGTACTTTTCTTGGATTTCCTTGCTAAGGAAACATAATGTCTGACAGTTGGTTTCAATTGCAAGGCTGGATACCGTCATATTGTGGGTTACCACTGTAAAGTTTAGTTCTCGTTTACTATACATCATGATGCAGGACTCCGCGGCTTGGTATTACAACGAAAAGGAGGTGGGAAAAGCAATCCTGGATTTCTGCGAGGCGAGGAAAATACCTCGTTCCGACATATATTTCGTCACCAAACTGCGATCCAACGACGGATATGAGGCATCGAAGAAAGCCATACAGAAATCCCTGGATGCATGCGGTTTGGGGTATATTGACTTGTATCTTGTGCATGGTCCTCTAGGAGGTACTCGAGCACGGATGGATAGTTGGAAAGCTATTTTGGAAGCAAAATCGGAAGGGAAGCTTCGGAATGCGGGCGTCAGTAATTATGGCATAAAACATCTTCAAGAGATGATAGAAGCCGACACCGAGCTTCCCGCTGTTAACCAGGTGACTGATTCTTGATAACCCTAATAAGTCAGATTGCGGATATTTGATCCTATATCAAACTTTGAAAACATAGATCGACCTTCATCCGTTTATGACACGGACGAAGTTAGTAGAGTTCTGTCGGCAGAATAACATAGCGTTAGAGGTAACCGTCCTCTATGCCCCAAGATTGTGGCCTTCTCATGACGTTCCATTCTGGCAGGCGTGGGGACCACTTGCTCGGGGATTCAGGTTCAAGCATCCGGTTCTTGTCAAACTTGCGAAGAAATACGGGAAGGAGGTCCCCCAAGTCCTCCTACGTTACTCTCTTCAAAAGGTAGCCCTTGGTTATAGCCACACTCCGGACAGTATAGAGTCTCTAACCTTGCTTAACCTAGGGATTCATTCCGCTTCCGAAGTCGGTCTCGAAGGAACGAATCATCTCCAACACGTTGATATATGACTTTGAACTTACGTCGGACGAAGTGGAGGAACTCGATGACTTAGACGAATGTACGTTCACCCTCCCCTTTCGGTGTACGTCATGCCGAACATTACATGGCTTATCCATAGATCTCGTCACTGACTGGGATCCGAGTGACTGCCCCTAGACGTTCTGCTCGGAATGCCTTGGGCGGTGAGTAGATTGAGAATGGAACCTATATACACGACCTCGAGGCGGCCTAATTTTGCGTCTTAATGGAAGAGTACTACCCTGTTACTTACGATATGCATTCAAGGTAGCCTCATTGTGTTTCGTACCCCAAACCGAGTGTTATTATTGCTCAATAAAATTGAAATAGAGGTCTATACATATATATGGCGTACAAATTAAAGCTTACTATTGCATTATGGAATCCCGACTGAAACATAGGGAGTAGTTGAGGGACCATGAAAGCCGGCCGGTCTTTGACTCTACGCGAACGGGCTCCATCAGTTCCATAATTTCTTGCTCGTGGTTCTAAGTTCTCGGTGCCTTTATGTATTGGCATCATCCAATGGGCTTAACTTGTCTACGAGATGAAATCGTACTGAAGGCTACCGTGATGATAGACATGGCTTGGCCGCGGACAAGTACACTGTATGAGATGGTAGACAACAGGGAGAGCTGCCTAGTCTTATAAACATACCATGTCTGTCTAGGTCTAATAAAGCGGAAGGAACGGATACATCTCAAACAACTCGGACATTTCCATCGGCTATTTCAGAGAATCACATATTTCAAAATTCCATGCATGGCTGTATCCTGCAGTTTTTTTCAGATCGTACTAAAGTTAGGGTTGAAAGATAAGACCATTCCTGGTCGTCGGCGCCTGTACCAGTATTTTGGACGAAAATCAACTTCCTAAATCGAAGGAATAGCAGATTAACCCGAAGTTTTTGGCGGCATTATGTAGCTTATCTTTTGACAGAGAAATGCCTCGAATTTAATGACATAACTTGTCGAACGTGCGCCCGTATCCTCGGGAATATGGAATTTCCATAGACTTACCATGATGCAGCGAGGAAATAGGCAAGAATTCCATTGCAGTAATTACGACATCACAATTACTACCAAATATAAGAAAACAAAGACGCGATGCGATCACGTGTAGCTTGAATACTCTCAGGACGGTCTCTTCCGTTTGGCCTTAAGTAACAACTGTTCCTTCAGTATCGCGTACATTGATCCATCGGATGCGTCTAAGGACACTGCTTGCAGACCAGCCTAAGAGGCTTTTAGATGCACTGGATACATGTGGAATCAAAGCGGACGAAGACTTCCTTTTCTCCGTGTCTGCGCTCCCAGAATTGTGGCAACGGTTACCTGCCGATACAGTCACTTTTACTGAACTTGAACAAGTCAGAGAAATTGTAATAGAGTCTCTTTCGGCGGAAGGGACACCAGGAACGGACTTTCTTGAAGAAATTGAAGCTGACAAAGAAGTCAATCCCAAGTCCCGTTGGCCAGCTAACTGTGCTGAGTTGCGTGCAGTGCTTGATGCAGTCAAGAACGGTATAATTGAAGTCTCTGGAGACAAAGGATCCTGCAAATCTGTACTAGCTCTCTGCATTTCTCCGTCATGAGAGCTCGTTTTAATGAAATGCTTCCCTTCAATTACAGACGCTCATATTGAACATAACCCTCGAATGCCTCCAAAGTGCGGAGAGCAGTGTCGTGCATTGGATTGATACAACCGGAGAATTTTCTGCGGAGAGAGCCTCGAGAATTCTGAATGGTGCTTCCCAGACGCAACGCATGGATGACAACGCTTCTGTGAAAGTTTCACTCATTCATTTCCTTCGACTCCGATACTGACAACGGAAATTTCCGAATAGCTTTCTATCTCATCCGCCCTCGACAGGTTGCATGTGTCTCTCGCATTCAACGCAGAAGATGCACATGCTGTTTTAGGCTCGATTAGCTCAGGAGTTTCGGTAAGACGTCTCCGCTGCTCTCACAGTTCGTCTTCACTCACCATCCTGTACCGGTAACCGGTATGAAAAGTCATATGGAAGTACAGGGCAACCGAACGATGTTCGTCTCATCGTTATAGATCCAATTACACCTCTGTTCTCTCCGCGACTAAGTTCAGGATCATGTGAAGGTGAAGCGGAGGTCAGTTTCTCCGTACCCGAGACTGACGAGCTCTCCGTCCGCTGTTTCAGGCCCGGCCATGATGGTGGCATTCATGAGGGACCTGCAAGATCTAACGACGAAGCTCGGAGCTATCGCCTTGGTACGGGATATTGGACTACATGTTTCCGTAATGATGTTAACAAGTTAATGTCCGCTCGAGCGTTCAGGTCGTAAATAATGCGTCTACCACTTTACCCGCTAGCTCCGCGTCAACCGTTCCGACAGTCAAGCTTAAGCCATCTTTGGGCACAACCATGACCTTCCTCACGGACACGACACTTTGGCTCTCACCTGCACGCGACGTGTTCCCCGGCAGTTTGGAAGGCGAAACGACGCATAATCAAGCTTCGCGTCGTACTTCTGATAAAGAGAATTTAGACAATGCATATATTGCGGAGGTTATTCGGTCAAGATCTGTAGGTATTTCCAACACAACATAAGCATGATTATGTGCCATATATTTGACTTTGCAATTAATCTTTCCCATAGGCTGCATATATGTGGTGGTGCTTCAGAGTGGATGATAATGGCGTACTCTATCAACTTTCATCATGTTCATCATAACACCGAAGTGATAGGGATGCGCAAAATCTCAGAAGAGATAGCGCCCTGCGGCGTCTTACTGGAAAGCGGATTTGTATGGCGCCGAGTGAAAATTTAAAAACGTTGTACATAGAACACACAGGACTAATCTACGCCCAACCCTTCGCCCTACAAATCACCGAACCTGATTATCCGCAAGGACGTAGGGAAACGTAATTAGTACTCATACGTGGCAGTTTGAATGAATGACGAACCGATCAGGCATGAGGACGGGGGCAAGCAAGCTCCAAATATACAGGATCATGCAAACCCAACTGGAGACTACGCGCATCCACATGGCTACCTCAGAGCGGCCAATGTAGACGTCATCCTCGGAACTAGGATCAGTCGACCCGTCCACCGGGGACGTCTTTACAACATTCCTGAACACGACGTCAATACAAGAGATAGTCAAACTAAACGGGCGTCAACATACCAGTCTGTCAACAACATCGCAACATACATAGCGCCCATGGCAAAAATGAAGTGGAACCATGCATACTGTGGGCGATAAGTTAGACTTGTTGTGAAGTAAACTGGAGTAACTCACATTATAGCGAGTTCCCGACTTCTCATCATCGTTGTCGTCTCCAGATACTCCCTCGTCTTCATCTTCATCTTCATCTTCATTCAGAGCAGACGCCGGTATTGCTCTGAAGAAATGTCACAAGAACGCTACGACTGGACAGGTGAAAAAACATACCCTGCTTCAACAGCAGCGAGTAAAGCCTGATACCTCGGGTTGTCTATCTTGCTTGGTTGCGAAGTGACGAGACCATGGTCACCCAACGAGCCATCGTCGATTGGTAATGCGACACCTCCTTCAGCTTTCTTATTCCCGACAAGTGCTCGACTCTGAGTCGCTGCCCGACTCGTAGAATATGCGATGGCAAGGAACGTGAAGACGGCACCCAGCACAACTGTAGTCGTCCGTGTGCCAGCCAGAGAACCCTTGTGCAACGGGTTACACTCCGCGTGCATATGGTTCCCGACAGCCGACATGATGAGATATGTACAATAAGCTGCAACCATGCTGCTTTGTGCGAGTCCAGATCGTGGGTTCGCTTCCTGGATAGCCGGATGGACACAAAGGGCCGTGATAATGATACACAGAACGAAGTTGAAAGTGATGAAGAACCGGTTAAGCGTGCATGAGGAGCCCGCGAAGAAGGCATAGAGGACACCGGTCAATGCGATGGTGGCGGCATACATCCCAGCCGTGGAACCGATGAGAATCCATTGCCAGAGGTTAGAATTGTGCGAGTTCTCCCAGTTCTCTAGACAGGTCTCCGACCAGGAGTGAGCGAAGTCGACAAGAAGGACGAGACCTAACAGTATGAAAAACGTTGCGCCGATCATGGATATGTAGTTTCCCCAGACCATGAAGAAACCATTGGGAATAAAGAAAGACACGATGACCAGGACCAGCCAGACCAGCACCTTTGGACCCCACCAACTACAACAACTAAGTTATATCGCAATGCTGCAACAGACATATTCAGGACATACCCGTTCTGAATGGCTGCTCGCTTGTCCCGTGTGTGCTTCACACCAATTAGAGAAAGGCCTAGCAAGACATGGAATAGTGACAAGGCGAAACAAATACGATGCACCTTGAAGTAAACGATCAACACGGGCAGAGAAAGGTATCAAAGATGGAACATACTGCAAGGACACCGTAACATTTCCCATCTTCACAATCCATCTTAATGTAGTCATAGCTCCATTTCTCAATCAGGTTGATTGCGAAGCGTGATTTCATTGCCCACGCGAGCATGGAGTTGACGAGGAAGATGAGCTGGCCACAATTCAGATGAGTTTATTTTCGGCACAGTAGAGTAAGTTGGGACATACTGCAAATCCAATACGTGTTGCAATGGACGAGTTGCAGTTGCATGATTTACAGAACATTGAAGCTGCATCAAAGATCCGTTAGCCTTTAAACTTGCAGAGGTCTGGTAAAGCTGACCTGCGGTCGACGTGAAGCAGAAGGCCAGCCCTGCAAGGCATGACGTCCCTACCGTCATAAGACCGCCTGCGAGTGGTATGGACAGCAATGCACCCATCGTTGACGAGCTCAGTGTACAGCGAGATGGACAAGAGGCGTAACTCCGTCACGGCTATTGCGCAGCTGTGTAGTGGCAGCACACCACGTGATCTCGCGTGGTCTATGACGCTTATTCACGACTGCATGTTCACGGTCTCGGTCTGAAACTCACTTCAGACTAAGTTGAGGTAAACCAGCACGAACACAGGCACACGATATTAAAGGAAATGTAATTCTGGAACGTAATGTACAAGTAAATCCAGACCAAGAATAAATACCGGTGTTGATGTTGGTATGACTATCTGTGTATAGCTCCTATCTCGGAGAACACAAGCTCCCTCTAGTTACCAAGCTGTTATTCCTAGGGAGACAAATCAGAACTGCAGAGTGGCGAATATACGCAGCTCCTACTGCTTCACGATCGATCCCTGCCGGTGCGTTTAAAGTAGTTGCTATTCACTGCGGTAGCCTGAACCGTGTCGAATATTCTTTCGCCAACTCCCAGAAACCGGTCCGCAATCGAGCGCAATGTGGGATCACCAATTGTACTTGAGTCCGGACTGCGTTCATAGTGGTGGAAGATTACCGTCAGTTAGTTGCGCTACGGCGATATTATTTCAAGGACGGCAGAATCTACCTGAATCCACTCGATCGACGCACGCCAGCGAGTACGGTGGACAACAAGACTGCATCGAATGTATAGTGCACAAGTCTTCCGAGCATGGCCATATGTGAATATGTGACAGGCTCAACGAAAGTCTGCTTGGGTGGAAGTCAAGTCGCGTGCTAAGGTCTGTCAAGGTAATTCACCAGGTCTGCGCGACGAAGCCAAAATATTTTCGCGGTACGTACATTGCGAAGTACGGATCTTCGATACCAAATCCCGTTGATATGGAAGGCGATGAAGAGCGTTAGAAACTAAGAAGCTGCAGGACCTCAGGTGCAGATTAAGACAAGCCTGATTATGGCGAAACCGTCGCCGAAACGCGTCCATCCGGCTTGCACGTGATGCCCTCGGAGTTCGAAAAGATGCTGCCACTGCCGAAGCGACGCCAGTGAACATTGGAACAGGCTGTCAATACCCGTCCTAATTTTGCATCCATGTCGCCTATCACTGTTCTCCGTTTAATGCTGTTACTGTATCAGCTGCGCAGGACAAAGTCAGCTCCGTGGCTATTGTAACCACTAATATCAACGGAGCGCGGTTCGCATTTTCTCTTGCGTCGCCACCTTCGAGAAATTCATGATCTGGAACAACTGGACAATTGGACTTACAGTGGCTCTCAAATGCTCGAAGATGTTCAAGGACTTGCTCTGACCTCCCCACCCATCGTTTCTCAGTCCTAATCCCTCGCCTGTCGATTGGGAACAAAGGAATGATCTGGTCCACTGACAGGTAGTAGGAACTAAGTTGGCCTTAGAACATCTGTGATGAAAGTTCTCCTCTCATCTGTTATCACAGCCTCGGAAACTGTAACATTTCGATCCTAACCCTACATCGAAATGGTTCGAAATGATCGAAGACCTCGCAGTGTAATGAATGACGGAATCTGTGCAATGGTCGTTTAACAGAGTTTGTCAGCAACAGTGTAGAAGGAACCCAAAGGCTCAGTAAGGGGACCCAGGCTACAACTATCCTACACAACAGAAATACAGAATGCAAGCACTGGAACATAGTCAGAACTTGTAGAATGGGCAGAGAGAGAGAGTGAGACAAGAGTAGAGTATATAGAGTGAGCCTAAGAGTACAGGACTACCTAGAGTAGACAAGATCAAGACTACAGGACTAGTCTGATCTTGTATGCCTATATATACTAAACTACACAAGAGTACTCAGAGAGTATGAGCCACTAAGAATAATAAGCCACAAAGAATGAAAGAAAGGAATGTCAAAGATAAAGGTACAAAGAATGAAGGGATGGACAAAGGGTAAGAGACTATAGAAGGAACAAAGAATGAAGGGGTAGTTAAAGGAATGGAATAATAAAGTAAGGAAGGGTAGTAGTAAGAGTCAGTATGTATATAGTTTATAAACAGTACCTCTGAGAGACAGAAGTTCTGAGTTCTGGTACAGAAGAGTGTAGAACCCTTAGAACTGAAGGTATGAGAGTAGAGAATTGTAACATTACTCTCTCTCTAAAACCAATCATTCTGATTAGTAAACATAGGGCTTGGTCAGTAGCTTAGACATAGGTTAGAATAGTAGAGCTTAGAAATTTGTAAGACTGAGTTTGTACAGAGTACTAGGATGAAGCTGATAGAAATCTTAGATTACTTTAAGAGTATAGACAAGGTTCTTAGCAGGTTCCCAAGTATGTTCCTCAACTAGGTATCCTTTCTAGTAGATAAGGAACTTGAGTTTTCTACACACTAGCTTAGTATCTACTATATACTCTACTTTATATTCTGGTTCAGAACTAATAAGTTCTAGTAAAAGTAGTAGGAGTCTTTGTTGTGAAGGAAAACTTAGATTGTAGTACTAAGACAGTAGAACCTTATTAAACACTGAGTGTATGTACTTCCATATTACTAGAAGTTAGAGTTTGTAGGTAGAGGTACTAACCTTCTTTTTAATAATAAAGAGTCTAAAGCACTTGTTGTCCAACTTCTTTATTAAGTAATTTATAGTTAGGTTAGTAGCTTCTAGTATAACTTTGTCACTAGACTAGTAATCCTTAGCTACAGACCTCTTCCAATTATAGTTCTACTTTATAACCTATACTACCTTTTCTAAAAGAACTTATGTGTCCTCCCTGGTTCTGTACATTTGTTTTACAAAGTCTGTTACAGATTCAGAACTACTGTTCTAGTTTAGAACTGTCTCCTAGTACAAATGTCTCTCATAATTAAGAAAGAATAGAAACTGTCCTATTATAGAGTGTTACTAGTTATTATGTATAAATTCTGTTAGAGCTAGTCATTCAGACTAATCTGATTACTAATAATTAATGAACATTCAGAGGTAGAGCTTAATCTCCTAATTGACTTACTTAGTTTGACTGTTAGTCTGTAAGTAATATACAGTAGAAGGGTTCCCTATTAGTAATAGTGTAGAAGGAACCTGAAGGCTTAGTAAGAGGACTCAGGCTATAACTATCTTATATAACAGAAATACAGAATGTAAGTACTAGAACATAGTTAGAACTTGTAGAACAGGTAGAGAGAGAGAGTAAGACAAGAGTAGAGTATATAGAGTAAGCCTAAGAGTACAGGACTACCTAGAGTAGACAAGGTTAAGACTACAGAACTAGTCTAATCTTGTACACTTATATATACTAAACTATACAAGAGTACTCAGAGAGTATGAGCTACTAAGAATAATAAGCTATAAAGAATGAAAGAAGAGAATGTTAAAGATAAAGGTATAAAGAATAAAAGGATAGACAAAGGGTAAGAGACTATAGAATAAACAAAGAATAAAAGGGTAGTCAAGGGAATAGAATAATAAAGTAAGGAAGAGTAGTAGTAAGAGTTAGTATATATATAGTTTATAGACAGTACCTCTAAGAGACAGAAGTCCTGAGTTCTAGTACAGAAGAGTGTAGAACCCTTAGAACTAAAGGTATAAGAGTAGAGAACTGTAATATTACTCTCTCTCTAAAACTAATCATCCTGATTAGTAAACATTAGGCTCAGTCAGTAACTTAGGTATAGGTTAGAATAGTAGGGTTTAGAAATCTATAAGGTAGAGTTAATACAGAGCACCTAGATGAAGTTAATAGAAGTCTCAGATTGTCTTAACAGTATGAGTAAGATTCTTAGTAGGTTCTCAAGTATGTTCTTTAACTAAGTATTCTTTCTAGTAGATAAGGAACTTGAGCTTTCTGTGTACTAGCTTAGTATCTGTTATATACTCTACTTTATATTTCAGTTTGGAACTGATAAGTTCTAGTAGAAGTAGTAGGGGTCTTTGTTACAAAGGAAAACTTAGATCATAATACTAAGATAGTAGAACCTTGTTAAACACTGAGTGTATGTACTTCTATATTGTTAGAAGTTAGAGTTTGTAGACAGAGGCACTAACCTTCTTTTTAATAACAAAGGGTCTAAAGCACTTATTGTTCAACTTCTTCATTAAGCAATCTGTGGTCAGGTTAGTAGCTTCTAACATAACTTTGTTACTAGGCTAGTAATCCTTGGCTGCAAACCTCTTTTAATTATAGTTCTACTTTATAACTTATACTACCTTTTCTAAAAGAGTCTGTACATCCTCTCTAGTTCTATGTATCTGTTCTATAAAGTCTGTTATAGATTTAGAACTACTGTTCCAGTTCAGAACTGTTTCCTAGTACAAATGTCTCTTATGATTGAGGAAGAATAGGGACTGTCCTATTATAGAGTGTTACTAGTTATTGTACATGAATTCTGTTAGAGCTAACTATTCAGACTAATCTGATTACTAATGATTAATGAACATTCAGAGGTAGAGCTCAATCTCCTGATTGACTCACTCAGTTTGACTGTTAGTCTGTAAGTAATATATAGTAGAAGGGTTCTCTTAAATTCTAAGAAGTGTATACAAGTCCTGTATAAATTTTAACTTAAATTACAGTCTACAATTGTGAATGAGCTTCTAAGGGAGTCTGTATAACTAGAAGACATGATTCTAATAAATGTATACTATACTTTTAGAAGTAAGTTCTGTTTAGGTTGGAACTATATGGACTTACTTAGAGAATCAGTTAACAATTATACAGATAGTGTTGTAACCCTAAGACTTAGGTAGCTTACTAATCAGGTCTACCAAGACTTCTTCCTAAGAGTGATCTAGGATCTAATACAAATGTAGGAGAGTCTAAACCCTTGTCTAGTAAGCTTTAGTCTGTTAGTATGTATTACAACTAGTTACATACTTTAGGATTTCTCTCTACATTCTAGACTACTAGTAGTTTTAAGTAATGAGTTCCTGTGTTTTGTGTTAGTCTGAATGTTCTACAGTCAGATTGTTGTAATAAGCTTAGACAATGTCCTCCTATAGCTTCTAATCCTTCAGAATGTATAGTTGGCCTTCTTAGTAAACCTGTCTATCCTTATCCTCCTCCTAATCCTTAGCCTACTTCTCTAGTTGCTTTACTACAACCTAGTCCTGTGTGTGTCTTAGAGCTTACTGTATGTGAGTAACAAAGTTAACATCCTCAGATTTGAGTCAGATCTCTTAGATTGTTTTGGACACAAAACAGGAATTGTTTAGAAGAACAAGATTTTCATTATTATTCTCCCCCCTTTTATAACCTACTTGTCTTAAGAGTAAATTAGCTTTTGTCATTTGTGTTCTAAGTTTGTGAGTCAGTACAAAGTTGTAGTCCTACAGTTCTAACATCTAACAGACTTAGTAGTAGTTGAGCTTCTGAGGTGTCTGAAAGTACTAGAGATTAAGGTGATTACTCTAAATCTTAAACTTCTGTACAGTACTAAGAAGATATTAACACTACTCTTTTAGGGAACAGACAATTGTAAGGAGTTCCTTATTATAGATAGAGTAGTTCTGTTCTATTATAGAGAGGGATTCTAATCAGAACACTATTAGACACTATTTTCTGTTAATGAACTAGGACAGTACTACTCTATTTACAAAGTTAGAAGAGTTAGCTTTAACTCAGAACTTGTTTACAACTGTCAGAACTACTAATACAGGCTTACTAGTAATAGCCTACTTTAGGAACTTGAATGTAGACTACTACTGATCCTCCTATTACTAATAAACATTTTTGCTAGTAAGATTGTGAAGGGGCTGAACAATAGTACTAAAGTCTTAAATAAAGTATTAGTAGTAGTTTACAAACCTAAGGAACACTTAGACCTGTTTCAGGTTCTAAGGTTGTAACCAGTTCTGAACTACAGTTACCTTTGCTGGATTCATACAGACCTGTCCTCTACTAATTACAAAGTCTAGATAATCTACTAACTCCTGTGTAAAAGAGTACTTTACTTCTTAGAGGAACAGTTTATTATCTTAGAGCTGTTGTAGAACTACTCAGATCAGTCAGTAATAATACTCAACTGTCTGAGTAAAGATCAGAATGTTATTCAGATACACACTAACATACTCTAAGTTAATTAGATTTGTAAGAATGTGATTTATGAATGACTAGAACATTACAAGTGAGTTAGTTAGTCTAAAGAATATTACAGTTAGTTTGTACAATCTACAATTAGTTCAGAATACAGTCTTCTACTCATCTCTATCTTAGATCCAAATATTATTGTATCCTTATCAAATGTCCAACTTAGTAAAAACTCTGAATGTATGTATCTTATTAATGAGCTCCTAAATCAGGGAGAGTAGGTACTTGTTTTTGACAGTACTCTTATTAAGATAATAATAATTCTAGACTAGACAGAGTTTCCCATCTTTCTTTTTGACAAAAAAGAAAGAGGAGGCTATAGAGGACTTTAAAGGTTGAATCTAGCTATTCTAAAGATTTTCCTAAAGGAACTCATTAAGTACCTCCTACTTGTCTCTGTTGAGTAGGTAGACCTTATAATCCTTAAGTTAGAAACCCTTAGTCAATTCAATTACATAGTTCTAGAGATAGTGTTTAAGAAGCTAGTCAAATTCCTCTTCACTAAAGACTTTAGAGAACTCTCAGACAAAATCTGGCAGGCTGAGTCTATATACATTCTAGAGTAGAGTCATTCTGAGAGGGTTCTAAACTAGTTCTGTCTTAAACATCCTTCAGATTGACTCTGTTCTGTCTTAACTAGAATATGTATCTACATATTTATCCTAGTTAAAGAAGAACAACTAGTCACCTTTATTAGAACTGTTAGTAACATTAAAAGTATCTGTATCTACTTAGAATAGTAGTATAAGGTAACTGTAAGACTCAGAACACTGATTGAACACAAGTGTCTACTCTAACTAGTTAATAGTAGGGTTGTAAACTTTGAGTCATTTGAATCTAATAAAGACATCTGTCTTTCTAAGGTTAATGACTCTAAACTCAATACTTTCCTTATAATCCTGAATAGTTATCTATAGTTGGACAAACTCAGTAATCCAACCATTCCAGTTTAGAGTTCTGTCTATATTGTATACTAGGATCAGAAGTAGAATACATTAAGTAGGGAGGTAGTGTTCCTACACAAAGGTCTTATTAATACACAAACTAGTACATTTACTATCTATCAGAACTATTGTTTAGATCTGGGGGGATCCTAAGAAGGGAGTTAAGAGGACAAGGACTTAGAGCTAGTGTTTAAAACATTCTCAGATGAACTGCTACTTGTTCTGAAGAGAATGTATAGCTTGTACAGTCTTATTGTCTAAGAGGGTAAGTATATACACTAACATTTCCTTATTAACCTCTCTCTTTCAACAAGGACAGACTCATGTCCTTAGCTGTGAACTCAGCTAAGACTATCCCTACTTAATACTATAGACAAACTACTAAGTAGTAAATAGGGCTGAGTAGTGTTCCAAACATTCTAAGATCTTAGAACATAGAAGTAGTAGGTCAGATTGTGTAGATTTAGACTTGGATAAAGTACAAAGAGAAGAATTAAAAGAATCAGGAGAAATAGGAGAACTATCTACTTTTGTTTTCAACTTTTTTCTTTCTAATAAATAATTTTGTTAATTTATTTTTTCTACTTTTTCTACTTTTTCTGTTTTATTTACTTCTAATTCTACAGTGTTTATTGAATCAAAAGTAGTTATTAAAAAATCTAAGTCATAGCTCTTCAGTATTACATTTACTGTTAGGCCTTTACAAAATCCTAGAGTATATAGTCAGGGTTTAGGAGTTCTAAGATGACTTCCAGATTTACAGAAAAGGCTTCTTACTACAAATCTTACTTGTTACTCATTATTACTCTAATAACCTAACAGATGTACTGTTACTTCTGTAAGTAGTTCTTAATTTAGTACCCTGACTTTCTGTAAGCAAAGTATACTCCTTACTTTCAGGCTTCTCTAATGTCTATCAGAATAAATTGATTACAAATTACAGGCAGATTAATCTAAGGGCTCAGAACTGTTAGAGTTAAACACATGTACAAGTATTCTATACAGACTTGACACATTCAGACTATAGCTTAGTTGAAGGAAATGGTGTACATCTTCTACTCAGTGTAAGTGACTAGTTCTAGCATCATTCTAAGGATCTTATTAACTAGTTCTAGGTGAAGAGCTTTTTCAAGTATTCTAATAAGAACATTATTAAATCTAAGCACAAATCCTACCTTCTAGGCTAGAATATTAAACTCCTGAAAGAAAGCATTAGTAGAATGTTTACTCTGTTATAGAGACACAAGCTTGTTCTACACATTGTACTTCTCATTCAGATTAATAAAGGAAGTACAGAGTTGCCCTATAAATTCTAAATACAACTCATTGTTCTGAAGTCAGATTAGGCTTCTAATTTAATAGTCTTCAATCCAGTTCTAAGCCTAGATGACTATATTACCTTCCTTTATGAAGGAGAGGACAAATAGGACACAATTAAGATCTAAGAATAGATTAGTTAAAGTAGTAGCTACATATAGTTCAACTTAGTACTAGAAGTCCTTAAAGTACTATCTATTAAAGTCTAAAGGGTAGACTACATACACTTTCTTTCTAGAACAGGTTACAACTTCTAAAACAATTAGAACAGGTTCTAAAGGGGTTAGAGGTATGTAGTTAGTAAAGGCCTCTTAGATAGAGGTCTGTATGTATTAAGCTAGTTCTACTCATAACTACTAATCTAGTAAAACAGTAAGGGTGGCAGTTAGTATAGGAGAATCTATGTTTATACTATAAAGGAATCAGTACTAAACTAAAAGGGGTAATGAATAGAAGAAGGGTGGCAAAAGTTTAAAAGGGTTTAGAAAGTTTAAAATTTAAAAATGTAAAAGGGTTAGGACAAAGAAAAGAGATTAACACAATAGTAAGTACTAATACTCAAAATGTAAGAGAGTTGTAGAGTAGTAATGAGTAGTCTTAATCTAATGTTAGTGACAGTATAAAAGGAACCTGAAGGCTTAACAAGGGGACTCAGGCTACAACTATTCTACACAACAGAAATATAGAATACAAGTACTAGAATATAGTTAGAACTTACAGAACAGACAGAGAGAGAGAGTGAGACAAGAGTAGAGTATATAGAGTAAGTCTAAGAGTATAGGACTACCTAGAGTAGACAAGATCAAGACTACAGGACTAGTCTAATCTTGTATACTTATATATACTAAACTATACAAGAGTACTTAGAGAGTATGAGCTACTAAGAATAATAAGCTATAAAGAATGAAAGAAGAGAATGTCAAAGATAAAGGTACAAAGAATGAAGGGATGGACAAAGAGTAAGAGACTATAAAATGAACAAAGAATAAAGGAGTAGTTAAGGGAATGGAATAATAAAGTAAGGAAGGGTAGTAGTAAGAGTTAGTACACATATAGTTTATAGATAGTACTTTTAAGGGACAGAAGTTCTAAGTTCTAGTACAGAAGAGTGTAGAACCCTTAAAACTGAAGGTACAAGAGTAGAGAACTGTAACATTCCCTTGAATTCTGAGAAGTGTATACAAGTCCTATATGAATTTCAACTTGAATTACAGTCTACAATTGTGAATAAGCTTCTAAGGGAGTCTGTACAACTGGAAGACATGATTCTAATAGATGTACACTATACCTTTAGAAGTGAGTTCTGTTTAGGTTGGAACTGTATGGACTTGCTTAGAGAATTGGTTGACAATCACACAGATAGTATTGTAACTCTAAGACTTAGGTAGCTTACTAATCAGGTCCACCAAGACTTCTTCCTAAGAGTGATCTAGAATCTAATGTAGATGTAAGGGAGTCTGAACCCTTGTCTAGTAAGCCTTAGTCTGTTAGTATGTATTGTAACTAGTTACATACTTTAGGATTTCTCTCTACATTCTAGACTACTAGTAGTTCTGAGTAATAAGTTCCTGTGTTTTGTGTCAGCCTAAATGTTCTACAGTCAGATTGTTATAATAAGTTTAAACAATGTCCTTCTACAGTTTCTAATCCTTTAGAATGTATAGTTAGCCTTTCTAGTAAACCTGTCTATCCTTATCCTCCTCCCAATCCCTAACCTGCTTCTCTAATTGTTTTACTACAACCTAGTCCTGTGTGTGTCTCAGAACTTACTATATATAAGTGACAAAGTCAACATCCTTAGATTCAAATCAGATCTCTTAGATTGTCTTGGATGCAAAACAGGAATTGTCTAGGAGAACAAGATTTTTGTTATTATTCTCCCCCCTTTTATAACTTACTTGTCTTAAGAGTAAATCAGCTTTTGTCATTTGTGTTCTAAGTTTGTAGGTTAGTACAAAGTTGTAGTTCTACAGTTCTAACATTTAGTAGGCTTAGTAGTAGTTAAGCTTCTAAGGTACTTGGAAGTACTAGAGATTAAGGTAATTACTCTAAATCTCAAACTTCTGTATAGTACTAAGGAAATATTAACACTACTCCTCTAAGGAATAGACAATTGTAAAGAGTTCCTTATTATAGATAGGGTAGTTCTGTTCTGTTGTAAAGAGGGATTCTAATTAGAATACTATTAGACACTACTTTCTATTAATAAACTAAGACAGTACTACTCTATTTGTAAAGTTGAAAGAGTTGGCTTTAACTTAGAACTTGTCTACAACTGTCAGAACTACTAATACAGGCTTACTAATGATGGTCTGCTTTAGGGACTCAAACACAGACTACTACTAATCCTCCTATTACTAAGGAACATCTTTGCTAGTAAGATTGTAAAGGGGCTGAGTAATAGTACTAAAGTTTTGAATAAAACATTAGTAGTAGTTTACAAACCTAAGAAACACTTAGACCTGTTTCAGGTTCTAAGGTTGTAACCAGTTCTAAACTACAGTTACCTTTACTAGATTCATACAGACCTCTCCTCCACTAATTACAAAGCTTAGATAATCTACTGACTTCTATACAAAAGAGTACTTTATTTCTTAGAGAAACAGTTTATTATCTTAGAGCTATTATAGAACTGTTTAGATTAGTTAGTAATAGTGCTCAACTGTCTGGGTGAAGATTAGAATGTTATCTAGATACACACCAACATACTCTAAGTCAATCAGATCTGTAAGAATGTGATTCATAAATGACTAGAATGTTATAGACAAGTTAGTTAGTTTAAAGAACATTACAGTCAGTTTGTACAATCTACAATTAGTTTAGAACACAGTCTTCTACTCATCTCTGTCTTGAATCTGAATATTATTGTATTCTTATTGAATGTCTAACTTAGTGAAAACCCTAAATGTATGTGTCTTATTAATAAGCTCCTGAATCAGGAGGAGTAGGTACTTGTTTTTAACAGTACCCTTATTAAGACAATAATAATTCTAAACTAGGTAGAGCTTCCTATCTTTCTTTTTAACAAAGAAGAAAGGAGAGGCTATAAAAGACTTTAAGGGTTGGATCTGACTGTTCTAAAGATTTTCCTAAAGGAACTCATTAAGTGCCTCCTACTTGTCTCTGTTGAGTAGGTAGACCTTACAATCCTTGAGTTGGAAACCCTTAGTCAATTTAATTGTATAGTTCTAAAAACAGTGTTTAGGAAGTTAGTCAAATTCCTCTTTACTAAAGACTTTAGAGAACTCTCAGACAAAATCTGGCAGGCTGGGTCTATGTGTATTCTAGAGTAGAGTTGTTCTAAGAGGGTTCTAGACTGGTTCTGTCTCAGACATCCTTCAGATTGACTCTGTTCTGTCTTGACTAGAATATGTATCTATATATCTATCCTAGTTGAAGAAGAACAACTAGTCACCTTCATTAGAACTGTTAGTAACATTAGAAGCATCTGTATCTACTTAGAACAGTAGTGTAAGGTAGTTGTAAGACTTAGAACACTGATTGAACACAAGTGTCTACTCTAACTAGTTAATAGTAGGGTTGTAAGCCTTGAGCCATTCAAATCCAATAAAGATGTCTGTCTTTCTAAAGTTAGTAACTCTGAACTCAATACTTTCCTTATAATCCTGAATAGTCATCTATAGTTGGACAAACTCAGTAATCTAACTATTCTAGTTTAAGGTTCTATCTGTATTGTATACTAGGATTAGAAGTAGAATGTATTAAGTAGAGAGGTAGTGTTTCTACACAAAAGCTTTATTAATGTATAAACTAGTACATTTACTGTTTACTAGAGTCATTGTTCAGATCTTGAGGGATTCTAAGAAGAGAGCTAAGAGGATAGGAATCTAAAGCTAGTGTCTAGAATGTCCTTAGATAAACTACTACTTGTTCTGAAAGGAATGTACAGCTTGTACAGTCTTATTATCTAAGAGAGTAAGTATATATACTAACATTTCCTTATTAACCTCTCTCTTTCAACAAGGACAGACTCATGTTCTTAGCTGTGAACTTAGTTGAGGCTATCCCTACTTGATACTACAGACAAACTACTAAGTAGTAAACAAGGCTGAGTAGTATTCTAAACATTCTAAGATCTTAGAATGTAGAAGTGGTAAGTTGGATTGTACAGATTTAGACTCAGATGAAGTACAAAGAGAAGAATCAAAAGAATCAGGAGAAATAGGAGAACTATCTACTTTTGTTTTTGACTTTTTTCTTTCTAATAAATAATTTTGTTAATTTATTTTTTCTACTTTTTCTGCTTTTTCTACTTTATTTACTTTTAATCCTACAGTGTCTATTAAATCAAAAGTAACCATTAAAAAATCTGAGTCATAACCCTTCAGTACTGTATTTACTGTTAAGCCTCTATAAAATCCTAGAGTACATAGTTAGAGTCTAAGAGTTCTGAGGTAGCTTCTAGATTTGTAGAAAAGGCTTCTTACTACAAATCCTACTTATTACTCATTATTACTCTAATAACCTGACAGATGTACTATTACTTTTACAGACAGTCCTTAATTTAGTGCTCTGACTTTCTACAAGTAAAGTATACTTCTCACTTTCAGACTTCTCTAATGTCTATTAGAACAGATTGATTACAAATTATAGGCAGATCAATCTGAGGGCTCAGAACTGTTAGAGCTAAACACATGTGTGAGTGTTTTATACAGACTTAATATATTCAGACTACAGTTTAGTCAAAGGAAATGACACATGTCTTCTACTCAGTATAAGTAACTAGTTCTAGTATCATTCTAAGGATCTTATTAACTAGTTCTAAGTGAAGAGCTTTTTCAAGTATTCTAATAAGAACATTATTAAACCTGAGTACAAATCCTACCTTCTAGGCTAGAATATTAAACTCCTGAAAGAAGGTATTAGTAGAATGTTTGCTCTGTTACAGAGATGTAAGCTTGTTCTACACATTACACTTCTTATTCAGATTAATGAAGGAAGTACAGAGCTGCCTCATAAATTCTAAATACAACTTATTGTTCTGAAGTCAGATTAAGCTTCTAATCTAATAGTCTTTGATCTAGTTCTGAGCCCAGGTGGCTGTATTACCTTCCTTTATAAAGGAGAGGATAAATAGGACATGATTGAGATCTGAGGATAGATTAGTCAAAGTAGTAGCCATGTATAGTTCAACTTAGTGCTAGAAGTCCTTAAAGTACTACCTATTAAAGTCTGAAGGGTAGACTACATACACTTTCTTTCTAGAACAGGTTGTAACTTCTAGAACAATCAGAACAGGTTCTAAAGGGGCTGAGAGTATGTAGTTAGCAAAAGCCTCTTAGATAGAGGTCTGTACATATTAAGCTAGTTTTACTTGTAACTACTGATCTAGTAGGACAGTAGGGGTGACAGTCAGTGTAGGAGGGTCTATGTTTACACTACAAAGGAATCAGCACTAAACTAAAAGAGGTAATAAATAGAAGAAGGGTGGCAAAAGTTTAAAAGGGTTTAGAAAGTTTAAAATTTAAAAATGTAAAAGGGTTAGGACAAAGAAAAGAGATCAATACAATAGTGAGTACTAATGCTTGAAACATAAGAGAGTTGTAGGGTAGTAATAGGTAGTCTTGATCTGATGTCAGCAACAGTGTAGAAGGAACCTAAAGGCTCAGTAAGGGGACCCAGGCTACAACTATCCTATACAACAGAAATACAGAATGCAAGTACTAGAACATAGTCAGAACTTGCAGAACAGGCAGAGAGAGAGAGTGAGACAAGAGTAGAGTATATAGAGTGAGCCTAAGAGTACAGGACTACCTAGAGTAGACAAGATCAAGACTACAGGACTAGTCTGATCTTGTACACCTATATATACTAAACTACACAAGAGCACTCAGGGAGTATGAGCTACTAAGAATGATAAGCTATGAAGAATGAAAGAAAGGAATGTCAAAGATAAAGGTACAAAGAATGAAGGGATGGACAAAGGGTAAGAGACTATAGAAGGAACAAAGAATGAAGGGGTGGTCAAAGGAATGGAATGATGAAGTAAGGAAGGGTAGTGGTAAGAGTCAGCACACATATAGTCCATAGACAGTGCCCCCAAGGGATGGAAGTCCTGAGTTCCAGTACAGAAGGGTGCAGAACCCTCGGAACTGAAGGTATGAGAGTGGAGAATCGTAACAGAGTTCTCAGATCATGATTTCTAAGACATGATTTAAGTATCAATCACCTCTATGGTGTCGATGATACGGTTGTGTCTGCTACAAAGATAGTCGTGAACTTAGCTTTTCCGTATATAATCTGGCTTACCATTAGGAACAACGAAACTATCAGCATCCCCATTCCCTCACTGTTCTCATCCTCTGCTTGTCCATGGATTCCTTTCCTCTCGCAGATGTCTTGGATTTTCAGACTACCGCAAAAGAAGTCTACGCTTATACGGTAAGGTAACAATTATCTACGTTGAACTAGAAATTGACTGCATTGAAAGTATATTGCAGGCAAGTCTCTGTAGTAATATTGGAGAAAGAAGCTGAGTGCTGATTGCACCGCACGACGCACAGTCGCGACTCTAGCACTCTTCGTATGCGGGCAATGTTCTTCTACCTATAATCACCCTTCTTATCTCTTCTGAAGATATATGATTATTTCTGCACGTTGGAGAACGAAGTATGTAATTAAGCTTAACCATACAGACCTCGCTCTTCATGCATTCCTAGATTTGCCTTGTGTGGCCGTCGCGGTGGTCGTTTATAAAATACGTTTACTTCCTCAATCGGGCCAGCGCCTTTATTGCTTCATTTTGTCTAGTATATCGTGGGTAACAATGACATTATCTTTCATTGCGCACTGCTAACTGACTCCTTCAAACGCTCGCAGTGTTGTTGGTCATTAGTGAAGAAAGGGTGCGCAGGATCTTATTAGTTATTCTGATAATTCGTTGTGTTCTGATTACAATCCAGTCATGCTGGCCAATCTCATTTACCACTGCTCGTAAGTGTATCACGATCTATGATCCAAACCTTTTTTCGTTGAATTGTACACCCGCTAGTGATGGGACAGTGGACCTTCGTTATCGGAGAGAGTACGTCGATATCCGTCTTTCTTAATCTCACAGATTGAACCTATCTTGGGCCCAGTTGTTCTTTTCATGCGTGTACATGCTATTTGGTGCTGCACCAGGCGCATGCTAATTCTCCTGTTGTTGGTATACGTAGTAAGTGTCCTGTGTGCCATAATGCATGACTTTCGGTGACAAGTTTAGCTGGGTGTGGTGGGGTCGACTTACATCATCCTACATGACACCAGGACTGTCATCACTAGTGAGTATGAAATTTATGCCTACCGGGAATCAGGTCCAACATTTACTCGATTTACGGCATTAGCAACATTTCCAGAGTTATTCGACTCGGGATGCCTAGTGATCTATACTGGCACACTTGACTGGATTGCTTATCTTATTCTCCTATTCCATGAATCTTGTAAGCGTTGCTCCATTTTTTCAGCACCAGCATGAATAAAATCTTGACTGCGGTCTCTGATAGTTATATTAATACTCATTCTCACACGGGCATCCCGTTTTAGTCAGTATAAATAGAACGTGCCCACACATGCGAAGCTAACGATTAGTTCAGGTGGTTATAAATTATCCAAAATTTTGAAGAGAATAGTGCAGGACGGTATGATATACACGATATGGTTCCTTTCTCTCGACAAAATAACCTTCATTCTTCCAGGTGTTTTCTACTACATTTGTGTTCTTGGTGAGCAGTGGCTTGGGAATATACATGTGAAAATGCTTAACAATGGCTGGCGAAGGGATGACCGTGGCCAACATACTTGTTCTCTCACTCGCAACAGTGAGATTTTCATCTTCGACAGTACTGTACTGCCGTGAAATACTAATTACCGCTTGCAGAGAAACTTGCGGACGCTTCTATTCGTGTAATCTTCGCTTCTTTTTCCACTTCGTAATGTTGAGTCTGACCTCTATCACCTTGTATGAAGAGTACAAGCCGTGTTACACAGCATCTTATGTGCTCGCCTCTTGCTCCGTTTGCGCGGCGCATATAGGTCACTTACCACCGAGGGTATGCGATCTATACATTCGCAGTCTATACATTTTCAAAGTGAGGCCACGGGTACAACTGTCATAGACGATCATCATCATCATCCTGCAGACAGTACTTCATTACAAGCGTTTTCTGCTTCTACACTGTATGATACACAAGGCTGATATACTCATGAGATAAAATTCGTATTTGGCTCGATTTAATGGTTATATACTCCTTGTACTGAGTTAATAGGAAAAGAGAAATATCAAGCTAGAAGAGTGTATTTTCTCAAATACTTAGATTTGTTTGAAAGGAAAATTTGAAAATTGCATCCAAGGCTAATACATTATCTTTATTTTTGTATTATACTTATCTTCCTAAATGCTACATTTGTATTATATTTAAAAATTCAGGAGTCAACTGAAGTATCTCTAGGAAAATGTCTTGCTAAATTTCATTCTTTTAATGCTTCCTTTACTGTACCATAAGATTACTTATTACTAAAGTAAGGAGGTGAATTAGTGTCCATCTGGCATGCACGTGATACTCTCAGACGCCCAACAGCCCGACTGTCGCGAACGCTCGGCGAACAAGCCACCAACGCCAATCCCAGTTTTGCTTTCATGTTGCTCGTCACTGTTTACTGTCTAACGCTGTCGCTGTATCAGTTGCACAGGTTAAATCAGCTTTCTAGCTCTTGTAAGCACTAATATTTACGGAGCGCGACTCACATTTTCTCTTGCACTGCCACTTTCGAGAAATTCATGGTCCAGAACAACTGAACAAGTGGACTCATACCAGCTCTCTCTCGGAAAATGCTCAAGGATCTGCTCTGACTTCCCGCTTATTGTTCCTAAGTCCTGAGGCCCCGCTTGTCAGCCGACGACAAAGAAATGACCCGGTGAACTAACAGGTAGCAAGAACTAAGGTGACCTTCGTGCATCTGATGAAAAGTCTCCTCTCATCTGTTATCCCAGCTCCGGTACCTGTAGCGCTTCAATCCTAAACCTACATCAATAAATTTCAAAATGACTTCAGAGACCCCGCAGTGAAATGAATGGTGGAACCTGTGTCACAACAAACGATCATCGCGCAAAGACTAGTGGACGTTTTTCTCTGTGTAGGGCACCATTCATATGACGGGAGTTTCTCGGGTCATGATTTCTAGAACATGATCTTCTGGATAGCTGATGGTTATTGTGCTCCTCTTGCGTGTAGGCATTTCCAACTGCATGGGATTTCACTAAGCATCAATCTCTTCATGTTGTCGACGATGCGGTGGTGTCCGCTACATAGGCAGTCAAGAACTTAGTTTTCCTGTATATAATCTGGCTTTCTCTTGAGAACAGCGAAACTATTGTCACTCCCGTTCCCTCACTGTGTCCATCCTCTGCTTATTCATGGTTTCCTTTTCCGTGGCGGATCTCCCGGATTTACAGACTACCGCGGAAGACGTCTACATTTATAGAGTAAGGTGATAGTTATCTGCGTTCAACTAGGAATTAACCACGTTAAAAGTGTATTGCGGGCGAGTCTCTGTCGTAATATGGAGGAAAGAGGCTGATTGCTGATTACACCGTACATCATACAGTAGCAGGCCTAACGCTCTGTGTATGCGACCCATATATCTTCTACCTAAGGTTACCATTCAGACCTTTCTCAACACGCATCCCTAGATTCGCCTTGTGTGGCCGTCGCGGTGGTCGTTCATAAAATACGTTTACTTCCTCAATAGGACCAGCGCCTTTATTTCTTCGTTTTCTCTGGTATATCGTGAGCAGTATTGCAACGTCTTTAATCTGGCCGTGCTGACCGACTCTTTCAATCGCTCGCAGTGTTGTTAGCCATCAGTGAAGAAGAGGTGCGCGGAATCTCGTTAGTTGTCCTGATAACTCGTTATGTTCTGACTACAATCCAGTCATGCAGACCAAGCGTAATTGCCACTGCTCGTACGTGGACCTCGCTCTAGTAGTCCAAACTTTTCTCGTTGACTTGCACACCCGCTAGTGATGGGACAGTTGACCTTCGTCATCGGAGAGAGTACGTCGATACTCGTCTTTCTTTATCTCGCAGATTGAACCTATCTTGGGCCCAGTTGTCCTTTTCATGCGTGTACATGCCATTTGGTGCTGCACCAGGCGCTTGCTAATTCTCCTGTTGATGGTATACGTAGTAAGTGTCCTGTGTACCAGAATGCATGACTTTTGGTGACAAGTTTAGCCGGGTGTGGTGGGATCGGCTTACGCCGGCTTGCGTGCGGCCAGCACTGCCATCGCCAGTGAGTATGCAATTTGTGCCTACTGGGAATCAAGTCCAATGTTTACTCATTTTACGGCATTAGCGACATTTCCAGAGCTGTTCGACTCGGGATGCCTAGTGATCTACACAAGCACAATGCAATGGGCTTGTTATCTTATTCTCCTATCCCATGAGACTTGTGAGCGTTGCTCATTTCTTCGGCGCCCGCATGAATACAAACTTGACTGTGGTCTCTGATAGTTATACTCGTACTCATTCTCACACAGGCATTCCGTTCAGGTCAGCGCAAAAAGAACGCTTCTATGCATGCGAAGTTAACGAGCAGTTTAGGTGGCTGTAGAATATCTAATATTTTGGGGATCATACTCAGAGACCGTAGGATACACATGAAATGGTTGCTTTCATTTAACTGACTAACTTACACTATTCTAGGTGTTTACTATTACATTTGCGTCCTTGGTGAGCGACAGCCTGAAAAATTCACACAGACTAGTACTTGACATTGGCTGCTAAAGGAAGTACTGTGGCAAACTTGCTCGTTCTCTTACTTGCAACTGTAAGATTCTCACTGCCATGAGCAGTACGCGCCCTGTAAAGTTACTAATCACTGAATCATTATCTATAGAGAAATCTACGGACCCTCCTAGAATGGTATCTCGTTCTGCAAGATTGAGACTGACCTCGATCACCTTATATGAAGGGCACAAACCGTGTTACACAGCATCTTATGTGCACGCCTCTTGCTCCGTTTGCGCGGCGCATATAGGTCACTTACCACCGAGGGTATGCGATCTATACGTTTTCAAAGTGAGGCCACAGGTACAACTGTCATAGACAATCATCATCATTATCCCGCAGACGGTCTTCCGTTACAGACGTTTTCTGCTTCTACGCTGCATGATACACAAGGCTGATATGTTCATGGGATGAAATTCGTGTTTGACTCAATTTAACGTTCATTTTCCCCTTTACTGAGTTGTTAGGGGTAGGAAAGGAACACGGGTATCAGGCCAAAAAGCATATTTTCTCTATTACTTAGACTTGTTTGCTTAGAAGATTATTTAAAACATGTGTTCAATAGGCTAATATATTGCCTTTATTTTAATATTACATTAAGAAAAATTAAAGAGCCAACTGAATTATTTTCATACGAAAGAAAATCTTTTACTGATCTCTGAGATTCTTCTGCTTCTTTTATTGCAAGAAAAAGACGTCTATCCGGCATGCACGTGATGCTCTCGGAATTCGGAAAACACCTGCACTACCGAATCGACGCTGGCGAACAAGCCATCAAACACCCATCCTAATTTTGCATTCATGTTGCTCATCATTGTTTACTGTTTAATGCTACCGCTGTATCAGCTGCGCAGGACAAAATCAGCTTCGTAACTGTTGTACCCACTAATATCAACGGAGTTTCTCTTGCACTGTCACTTTCGAGAAATTCGCGATCTAGGACAACTGAACAAGTGGACTCATAGCAGAGCTCTCGCGGAAAATGCTCAAGGAACTGCTCTGACTTCCCCGCTCATGGTTTCTCAGTCCTAAGGCATCCCCGCCTTTCAGCCGATGACAAAGGAGTTACCGGTGAACTGACAAGTGGCAGGGACCATGGTGGTCTTCGTGCATCTGATGAAAAATCACCTCTCATCTGTACTCCCAGCCCTCGGTAACTGTAGCGCTCAATCCTAAACCTACATCAAAATGATTTGGTATGACCGGAGAGACCCCGCAGTGAAATAAATGGCAGGATCTGCGCCACAGCAAACCATCACCAAGCAAAGAGTAGATGTTCCTTTCTCAGCGTTCGACACTATTCGAACATCGGGCCTTTTCTGGTCCTGCTTTATGTTAGTTTCTCTTGGATATCCAAGGAGTCTCTCTCTAGTAAAGTCACAGTTCATGCTAACTATATTCAACCAACGCCATGTTTTTCCGGATTCCTGAAGGCTTTGTGTCCTCTTGCGGGTCAGCATTTCCAACTGCGTGGGAGATCACTGAATGTTATTCTCTTTCGCGTTTCCTCGATGCGGCGGTCATTGTTACAGAAATGATCAAAGACCCAGTTCGCCTGTATATAGGCTAGCTTACCCTCGAGAACAGCGATGCTCTTGGCACCCCACATTCCCTCACCGTATCTATCCTCTGCTTATCCATGGATTCCTTTCCTTTCGCGGACCTCTTGGACTTACAGACTGCCGCAAAGGAAGTCCACGTCTATAGGGTAAGGTGATAGTTATCTGCGTTGAACCAGTAATTGACTACATTGAAAGTATATTGCAGGCAAGCGCTGACGTAACGTCGGAGGAGGAGAGGTTGATTGCTGACTGCATCGTACATCCTACAGCAGCAACTCTAACACTATTTGTATGCAAGAAATGTTCCTCTATCTGTGGCTGTCTTTCTGAACTCTTCTGAAGATTTACGATTATTTTTGCACGTTAGAGGACGAGGTAAATGGTTACAATCGGTTATTTAAACCTTGCTCAACGTGCATTCCTAGATTCGCCTTGTGTGGCCGTCGCGGTGGTCGTTCATAAAATGCGTTTACTTCCTCAATAGGGCCAGCGCTTTCCTTGCTTCATTTTTTCTTGTATATCGTGAGCAGCCTTGCAACACCTTTCTCCGGGCTGTACTGAATGATTCCTGCGGTCGCTGATAGTGTTGCTTGTTATCAATGAAGGGGTGCGCAAGATCTCGTTAGTTATCTTGATCAATTGTTGTGTCCTGACTATAAACTAGTCATGCAGGCCAAGTCTATTCACCACAGCTCGTACGTGAATCACGATCTAGAAGCCTAAATCTTCTTGTTGACTCGCACATATGATAGTCATGGGGCAATTGACCTTCGTTATCGGAGAAAGTAAGTTCGATGCTTGCCTCCTTTTTCTCACGTATTGAATCTATCCCGAGCACAGTCGTCCTGTTCATGCGTGTTTATGCCATTTGGTGCTGTAGCAGGCGCATGTTAATTCTCCTGTTGTTGATTTACATAGTAAGTGTCCTGTGTACCAGAATGCATGACTTTTGGTGACAAGTTTAGCCGGGTGTGGTGGGGTCGACTTATGCCAACCTCCATGCAACAAGCACTGCTATCACCGGTAAGTATGCATCTTATCCCTATCGAGCATCGAGTCCAGCGTTCACTCAATTTACGGCGTTAGCGACATTCCCTGAGCTATTTGATTCAGGATGCCTAGTGATCTACACGAGCACAGATTTCTGGGCTTGTTACCTCGTTCTCCTATTCCATGAAACTTGTGAGCATTACTCCATTTCCTCGGTACCCGCGTGAATACGAGCTTGACTGCTGATCCGTGATAGTTATGCTAGTACTCATCCTCATGCGGGCATTCCGGTTTAGTCAGTATAAATAAAACGCTTCCACGCATGCGAAGCTAATGAGAAGTTAGGTGGCTATAAAATATCCAAGATTTTGAAGAGAATAGTGCAGGACGGTAGGTCATACATGAAATGGTTACTTTCTCTCAATAAAATGACCTTCGTTTTTCAGGTATTTTCTATTACATTTGCGTTCTTGGTGAGCGGCGACTTTGAATATACATGTAGAAATACTTAACAATGGCTGCTGAAGGTATGTCCGTGGCCAACTTACTTGTTCTCTTACTCGCAACGGTGAGATTTTCATCTTTGACGGTACTGCACCCCTGTGAAATACTAATTACTGCCTGCAGAAAAATTTGCGGACGTTCCTAATTTTGTACGCTTCACTTCTTTTTCCGCTTCGTAATATTGATACTGACCTTAGCCACCCTTTGACACGAAGAACGCAAGGCGTGCTGCATAGCATCTTCTGTGCTCGCCTCCTGCTCCGTTTGCGCGGTGCATACCGGTCGCTTACTACCGAGGGTTTGCAATCTATGCGTTTTCGAAGTGGGGCCACGGGTACAACTGAAACAGATAACGATCATCCCTCCGATGTTATTCCGTTACAAACACTTTCTGCTTCTACGTTGCATGATGCACAAGATTGACATGTTGCTGGATGTAATCTACATCTGGCTCGTTTTGATGTTTACTCATCTTTATAATGAGTTGGTATTCCATTTAAAATATTTACAGCGGGTACATATATATTTCCTCTTTACTTTGATAAGCTATGTTAAAGAATTTGAAAGGTTCTTCTAGCAGGTTAATATATTACTTTTATATTACATTGACTCTAAAGAACTTATTTTCATAAGCAATCAAAGAGCCAGCTAATGTACTTTCCCAAGCCCAAGCAAATATTTACTTATTGTTGTTGTTGAGATTGTTTGTTTGTATGCTCTCCTGACTCCTTATTGAAAGATTACTTATTACAGTAAGCATTTATCTGGGATGCACGTGATGCACTCATGTTGTGAAAAAGACGCCTGCCAACTTGCGCTGCACTCACAAGCAGAATCGTCGCCAACTACAATCTCAACTCATTCTATTCATTGCTCTTCTCTATCTAACGCTGTCATTATATCGGCTGCACAGGTCAAATATGTTTTGTGGCTCTTATAACCACTTATATGTGCAGAGTGCTCTTTCGCGCTTCACTGTCACGTTCAAGGGATTCACGCTCCAGAACAACTGGACTTCTGGACTTACTAGCTCTGAAAGATTAAGGCTTCTCTTATAGATTCTCAGCCCTAATTCCCTACAAATCAGCCAACCACAATGGAATAGTTAGGTCAGGTTATGGGAAGGAGGAGATAAGCTAGCCTTCGTGCATCGATGAAATTTCTCCTTTCATCTGCCATACTAGCCCCTAGTAGACTTAGCGATCCAATCTATAGCATAAATCAGAACGATTTCAAACGACCGACGAGACCGAGAAATAAAATGAATGTCGGAATCTGTGCCACAAACGATCACACAAAGCATCACGGACGTTTCGTCTTTGCGAAGCCCTATTCAAATGGCGGACGTTTCCAAGGAATTTTTTCTGTTAGGTGCAGTCATTTCGAGAATAATTTATCTAGTAAAACTACGGGTAATGCTGACTATATTCAATCAAGAGCATGACTTCCTGGATTACTGAGGTTTTTTGGTATCTCCTGCGCATCGGTATTTCCAACCGTATGGGTGATCACTGAATGTTATTCTCCTCCGTGTTGTCTACGATGTGGCGTGATCCGCTACAAAGACGGTCAATGACTTAGTTTTCCCGTATATAAACTGACTTACCTTCGGGAGCAAGGAAGCTCATGGCACCCCCGTTCACTCACTGTGCTCATCCTCTGCTTATCCATGGATTCCTTTCCTCTGACGAATCTCTCAGGTTTACGGACTACTGCGGAAGACGCCTACATTTTATAGGGTAATGTGATGCATATCTGCGTTGGACCAGAGATTAACTTCGTTGAAAGTGTGTTGCAGGCGAGTCTATGTCGTGATGTCGAAGAAAGGAGTGCTGATTGCATCGTACATGATACAATCGCAACCCTAACTCTCTTCGTATGCAAGCAATGTATTTCTACCCATGATTGCATTTCTAATCTCCTCCGAAGATTTTTGGTTATTTTTGCACTTTGGAGGAGGAGATACGTGATGAAGTTTGACCATGCAGACCTTGCTCAACATGTACTCGTAGATTTGTCTTGTGTGGCCGTCGCGGTGGTCGTTCATAAAATACGTTTACTTCTTCGATAGACCCAGTGCCTTCCTTGCTTCATTTTTTTTCTGGTATATCATGAGCGGTATCGCAACACCTTTCATTCGACCGTGCTGATCGGTTCCTGCAATCGCTCACAGTGTTGTTGGTCATCAGTGAAGACGGGGTGCGCGGAAACTCGTTCGTTATTCTGATCTATCGTTGTAATCTGGCTGTAAGCCAGTCGTACAGGTCAGGCTTATTTGCAACCGCTGGTACGTGAATCTCACTCCAGATGCCTAAGTGCCTCTCGCTGATTCGCACATCCACTAGTTATGGCGCAATTAACCTTTGTTCTCGGGGAGAGTAAGTCGATACTTGCTATTTATCTATCTCACACGTTATACATATCGTCTCTCAGTCATCCTGTTCATGCGTGTATATTCTGGATGGTGTTGTAGTAGGCGTATGTTGATTCTTTCGTTATCGGTGTACACGGTAAGTGCATGGTTCGCAGAAGTACAGAGTTTTCTGTAACAAGTGTAGCCGGGTGTGGTGGGAGCAACTTACGCCAACCTCCGTGCAACCAGTACTGCCGTCGCTGGTGAGTATGCATCCTACGCCTACCGTGCGTCAAGTCCAGTGTTTACTCAACCTATGACATTAGTAATGTTTCCAGAGCTATTTGACTCGCGGTGCCTAGTGATCTACACTAGCACAGATTTCTGTGCTTGTTACCTTGTCTTCTATTCAATGAAACCTGTGAGTATTGTTCCACGTCTTCGGCGCCCGCATGAATACGAGCTTGATTACGCTCCCTGATAGTTATGCTTCTTCTCGTCCTCACGCGGACATTCCGTTCTAGTTGGTGTTTCTGTGATGAAGCATTTCTATGCACGCGAAGCTAACGAGCAGACTAGGCGGTTATAACATAGCTAATATTCTGAGGAAATAGTTATAGACGGTAGGGTACACATGGCGTGGTTGTTTTCGTCCTACCGACTGACCCTCTTCTTTTTTTTTGTGTGTGTGTTCTCTATTATATTTGCGTCCTCGGTGAGTGACGACCCGAAAAATCGTATACAGACTGATCTTAACAATGGCTGCCAAAGGGAGTTCTGTCGCCAACTTGCTCGTTCTGTTACTCGCAACGGTGCAGTTTTACCTCTGACGATACTGCCTCCTATGAATGGCTGATTACAACCTGCAAAGAAATTTGCGGACATTGTTGATCTTGTACGTTCCGCTCATTTTTCCTTTTCACAAAGTAGAGACCGAACCCTTCTTGTTCACGAAGGACACAAGGCGTATTGCACAGCATCTTAAGTGCCCGCCTCTTACTCCGATTACATGGTGTGTATAATTAGTTTACCATCGAGGGTTTGCGATCTGTACGTTTGCGAAGCTCAAGAACAACTCTTACGGATCACGATTAACATCATTGTTCCGGTGGTATTATGTTACAATCGTTTTCCGCTTCTACCTTGCATGATACACGGGATTGATAGGGGTGAAATTGGTGGTTGGCTAGTTTTCATGTTATTTTTCTTTGTATCGAGACATTAAGAAAACAGCGAAATATAGGAGAACAAGTATATTTTACCTGATACGTTGGACCTTTTTATTTTATTAAAAAATTACGATTTCTTTTCTATACAGCTTTATACTGTAGGTATACATTCTTTAACTTAGATAGCCATTAGTCTTGGGATTGTACCTCTCTTTTTCCAGACATAAGGCTTAAATAAATTTTAAACGAATTACTTAGGCTAAGACATTTTAAATAACCTATGTTTGCAATTCTACTATCTAATACTTATTTATTCTTATTTTCCCTATGTTATATTTGTTGAGAACTCATGATGTACTGTATGCCAATGATATTTATGAGTTTTACTAAACCAAATTTATGTGCAATTGCTTGGAAGGCGATAAGCACCTTTTTTGTACAACTGCATGTTGTATTGCAAGCAAATGTACCCACAAATATTGTGCTCACAATGTGAAATTCAACTGTGGATCAATAGGTATGCTATGGTATATTACACAGAAGATGGTCGTGCGACTGATGCAGGTTTGCCGTGCCGCGAAGCCAGTTCATACGGTTTGCACGTGATGCACTTGGACTGAAAAGCTTGCCCTGTCAGATTGACGTGTTGGTACATTGCTGCTTTACATAAATCACTGGCGAGCGGGACGAGTCCTGAACTACCATCATAATTCGTTTTGCTCATCACTGTTACTGTTAATGTTATCAGCCGCTCAGGACGACAAATCACATCTGTGGCACATGGCTGTAGTTGCAATTTCCTTTGCTGTGGCAGTGTCAACTCCAAGAGACCTACTAGTCTCCGGTACAACTCGGCATGCGGACATACCAGCTATGAGAAACTCGAAGACAAAGTTCGGGAGTACATTGACCTCCCTTCTTATCACTTCTTATTCGCAGGTCTCTACCTGCCTGTCAGCCGACCACACAGTTAATAAACCAGAAGCGGGAAGTAAGGTGGTCTTCGTACATCTATGATGAAAAATTCTCCTCTCATCTTTTATCCCAGCCCTCGATAAATTTAGCGCTTTCAACTTAAGCGATACACCAAAATGAAAGGATCAAGAAGATCAGGGAGCAAAGTGAATGTCAGAACCCGCAACACAGAAAGGATCACCGCGCAAAGAATCGTGGAATTGTTCTCCGTGTCTGATACTATTTAATTGAAGGGCATTCTGTGCTAGGCGCTGCTGGATTGGAAATAAGCATCTCTCCAGCTAAACTATACTCCATGCTATCTATAATCCATGAACGACTTTATTTTTGAATTACCGAATGTCTTGGTGTACCTCTTGTGTGTTCGCCATTTCCGACTGCGTGGGAGATCATAGAGTGCTATTCTCTTCCGTGTTGTCTTCGGTGCGGTGGTCTCGGTTCAGAAGATGGACGTGAACTTAGTTTGTTTGACCGTATATAGACCGGTTTCCCCTCAATGACAGTGAAGCTTCTCGATCCACCCCATTCCCTCACTGCGCCCATCATCTGCCTGTCCATGAGTTCCTTCCCTTTGGCGGACCTCCTGGACTTAGGGACTACCGCGGAAGAGGTTTACATCTATAGGGTAAGGCGAACATTACCTGCATTCAACCAGAAATTAACTGTATTGAAAGTATACTGCAGGCAAGTCTATGTGTTGAGACTTCGGGGTGAAGCCGGGTGCTGATTGCATAGTATAGTCGCAACACTGACACTCTTCGTAGGCGGATAAGGTTTTTCGATTTATGTTTGCCTTTCTGATCTCTTCCGAAGATTTATGATTATATCTGCACGTTGGAGGACGAGGTACGTGGTAAATCTTGGTTGTTCAGACCTTGCCCAACACGTCCTCCTAGATTCGCCTCGTATGGCCGTCACGATGGTCGTTCATAAAATACATTTACTTCCTCAATAGGGCCATTGCTTTCGTTGCTTCATTCCTTTTGGTGTATCGTAAGCAGCGTTGCAGTACCGTACGTCAGGCCACATTAATTGGACTTTGTGTTCTTGTTTGCAGTGCTGCTGCTCGTCAGCGACGGGAAGGTGTGTGGATTTGTTTCTCATTCTAATGAGACATTGTGTTCTGACCGCAGACCAGTCATGCAAGCGAAGCCTAGTCGCTACTGTTCGTGCGTGAATCTCGCTCTTGAAGGAAGAAGCCGTCTTATTGACCCGCAAGTTTGCTAGTGATGGCACAATTGACCTTCATTATCGGGGAGGGTGCGTCGTCCTTTACCTTTTCTTTATCTTTCGTACTGAGCATATCATGTGTCTAGTCGTTCTGTTCATGCGTGTATATGCTATATGGTCATGTAGCAAACGCATGTTGATTCTTCTGTTATCGGTGTACGTGGTAAGTGAATGGTTCGCAAAACTTCAGAACTTTGGGTAACAAGTGCAGCCGGGTGTGGTGGGGTCGACTTACGCCAACATGCGTGCAACCAGCACTGCCATCACCGGTGAGTACGAATTTCATCCGTACCATTCATCAGATGTAATGATTACTTAATTTGTGGCTCTAGCAACATTTCCGGAGCTATTCGACTCGGGATGCCTATTGACCTACACTAGCACAGATTTCTGGGCTTGTTACCTTGTTCTCCTATTCCATGAAACCTGTGAGCATCGCTCCATTACTTCGGCACCCGCATGAATACAACCTTGACTGCGATTCCTGATAGTTATGCTTATACTCATTCTCACACGGGCATTCCGTTCTGGTCGGTGTAAATACAGTGCTTCCATGTATATGAAACTAAAAGGCAGTTTAGGTGGATATAAAATATCTAATATTCTGAAGATAGTAGTCAAGGACGGTAGGATGCGCATGGAATGGCTACTTTCGTTCAATTGACCTATTCTTTTAGGCATCTTCTATTACATTTGCGTTCTCGGTGAGAGATGACCGAGCATATATATCCAGACTAATATTTGACAATTGCTTCTGAAGTGACTTCCGTGGCCAATTTACTCGTCCTCTTACTCGCAACGGTGAAATTTTTATCTTCGACCGCAGTGTACCCCCTGTACAAGTACTAATTACACTTACAGAGAAATTTGCGGACGTTCCTAATCTTGTACGCTCCACTCATCTTCTCTTTTCACAAGGTCGAAACTGACCGCAACCGCTTTATATGAAGAACACAAGGCGTGTTACATAGCATCCTGTGTGCCCGCCTCCTGCTCCGTTTACGCGGGGCATACAGGTCGCTTACCACCGAGGGTTTGCGATCTATGCGTCTTCGAAGCTCGACCACGGGTACCACGCTCGTGGATGAGGACCATCATTCGCCCCTCGACGATATCCCATTACAGACATTTTCCGCTTCTACGTTGCGTGATACACGAGATTGATATGTTCATTGGTTGGACACTGCTTGAGCGCGGCTGTTTTTTCTAGAGTAGATGAAAAGTGAAGTAACCAACAATGTTTTCGGTTTACTCCGACGAGGCCGTACGGGTTCATGTCCCAGGGAGAACAGAAAAATCCTGTTTGCACTGTCAAGGCTACGTTGATCGCTGAGAAAACAGGGTGCTAGTAAGCTTCTGCGATTTAAAATTTGGATTTATTGTTGCTCTGCTATCATGATCGTCACGGATCGTCACCTGGAGCCACTTAGCCAAGCAACCCCTGGTTCCTACGCGTGGTTTGCGCAACGGGAACAACTCGTAGTCGATGCCATCGGTCAACTTGATGCACAGTAAGTGATGCCTCTTGGAGAAAGCCAGACGGAACTGCCAGTCTGCAGATCATTTAGAATAAGTCTTAACCCGCGGAGACGAGTAGAAAAAGGTACGAGGGACAATGAGAAAAGGTTTAAAGTATTCAAGTAAGTGCCTTTGTCCCGCGCATGACAGATCTAGGGAAGGGAAGGCTGCAGTTATATTGTAGTGCTTATTGACCTAACCATGTAAGGTGGTCCTTGTTCATCAGCTTTATCCCATTTTACCCGTGTCAATTCTCTGATCAATGTCCTAATAAGGGATATCTATTTTGGACCACGGCAAACTGCGCAGGTTGGTAAAAATGAATTAATTTATCCATTATTACAGCCGTCATACATCAAGCATCTGCTAGGTCAGACAGGTAAAAGAAAACATCGGAACTCGATCCTAATCGTAAACTCCAGTCAATAAATCAAGGTGAAAGAAAGGAATATGTAACTCTGGAGAAAAGGATGCTGTAAAGGTGAAGTGGAGAGTATAGCCCCCTAATGCTTCTCGTCGCGGGTCTCTGACTCCCGATCGGCGGGCCTGTTGCCAACGACGCCAGCGATGAAGCCTTCTTGGTTCTCGTTTGAAAGCTCTTCGAGAGAACGACCCTTCGTCTCCGGGAGGAGAAGCGTCGAGAAAATACCCGTAAGCATGAAAAAGGCGAAAATCTCGAGACTAAATCATTCCAAGTTCAAGGCATTATTAGTTCATCAGTACGTGGCAAGCGAAGGAGGAGAAAAAAGTCCGGAAGCTTACATATGCTTAACGAACTTGTTCGGTCCGCCAATGTTCCGCATCTGTGCGAAGCCGACCTGTGCAACGATGGCTCCAAGTTTACCGGATGCGGCCGAGATACCATGTGCAGTACTCCTGTAACGCGTCGGGAACGCCTCACCAGGTATGACGAACGTGGTAGTGTTCGGACCAAAGTTCTGGAAGAAGTTTGCAAGGCAGTAGAGGAACGTGAATGCTTTAGTGCCTCCGCTTGAGGCAGAGAGTTTGTCGTAAGCGAAACCCATGATGACGAAGAGGATTGTGAGAAGGATGAAGCCCATGAGCTGGATTGGCTTTCGACCCCATTTGTCGATGAATAAGAAGGTTGCGTAGTATCCTGGGATGAGACCCGCGACGGAGAGGATGAGGTTACCTACACAGATGTTGTATAGGTTTTGGTACACCTTCTGCGTTCCCGTGATCTCTTTTGAGGGAGACCCAAAGCCGATAGCAGTCAGAATGATAGAAGAGTTGAGACCGAGACCATAGAATGCAATCTATTTAGTGCATATAAGCAGAGGTACTAATGTAATTTGAGATAATCCGCTTACGTCCAGGGCAAACCAACTCCAGGCACAGCCTATCAAGACCTTCATGTTTTCCCATTTCCGGAAGTACGCAGAGAAGTCCCTCTTTGAGGCTTTGGGAGCGACGACACGCTCAACAACGGCATCTGGGTCGACGACGAATTTTCCCATGGAAAGCACGTTCTCGACATCTGATGCGGCTTGCTGCACATTCCGTTCAACGTCCATCGTAAAACGCGGCGTCTCAGGAATTGTTAGTCGGAAGTACAACGCAACACATCCCGGTATACACCCTAGACCGATGAGAAGACGCCACATATAGTCTATATGCTTGAGATTTGTTGGGTCGTCATGAAGGACAGCAGTCTTGAAGGCGACTACGATGATAAGTGCAACAAGACAAGCAGCTAAAAAGTGAAGAGGGCACAATTCTTTAATTTCCTGATCGGGTAATTGCACATTTCAGTTACTTACTGAAGTTTCCCCATCCCTGCGCTGCAAAAACAGCAGTCATAAGGCGTCCACGTATTCTTGTTGAAGAGAACTCAGATGCAATGACCGCAGACAGTGGGTAATCTCCTCCGATCCCCACCCCCATCTAATTAGAAATTAGACACCATGCTGATAGACCCGAACTTGCGACTTACGAAGAAACGCCAGACAATCAGGGCACCAATTATGCTCACTGCCTGTGCATGGCCAGAAAGCGCCTGCGCGAAGGTTCCGACGATAATGATCATCAATTCAACACCGTCTAATAAAATAAAATAAAAATAAAAATAAAGCTGTTTAACAAAGACATCAATATCGGAAGGTAACTCAGAACGTACACATGCGCTTGCGACCAAGGAGATCAGCGAGCCAGCCGAAAAGGAGTTGGCCAACGAGAGTTCCAACGGGTGCTGCAACCTTGACTCCCAAGTCTTGATTCGTGGAGAGAACCTGGCCCTTCCCATACACGTATCCAAGCATCACCGACGCGATATTAATCTATTTTCTGGATTAATATTTCCCTTCCCAGGACGTAAGGTTTAGCTTAGGTTATCTTACAGCGAAAATATCGTATCTGTAGACATCGTTAGGAATCCCTCAAATATCTCTCACAATTCTGCCACAACTTACGCATCAGTGAAGAAGCCAACACCAGCGACGAGGACGACTTTGGCGTGGAACCGTCTGAAAGTATGATTTATAAGGAAATTCAATACTTAAAATTAATGGGGAAGATTACTAACGAGAACTTGGCATTGTCGACATCAGCCAGGGCTGCTCGACGACGCTGGTCGAGTGTATAGGCATTAGCGTTGCCCTTTGCACCAACAGAGCCATGGCTTGACTCTTTTTCTGAGATGTAACTTCTGTCCATCGCGAATAACACCTGGAGGACAACAGAGAAAGATCAAAGGGGGACGGGTCTCTGAGGGGAAGAGGGAGATAAGTAGGGCAACCTATAATTTATACTTCAGTGTTTGATGGCCCGGCGCTCAATTTCAGCGATACCGATACGAACACTTCGGCTTTTGCGCCGGTAGACGCAGCGTATGGAATCGCCGATCTCGGGCCAGGTTGGACAAACTTTGGCACACTGCACATGCTAGGATGATGCTCATTACAGCTGAGTACCTCGAACGTGCAGCGACGACGCGTCCTCATTGGCTGCCACTCACGACGCGTCACAGTCACGTGACCAAATTATTTTATGTTTTCTCGGCGTTCACCCACGTTCCAGGTTCTGTCTCTCCCGTGTCCGAGTCTCCGTGAGCTTTGAAAATTTAAGCCCTCATCTGTCCGTCGGCATATACACCACTCTTTCAACCCCCAATCAACCCAAGAGCCTGGCCTTGTCCGGATGAAAATCGTGCCATCCTCCCAAGACCTAACGCCTCGAGCAAAAGCATTAGCTTAAGGTCCTTAACAGCGGTAACGGCGTCTCAATTGTCTACCGACCGCTATAGCTGCCTTCGAGTCACCTAGAAGTACATCATGGAGCTTCTCCGAGCGAGGAGGTGTCCCTCTGATTCCAGGCACTAGTACTACAATAGAAGCTCCGAGAGAGGGGTAAAGAAGTTTGGATCAACTCAGACATCGGTTTTCTCACAATCACAGTCCATATTTGAAGAATCATTTTTCCCTCGTGTGATCTCGGATACACATGGAACATTAGGTTGCGAGTAAGTCGGACCCGTATACATGAGCGACCTGAAAATGTTTCTTTCTCTTCTGTTACTAGCGGCGGACGCTCATACGTTTCTGGTGTACACGTTCTGGATGCCGCAAGCAGCGCTTTGAGCATATGAACCTGTTCAGATATACAGCACCGCATCAAACGTTGGTGTGGGAGTTATTTCAAGCACCTCATCGCGGAACAATATAGAATTTGGGCAAGATCTTATGTGCCTCATCGCGGAACAGTATGCATTACTCCGGTATCGGTATCCTCCGCACTCGATTCGTAACAATCCTCCCTTGACTTCTGCCGAACTGAGATTTGGACGCAGGCTTAAAGCAAGAGGTAAGTGTTTACCGCAATGAGCTAATGACCTCCTATGGAGATGAATACAAAAGAGCTCAGCAGCAGATGGAATAAGGGAAAGTCTACCAATGCGATGAGTTTTGTATCTGTCTAGCAGTTTAATAGTCCCGCCGTGGCGTCTCGATTAGCGCGGTTTATAGCACACTTGATCATCTCATCTCAAACGAATTATCGATACATTACTATCCTAGGTACACAATTCATTCAGTATGGGAAGTCAGCTGCAGTCGGAATGGCATAAGGCACACGAGATGTAGAGGAACGAGGTGTGACTAGGAAAAGCCACGCAACATGTCCTGGACGCCACTCCTAAAGTAAATCAGCTTGACGGGATATACGCTCGTTATCCGCTTCAGAATCATGACTGTTATCGTTCAGGAAGCTCGTATTTTGTGTCTTATCTACTTGGGTTCTTGGGCTTTTAGTTAGTAGACTAAATCGAAGACATGTAGGTGCAAGTACTTATGGAAATTTATTATTTCTGCCCTGGCTCGATTCAGACCTTGTCACATTTTGTTTCACAGTAGGCGACTTCAATTAATTGGCAGAGACACTTGCAGAAGGGCTTCGGCAATTTAGAGTTAAGATGCCAAGAGTTATGCAAGTCTCTCAAAATTGAAGAGCTGGACTTGCAGAGATCGACATTTAATGCCCATGTCACGTTACTCATGATTTTTGTTGGGTT